ACCTACAAATTGTGTCTCTCACATTCGGTTTTGCTAGTGCTTTGAGTATTTATTTTTGGGGTGGGTGCCGGTTGCGTTTCTCTGAACAACAATTTTTGATGGTGCCTTGAAAATTATGTTTTGAAAATAGTATATTCAAAAGGAAGGAAGAAATATTGGTTTGGTGGTAGGTCCGGGTACACAAGTTGAATTCAAAATTGTTCCCATCCGCTACCAAAGTTCATGGAAACCATCTCCCGAGGCTCCACCCCCTACACTTCCGGACCCCAGTTCGTTAACAACCGTTGGAATAATTTATGGGCTTTTGAGAGGAGAGGCGGTCCCCTTTTTCTACCAATGCATGAAACAATTACGACACTTTAACCAGAAGAGAGAGGATGTGAGAGGAACACACAGGAGGAGAAAGAAGGAAGATGAATGAGTGGTTGTGAGGGGTTCTGAGCTTGTAAGAGCAATTGCATTATAGAATCCCTTCTTCTTTATTCCAATTCCATTTGCCGCTTAGATAAGCACCTAGGTTAAGCGCGTAAGTCTAGTGTTTGAATTGGTAATGTGTCATCTTCAGGGGGGTGAAATTTATGATGAGAACGCCATCTAATAGGGTAAAAACATATTTGAGTCTGTCAAAGTACTGTAGGTTAGTTCCAGAAAAACGCGATTTGATTTTAAAGTATTCAAAATTACAAAAAACTGTGTTCATTGAAAAATGAGCTTCGAAAAACCAGTTACACCGAATCTTACATTTTGAAAATTCGAAAATTTTTTTTATGTGAAAAGAAGCAGTTACCGTAAATCCTATAATAGAAGGGCTCCCACACAATCACATTTAAGTTGATTTACCTCGGTTTCTTTGAAAGTTATCAAAAAAGTGTCAACTAATAAATTATTTTTCATAACATCATCAATGTTTTATCAGTTAACAAGTTTTTGATATCTCTAACAGAAATCGAGATAATTGAGCCCAAAAATTAATAAAAGACTAACCAAACCGCCCACTTTAATCTCCATTATCTCGGTTTCTGTGAAAGTTATCGAAAACGTGTTAACTAACAAATTATTTATCATAAAATCATAAATATTTTATTAGTTGACACATTTTGATAACTTTTACAGTAATTGAGATAATTGAGCTCAAAGTGTAGGTATGGAAAAAGCTTCTGTTAGAGCAACTACCGTATGTTAGCTTCGGAAAAAAATGTTGAAAAAATCGAAAAATCCCAAAATCGCAGAATTATCAGATTCTCAAAGTAACAAAAAAAGTTCCAGCAACCTTTCTTGTTATCCTACAACGAACAGACAAAAATTTTGAAAGCTTTGGAACTTAAATTACACGTTTGTTCGAAATTCGATACCTTTGAAAAAAGGACGCGCACGTCAAGAGCAAAGTTTTTATTGAAAGCAACTATGTGTTTTTTGTGCAGATTTTACAGAATGGAAAACAAACAGAAACTTTTGGGCAAATCTTAGAGAACGAGCTTTGAAAAAAAAAAAGCAATTATTATCCGAACAATCCACGACGGGTACGCTAAGCAAAATGACAAATGAAAATAAAGCCTAGACAAAAATGTGATGCAATGTAGAAAAATTCAACTGTTATGAATGTTTCTGCACAAGTTTTGCAAAAGTGATTAATCTGATGACAAAGTAACAAAATCTAAATAAACAAAGTCTTCAAAGCCAAGTGGTAATACCATTCATCCGCCGCCAAGAGTAGAAGCGGTATGAAAAGTAAAAAAGAAGCGACTTTTTTCCACGTGAGGTGATCCCTCCCTTACTCCCTATTCCAAGCTGTTAGTAGAGGGGGGGGGGGGAGGGAGGCGTCAATCCGGTTGTCTACAATGGCAGGATGATGGCAAAAACTGTGAGTAAACAATGCGCTTCTTGCGTGAGCGGGGTCATGGAACTTGTCTGATATGAACTCTAAGAAGAAGGTGAGGAGCAGCACCGACTACAAAACTACCTCTTTTTCACTGGTGTTTCTGTGTTGTTTGTATGATGAGTGCTTGCTGCTAGGTGGTAACTAATATTGGATTAATACCGCCGTGTGTCTCTCCGCTCTCATGAACTTTTCAGGTTGGCAAATATGTCAGTATGATTGTGCTAAATCTGAAGTTTCGCTACCAGTTTCGAGCTGGTTTTTCTAAACGTTCAAGTGCAAAGAAAAGAGCTCGTTTTAGAAACTACAAGTGGAATTCAAAAAAAGTTTGATTGAATTGTAAACTTAGAGTTGGTATTGGGGACTTCAAATATATAAATGAAAATGTTCAATTTTCAAATTTTCCGGTCTTGTACAGTGACTTATGTAATAGAAGAATTATATATTTTTAAAAGCTTTTTTAAAAGTGTCAGTTTATCTTTTACCGTAAAACCTCTAATATAAGGGCACTCTATTTTTTTAACTTCGAGCCAATTTATCTCGTTTTCTGTGAATGATCAAAAAAAGTTGTCAACTGATAAATTGTTCATCATAATATCAACAACATTTTATTAGTTGACATATTTTTAATATCTTGCGTAAGGGCCAAAAAAATAAGCTTGAACTTGACAGTGTGGGGTTCCTTTATAACAGGTTTTACGGTATTCTTTGAAGTGATGAAATTTCAATTGGTAAAATGTATGTTTATTTTTTAATGGTTATTGATAAAATCCAAACCGAAACTAACAATTATATTTTGGAACAGAGAAAGAAATGAAGTTTTGAGAGTACTTATATTACAGAATTCAGGGTAACTAGCTTTGGTAGCAGAGATACTCTTTAAAATCAAAATTTCAGTATATTAGGGTTTGAATTTTCATAAAAAAATAAACCTAATATTTTCAGAGCAAAAACCCAATAGCAGTACTCAAAAGTTCTTACTTTTCAAACTAACACTTGAACTTCCAACAAGCCCATATATCTCAATTTCAGTGAAAGATACCAAAAAGTGATTAACTGACAAACAATTTTTGCAATTGTGATAAACATTTTTACAGTTGACCACTTTTTGATGTTTTATACAAGAACCGAGATGAATTGCCTCAAAGTTGAAAGTTCGGGGTAGATACCGCATTATAGATTTTTCTAACCAAAGCTAAGCATTTCACAAAACGCCACATCTTAGTCATATGAAGTCACACAGTATAAAAATGCAGAACTGAACAAATAAGAATTTCAAATTCAAAAATCTGAATACGTTTTTCGAGAAAGGAAACAAGATTGTTTTGACATGAAACCCAACTCCATCTTCTTCTACTTCCATCTTACTTCAGATTCACCCGCAATGCCTGGAATCAAAAAGCAACGTAAAAAGAAAACAAATGCAAACAAATACATATACTACGCACCTCCTCCTCTTCTCTCATCTCTTTTTTCCTACTCCAGGTATTACCGCTGCTTCTTCCTTTTGTTTCTAATTCTTGTAATACGACCCACACATTGCGCACGGGCACACGTCTCTGGGTGGCATGAAAAAATTGAATACTATTAAAATGGGATTAGAAAGTGACAGACGTGATATGAGGAGAAGAAAAAAAAACGACCGATCTGAACACAATAGATGTTATGAATAGAAATGACGAGTGAGGAAAGGATTGTAAAAATTTGATGCCGACCCAGTGTTCAGGAACTATTTTATCTAATATTTTGTCGGAGTTACATGGAAAATTGATGATACTTGGTGATATTACTGATAAACCTCTTCAAAATAAGAATGAGAAAATGAGAGAAAAGCAAAACTGACTAGTGAAAGGAGAGGGTAGTTGCAATAATTCACCATACCAAGTAAGAAACACGTAATTACACCCATGAATGTATTTTCGTAGTGCACATGGGAGGAATAACTGATGAACGTGGGAAATGATCCATACAACAACATGCATTTTCATGATGTTGGCAATTAATGAACAATGTGGGGGTTAGTAATTGTTAATCTTGAGAAGAAGTGTATTCAACATTTAGAAATCATTAAGAAAATTTTAAAGTAGGTCAATCAAAACTGTGAGACTATATTCATGAAAAATTTCTTGGAAAATCATTCAATTTTCAGAGTTCAACTAAAAAACATGAAAATTGTAAAAAAGTTTTCCTTTCCTTTTGGAAAATACTATTTTTTTTTCATAAAATAAAGATTCTAATTTTGTTTCATGTTTGCATTTTTTTGAATATTCCAATTCTAAAAAAATGTGATAACAGAATAGTAAACTTAGGGCAATCCCATCTACTGTAAAAACTCTGATAGAAGGTCACCCCTTACTTGCATTTTGAGCTCAATTATCTAAATTTCTATGAGAGATATCAAAATTTGTCCGCTGATAAAGTGTTGGTAATACAATGATGAACAATTTATCAGTTGACATATTTCAAATATCTCCAACAGAAATCGAGATAATTAAGCTCAAAGTGCAAGTGTAGGGTGGCATTCTATTAAATTATAATATTACGATAATTCTAATAAATTTACTTATGTTCAACTCAAAAATAATGTTATGGTACGAATGTCATGGTTGGATAGATCAAAAAATTTCAACTAATGAGTCAAAAAATGATATTTTCTAATTCTAGGTTTGTTTTCGAGAACATTTAGTTCAAAAGTGATTTTTATTCTGTAAAACGGAAAACAATTTTCAGAACATTTTCACGTTCCCATTTTTTTTCCAAAATAATTTTAGGGAAAATGATAAAATAATTTTAGGGAAAAATCAGTTTTAAAGTTTCAAAAAAGCCGCTCAACAAAAAATCTATCCTTAAAATGAACACGTCAAGCCACGTGGGTATCATCATTTCAAAGAGCATGATCTCCCTCAAACAGTGACACTGACACCTTACCCAAGCTAAGCAGAAACAAGAAAACGCCATTGTCCATGTTCACGAAATTGTGTTTCTTTGTACCCACAAACCTATCAGGTTTCTTTTTCCGTAGGCAGATGAACACAAATGAGAAAAGTTTGCCGCATTAGAGAAGTACTAGAAATGAAAACATTGATTTTGAATTAACAGGTTTATTAGACGACAAGCATCCAAATTAAATGATGTTCATTCTGAAATCATCTTGGAGATCCTGAATAAGAGCGTTGTATCTAGGCTCCTCTGCCTATAAATTAGTCGAATTATCGTAAAACCATTAAAAATTTCAAAGTTTACCTCGAAGAAGTCCCGACGGTCTGCTTCGAGGATTTCGTCAAATATATCATTAATCAGTGTGCACTTTCTCAAAATGTGGAGTTTCACTTCGTCGGCGGCCTGAGATTCAACCTGAAAAACTGCTAACATTAAATTATTCAGAATAATTAAATAAAATACGCACAGTGATGTGTATAATGCGTCGGACTCTCGCGATTGCGTCAGAAAGGGCAGCCTGAAAAATAAGACATTATGAGTCTATCGCAGAAGAGATGTCCCAAGTTGGGGCAGCGCGCCCCAAAGCCGTATCTGCTCGGACCATGTTCCCAACCTTCCTACTACCGCCCCAGTAACGTCTCAGGATTATGGTTCCATTCCCTTAATCTTGTGTTTGTTTTTCAGAAAGAAGAACAATAAAAAATAAAAAATCGAGAAATTCGAAGCCGCTCTCGAACTGATTTCTTCACAAAATCTCAAACTTTCCAGTACAGAAAATCTAAGAATCTCAAAACACAAAATCTAGAAAACTCAAAGTTTCATCTAAAATAGCATCGTCTTCAGATGCAACTTTCTCCCTTCTTTGCAAATTCCCAAACATACAATTTTTAAAATGAAAATTTCCTCAAACATTTTTCTCAACTTTAGAAAATTATCCCATTCAAAAAGTAGGAAAATTTTCAAACTTTTCGAAGCAAATTTTGAGAAAAATGCTGAAATATGACATTTCCCATAATTTCATGTTTGGAAATTTCCTAGAAATGTATAAGCGATTTTTGGTGAGGAAACTGAAATTTCAGAACTCCAGGCGTTTCTTAACAGATTAAGAAAACGGATTTGTATCTTCCGTCAAATTAACAGATTCTCATGTTAGTGTCCTAGAAGGTGGGGCCGTGGTAAGGGAAATGGGACCATGTCGTCATGTGGGGACTGCATTTATAATCTATGGTTCTCTTTGAAACCGACGGTCTTATCAGGGGACAGAAATTAGTAATATGGACCCTCTCTTCTGGAATTAGCCCGGTCTTTTTTTGCAGTATCTGTTTGATTTATATTTACCTCCTGTTCTTGAGTCATTTCGATGTTTCGGATTTCGTCCACAGGCGCCTGAAAATCGATCTTTAAGCAGTTTTTGACTCTTACAAGGGTGAATATTAGAAAAGATATCGTGCTAAACTATATACTCACCTCATTCGGCATGTTTCCCGGGTTAGAATTGGTAAATGGAGGCATTCTCAGCAGCAAAACGACGAATTTTGATATTTCAATAAAAGTCGATAGTAGAAGTAGCTGTCAACAAGCAACGAAGTCGAAAAGGAGAAAAGTGATGTGGTGTCCGAGTGCGCGACATATCTGTCGACTATTAGAAGGTCACAATACTCCGAGTGCACCTGCGTATCTAAGTGGAGAAAAGTAACAAGGGTAGAAAAACAAAAAGCGAGACGAAAAGCATAAAAACAAATTTTATGAAGAACACAAAATTTTTTTGCTTCATACAAATTATAATTTATAGTCAATCACCAGAGAAATCATGTTTAAGGACAAAGATCGAAATTTTGATAGCGGTTTTTGCAGAAAATCGTTATGGAAAAGATTGAGAGCCACGTGATACAGTTGTGGTGAATTTATTGATTGGGAAATTGATCCAGTGAGAAGATTTGAGGTGTCACATCATCCTTGATTCATTGTGACGGCATACTGGCTTACAGGAAAAAGAGAAAAATTGTGAAACATGAAATACCACATAACTTTAAGTTCATCACAAAAAGTTTTAAGTTTGGAAACATCCAAGAAGTCGATAAAATATCATTCAAAAATTGTCGATTTTTCAAGATAGTTTTTGATAATGAAACTGAAATTTAAGCGTTTCAGAAATTTCGTTAGCAGGTTTCGAAAACAAACTTATAAGTTTTCTCAACTCAAAAGATTCCCTTTTTAGTGTTCTTGGAAATTGGACCATGATAAGGAAGATAGGGCAATGTTTCGAGTGTTAATATAGGACCTCTCATCTGAGATAGGCCCAATTTATTTACCCTCTCTTCTTGAGTGATTTCGTCGTTTCGGATTTCGTCCACAGGTTCTTGGAAATCGTCATCAGGCTCCTGAAAACTCTCACTTTTTACTAGGTACACAACAGTTCAAAATCCATTGTCAAAAATTGCGCCTAGCCAATTTCGCTTCGAGCTTTTTTTGTCTGACAAGGGAACCTTTTAAGTGAAGGTAGGAGTCAGCAGAAAGCACCTACATTGAGCGAAAGAGCATGGTCGAAAATCTAAAAATTCGTTTTCAAAGTCTGCTTACAAGACCTTTGAAGTGTTGAAATTTCAGTTTCAGCGCCAAAAATCCCATTTTCAGTGGAAAATTGGCAATTTTCACACTTGATTTCTCCACTCCTAGGAGATTTTAGGTATTGAAACTTTTTTAATTCTACTTGAATTATGCGAAACTCCATAATTCAGACACTTTGTACATTTTCTAAAAAAATTTCAAAGTTTCAAGTCCTAAAGCCTCCTAGGAGTGGAGAAAATCAAGTTTGAAAATTGCCGATTTTACACTGAAAATGGGATTTTTTGGTACTAAAACTGAAATTTCAGCACTTCACAAGTCTCGTAAGCAGACTTTGAGAACGGATTTTTAGGTTTTCGACCAACCTTTCGATCGCAAACTTTGAGAACGGATTTTTAGGTTTTCGACCGACCTTTCGATCTATGTGAGTGGTTGCTAACTCCTACCTTTACTTACAAGGTTCCCTTGTGAGTATGAAACGTACAAACATAAACGGAAAAAAGCATGCAAAACAGTTTTCAGGAACGCAGTCTGACAAGGAGTTTTAAACTTTTACAAGGATGAATTTTAAAAAACAGCGTTCTAAATTATCTACTCACCTCATCCGACAAGATTTCCGGCACAACATAGATAAACGGAGGCATTCTCAGCTGAAAAACGACATGAAAAACGTTATGTTTAAAGACAAAGTTTAAATCTAGATAGTGGTTTTTTGCAGAACATTGTTTTGGAAAGATTGAGAACCAAGTGATGGACTGATTTCATCAATTGTGAAATTGTTCTACAATAGTTAGAAAATTAAAAGTATCACTTCGTCTTTTGAACTTAAAATGAGCTTTGAAATCCTTATCTACAGTTTACCTACAACCTGAGTAATTTACAGATAGTCTTTTTCTCAAGTTAAATTAGTTGAATAGACACAAAAGCCTGAAAACTGACCGAAAATAAAATAATCGATACAGTATTTGTGCCATTCTGCGCCCGGCTCGACGACAACGCCATAAAATGATGTTGTCTGCCGCCTCTTTCTCTCTTTTCTGCATGACAAAACGATCTGCGTTAATAGTTTTGGGTTAATGGTTTTGGTACGATAGAAAAGTACCATAAATGAGCACTTTGATGTTAAGTTAACAGGATTTATTAGGCGACAAGCACCCAAATTAAAACAGGATTTATATAACAATAAACGTAAGAAAACGTATTAAGGAAAAATCAAACATTTTAAACAAAAATCATTATGACTTTGTCAAGGAGATCTTGCATAAGATCGGTGAATGCAGGCTCCACTGCCTATAAATAATACGAATTTTGCTATTAAAATTGAAAATGAGTCATTTTACCTGGAAGAAAGCTAGACGATTCACTGCGAGAAGGGCGGTTAATGTTGACTGGAGCTGGTGGCAGTTTCTCATAAGCGAAGCTCTCATTTCAAGGCTGATTTGACGACGGATCTGAAAATCTGCTTCATTATTCAGGATAATTGCAAAGATAGACGCACACTGCAACGTACAATTAGGTCGACTGTCGCGAGGACTCCAAGAAGACCATTCTGAAAATTAAGAAATTTTGGGTCTATCGCAGAAGAGTGGTCTCATGCGATATTTTCTACCATGGTCCCATCTTTCCTATCACAGTGCCATTCATGAATCACGTTCCCATTACCTAAATCATATGTTTGCTTCTTCATGAACATTAATTAGAATGAAGAACAAATAATACAAGAAAACTTTTTTTAAGTATCCTCGATATTTCAAATTTTCAAATTCTGAGGACCCCAAAAACACAAAGTTTCAAATATTAAAATGATCAGGATCAAAGCAGCTTTTCAAGCTGAATAGCCTTTTTGGAATTTTTCAGAATGTCAAAAATTCCGATTTTCAAAATTTCGGGAATTTCCGATTTTTAAAATTTCGGAAATTTCCGATTTTTAAAATTTCGGAAATTTCCGATTTTAAAAATTTCGGAAATTCCCGATTTTTAAAATTTCGGAAATTTCCGATTTTAAAAATTTCGGAAATTTCCGATTTTCAAAATTTCGGAATTTTGAAATTTTCTGAATTTCGAAAGTTTCGGAATTTTTCAAAATTCGAAATTTGAAGCGGAAAATTCTTTTTCTTATCACGAAAACGCGAAAAATTTTTTGAAAGTTGAAAGAAAGATTTCGACAGCGCACAAAATATCAAAATTAATTTTTGTTCAAACACAAAATTTCAAATATTAAAATGTTCAGAATCAAAGAAGCCTTAAAATACTGTCGTCATGTTGGGACCGTTTTTATGACTTATGGGACCGGGGTGCCTCTGTGGAACCAAATTCACAACATGCTATCGAGAGTACAAACATAGGACCTTTCTTCTGAGATAGACCCGATTTTTTCACAGAATCGGTATAATTCTCACTTACCTTCTGTACTTGGGTCAATTCTCCATTTCGGACTTCGTCCACAGGCTCCTGAAAATCGTTTTTTTTTCTCATTTTTTAGTAGGTAGAGTGAATCTTTGAAATAACCGCATTCTAAATTATCTTCTCACCTCATCCGGTATGATTATCGCTCGAGAATTGATGAACGGGGGCATTCTCAGCTGAGAAACCGCGAATATTGGAGTTTTTTAAATAAAAAATTGATTGTAGAAATATCTGTCCACAAGAAAAGTAACGCGAATAGAAGAAAAGTGGTGTGGTGTCTGTGTATGCAAAACATCTGTGGACTATCATATGGTCACAGTACTCGGTATGCACCTGCGTCTCTAAATGGGTAAAGTAAGAGTGGTAGGAAAAAAGCTGAATAAAAACATAAGAAGAGGTTTTTCTTACTTCATACAAGATATGTATCCATTGCCTAAGGACAAAGATCAAAATCTTGATAGCGGTTTTTTGCAGAACATTGTAATTTGAAACATCGGAAAGGTTGAGAACCACGGGATACCCTGAATCCATCGTTTGTAAAATTGTACACAAAAGCCTGAAAACTGACTAAAAAAGGAAAAATAGTTGATACAGTTTGCATGCGATTATGCGCTCAGCTCGACGACATCCCCATAAAATGGTGTCTGGCGTCTCTTTCTCTGTCTGATGCAGTAGAAAACACTCCGTGTTAATAAATCTGGGTTATTGAGCACTTCAACTTTGTGTTAACAGGTTTATTAAGCAAATAGGGTAAATTGATTATGTGAATCGAACAACGTATAAGCACCAAATTTAGTTGATGTTGATTCTGACATAATCAAGGAGATCCTGAAGATCGGCGATGTATCCAGGCTCCGCGGCCTATAAATTCGTCGATTTTTTCAAATTTCAATTGAAGATAACAAATTTTACCCTGCAGTAATCCTGAGTGTTCGCTCTGAGAATACCGTCGTTTGTAGCCCGAAGCACTTGGCACTTAAGAGCAACTTGAATGCACACTTCGACGCTGTATCGAGGATGAAGCTTTAAAAATATCTGAATATTTCAGAAAAAGTAGAAAATATACGCACAGCTATGTTTCTAACACGGCGGATTGTGGCGATGGCATTTTGGAAGACATCCTAAAAAATAAGAATTTTCGAATCACACAGATGTTCAATTTTTACTTACCTTCTCTTCTTGGCTCAATTCGTTGTTTCATCAGCAGGCTCCTGAAAAATTTTTGTCAGTTGGAACACAACGGTTCAAAATCCATTGTCATAAAATGCTTGATGTTTTTGTCAGCTGAGTATCAAAATTACATGAATTAACGAAAAAAGCTTACGCTTACATTATACAAATACTACATTCATTCATATTTTTGAATTCCTTAAAGTTATTAGGTCAGTTTTTGACAAGGAGTTCAGACTTTTACGAGGGTTTGATACTGTACTATTCAAATTAATTACTCACCTCGTCGAATAAGTTTCCGGCTGCAGCGTTGTTGTTCAAAGACATTGGTGGCTGAAAAAAAAGATGTTTTTTTCTGAAAAATCGATATTAAAAATAGTTGCACGAACTCAACTAGCAGAAAAGTGGTGTCCGTGTATGCAACACATCTGTGGACTGTCAAAAGATCACAGTACTTGGTATGCACCTGCGTCTCCAGAATAGAGAATGTAACAATGGTAGCAAAACAAGAAGCTAGACGAAAACATATGAAGGACACGTATTTCATCATACAAGATAGGAATCCATAGCCAATTACCAAGAGGGAGTTATGTTTAAAGACAAAGATTGAAATCTAGATAATGGTTTTTCGCAGAACATTGTAATTTAAGACATGGAAAAGATTAAGAACCACGCGATACAACATTGGGGAATCCATTGACTATGAAAAAATCTCACACTATTCGACAGTTTTTATGGATGTTCTAGATTTTTCCACTTCAAAAACTCTTCATAGCTGACCTACAACTTGAGAAATTTCTAGATAATCAATTTCTTAAGTTATATTTGTTAAACTGGTACAGAAGCCTAAAAACAGACTGAGAAACAAAAAAAATCGATACAGTTCTCATGCGGTTCTGCGCCCGGCTCGACGACAGCCCCATAAAATGATGATAATGTCTGGCGTCTCTTTCTCTCTCGTCTGCATGAGAAACATTCCTAGTTAATAGTTATGAAACTGCCTCCACGTGACATACCGTATTTCCTCTAAGGGAAACCCATGGGCTTCTATTTTTCAACCTCACTCTCAGGATGGGCTTCTATTAGAGAGCGGACCTCTATATTTCAACGATTAATTTTCAAAGAAAAAGTTTGTTCAAAAAATCAGAAATTTGACAATTCGGAAGTTAAGAATTCTGAAATTTGGTGTTTTTTCGTAGTTTTCATTATGCAATTCGAAACTCCAAATTTTATGAAATTCTGAGATTCCAGAATCACAAAATTCAATATTCAGGAACTCTGTAGATCAGAAATTGAGAATTTAAAAAATGGAGAAAAAGCCCATGAGCTACTATTAAAGGGTGGGCTTCTATTAGAGGTGGGCTTCAAATAAATGTGGGCTTCTATCAGAGGAAGTACGGTATATAATCACATTGCATTTCGACACTTTCCGTTCTCAATTTAGATATAGTACCGGCCAATAGGATAGACAAAAATTATTTTTCAGTTTTTCAGACAAAACTTATTTTCGAACATTTTCAGGAGTCTGTAGCTCGACTTTCAAGTTTCATTTTTTTAAATGCCTATTTTCCAGCTATTCGCGATTTCTGAAAGACATCTGTTCTTTCTCGTTTTCCGTTTTTCAAATCGTCTGAAAAAATTTTTCCTAACTTTTATTGGCCGGTACTGTAAGCTTTTTCTCAATTTTTTCAATTCATATATTCCGAGCAACCACTTGAAAAGTTCTGGACTCTGATTTCATCATCCTTAGTACAAAACACTTGTTCCTTCCCAAAGTGTATACTCTTGAAGCATGGAGGTAGTAAAATCTTCATTTGGTGGCCAAATTCAATCATTCAAATAAATAAGGACCCCATTCCTCCCGTGTTTCAAATTGTTTCCCGAGTGTGTAATGAGAACAAGTTCCATTTCGCTTTTTCTTTTCTTTTCCATGTGCCGAAAGCACTAAACGAAAGGGAAAGGGGACATCTTTAGTAAGGGGACACGCCCACTATGAAAGAAAATGATGATGGGCTCCCGTTTTGGAGTGTGTGTCTGAGAGCAGCAGTAGAGTCTGTTAAAACTCCCAACGGAGCAGTTTTCCCGCGTCGCACCACATTGACCAGTGCTCCAAAGGTTTCGTTCCTTTGGCTAACCCCGTTCTTACCGTGAGGAAATGTACTCATGTTTTCTCCGGTGTTGCGACTTACTGTAAGTTTTCATTTTTCTGCTGCAATGCGTTTTGACAGTACTTTAGTTTCGTTCAATTAGAAATAAGGATTCTTCAATCATGTATACCAACAAGTGACTTTGAATAATATCCACAAAGAAGCTTACTTATATTTTGAGCGCAATTATTTCAGTTTCTATAAGAGCTATCAAAGATTTGTTAACTGATAAAATTTTTGTGACAAAATGATAAATGTTTTATCAGTTGACATATTTTTGATAGCTCTCATAGAAATTTAGATATTTGAACTCAAACTTGAGGGCCCTTCTATTACAATCTTTATCGGCCTATTAAGAAATTCAAATAAAAACATTTTCAGACCCTCTTCTCCGTATTCCTCCATTTGCTCATTGAAGTTCACGGAAGTGCAGACGAATATCGTCTTCTAGGAGATCTACGCCACAATTATGACCCATACGAACGACCCGTTGCCAACTCATCCGAACCACTGGTGGTCTCTGTGAAAATTTATTTACAACAAATTTTAGATGTTGTGAGTTATTATCGTTTTTCCATATTGATAGAAGCCCAGCCAAACCGTCAATTTTTGACCTTAATTATCTCGGTTCCTCCAAATGTTATCCTAGTGTGTCAACTGATAAAACATTCTCCATCATTTCCGCATCATTTTATCAGTACACTAGTTTTTGATATATTCTCAAGGAACTGAAATAATTGAGCTCAAATTTGACGGATTGAATGGGCTTCCATTGAAAACAGTCGCACATTGAATTTTTTAGGATGAGAAAAATCAAGTGATCACATTAGTCGCTTGGATAGAATATCAATGGACCGATTATAAATTGAAGTGGGATCCCAGTGAGTATGGAGGTATCAAAGATATTCGAATACCAGGAAATGCAAATGCAATTTGGAAACCAGATGTTTTGCTATATAATAGGTCAGTGACAGAGTTTTAAAAACTGTTTAAAAAACACTCGGAAAGTACAACCATTATAGATTAATTAGGTAGTAAATCAATTCATAGCTATGAAATTCTCTATTCGAAAGTCCAAAGTACATGAAAAATTAGAATTTGGTACATCCGAATTGTTTATTTCGTACCCCTAAATTGCTTTGCACCCAGTTGTTCCCACGAATTGTGGTATCCTGCGAATTGTTACCCAAAAACTGAACCTGAAATGTTTTGACTCAGAAGTGTAAGATTAATTGATTCCAGCGCTGATGAGAATTTCGACTCTACATATCCAGTGAACTATGTTGTGAGCTACACCGGCGACGTGCTCCAAGTACCCCCGGGAATACTCAAATTGTCGTGTAAAATTGATATCACCTATTTTCCATTCGATGATCAAATATGTCATCTCAAGGTACGTTTTTCTTCCGACCCACACTTCGAATTCAATTTTCCGAACCGAATATGTATTGTTGTGCTATTTTTTCTTTCCTAGTGCGCAGAAATGGAAGACGGCAAAAATATAGGTCTAATCCAGGGTGGTCGAGTAAACGTTTTATCGCAAAACTACATCTACTAATCTTGGGTCGCGAGCAGAGGAAAACTCTCTTCCTTTGAATTTTCATATTTTTCTCTGAATTCGAAACGAAAAAGTGATTGTTTACTTTCCTTGAAAATATAATGAATGAGAACTAAAGGCAAAACGGATTCTGGTCACTAATCTTCTGTTGGGTCCTCCATCTTTTCCCGACTTTCAGTTCGGTTCCTGGACATATAGTGGAAACTTCATCGACTTGAGAATCAACGGTCCCGAGGGGAAGAATATATCTGATGAAGGGATTGATGTGCAGTATTATGTGCAAAACGGTGAATGGAATTTGTTAGGTAAGTGGGAAGAACAGGCATGAAAGAATTGAAAGGGACAAAAAGCTTGTGGACCTGTTGAGTGTGTTGAATCTACTTTGAACACTATGATAGACGGGGACCCTATTCGCTTTAAGCTCAAGCATCTGATTTTCTATAAAAGACATAAAAACATGTCGACCAATTAAATGTTGGTGTTATCATGAAAAACATTTTTCAGTTGACACATTTTTGATATTTCTCATAGCAATTGAGCTTAAAGTGTGTCAATTTACTGAAAATTGATATCAGCTGACATACTGTGGGAAAGTTGTGCGGTCTAAAAATGTCATAATTATAAAAGCGGGACTATGTATTCTCTCTATTACAAACAACCTACGCCAAATTTGGGCTCAATTATCTCGATTTCTGTGAAAGATATCAAAAACATGTCAATCACTAAATTATTCATCTCAATATCACTAATATTTTATCAGTTGACGAATTTTTCATATCTTTGACTAGAATCGAAATAATTGAGCTTAAAGTTGACGACTTGAGTTGTCTTCTATGTATGAGAGGAAATATGGTACGTTTGTAGGGTACATTGGTAGAAGATCAAAATATTCGAAAATAGATTTATAAGAATAAGTTGAAAATTTGCTAAAAATTCCTCTTTATTCATGCTTCAAAATCTGTATTACTAATCCAATCTCATGAACTTTTTAGCTGTACCCGCTCGTCATGAAACCAACATTTTCGATGAACAACCATATCCATCACTTTTCTTCTACCTTATCATTCAACGCCGCACACTTTATTATGGTGAAACTTATATTCAAATTGTTTCGAACCTCCTTTTTGAAATTCAGGATTGAATCTGATCATCCCTTCTTTCCTAATATCCCTCATGACTGTTCTCGGTTTCACACTTCCGCCAGATGCTGGAGAGAAAATCACATTGGGTAAATATTCTAAAAAATCGTAATAAATTATTCTCGAAATTCCAGAAATCACTATCCTCCTCTCCGTGTGTTTCTTCTTGAGTATGGTAGCGGATATGACACCGCCAACATCTGAAGCTGTTCCATTGATTGGCGCATTTTTCTCATGTTGTATGTTGGTCGTTTCTGCCTCTGTCGTCTTTACTGTCTTGGTCCTAAACCTCCATAACCGCAAACCAGAGACCCATGAAATGAGTCCATTTGTGAGTGACTGAATAGTTTGATAAGGTTAATTTTAGCTTTTAATTTTTAGCTCCGTGAGCTTCTGCTTATTTGGCTTCCATGGCTTCTGCTAATGAGACGTCCAGGAAAAACAGTATTTAATTGCGCCCATATCAAAGCGGAGAAGGCTGAAGAGAAAGCGAAGCAGGATTCGTTTAAAAACGGAAAAGGCCCGACCAAGACTACCGACTCTGTTCATCCATCTGATGGTTTTTCGTTGATGAGGAATATTAAAATGCAGCGACAAGCAACTATTGATATAGATGGAGGTAGGTTGAAGAACACTACCCCTACCTAATCCCAGTCATTTATATTTTTTGCAGAATTCCATGTTCAACATAATCACTTAATGCCAGTGGCTCCATCCGAGACTCCTAGAGTTGTCTATTCAAAAGTAATGGCCGAGTCTTATGTGGAAGACAGTAAGATCATCAGTACGAAAAAAATCTTCAGTGTCTTTTTTGCAGTGGTGATGACGGAGCTAAACAAGTACATGCAAAAAGCGTGTCTGGAGTTAAAGAACATTTCGACGCAAACGAAAGCAATGAGGAAGAAGATGGAAGAAGATGAGAGGGTATGATCCTTTAAAAATCGGAAATACCAATAAAACGTGTATTCAGGATGAGCAAGCAGCGAACGATTGGAAATTCGCTGCGATGGTTGTGGACCGGTGTTGTTTGATTACATTTTCCGTTTTCATTGTTGTGAGCACATGTGGAATTATGTTCAGCTCTCCTCATCTCATTGCCTAACGTTTTTTTCAAACTTTTATATTCAAAAACAGGGTTTCCAAGATAAAATTGTCTTTCAATAAATATATAACAAATCTAATACAACAATTCAACAAACTAGTTCAGTTCAGATAACAAAATAGCGCTGTTCCTCAAACGGAATACGGTTAATACAGCTCTAGATCCACTAGATGCGATATATTGGTTGGGCGTCTTGTCAAAGAAAATCGGTGTCGAGGTGGTCGTGGTTTGAAACAACCACAGCAGACCGTATCTTGAATACTTCTTCTGAAATCCGTGAATGAACAATCAAACAATTTTTGAGACTGACCTAGTGGATTGTCGTCGGATATTTACATCACCAGCGGAGTTGGGCACAATGGAGTACTGGAAATTAACGAAATATAAACATTTAGAATTTGCAGAAAAAAATCTTACCATCCTCCTTGGCCTTCCCGGTAGTACACCAACTGTGCTATGCTTCTGTATGTTGAACAGCTGGGACTCCACGAGTGAATTTCTTTAAGTACTTATTGTCGGGGGGTATTTTAATATTTGATTAAGGGAAAATACTGTAACAGAATTTTCTAAACACTTTGAGCCATTATGTCTCAGTTCCCGTGATGCTTATCAGAAAGTGGCCAAGTGCCAAAATATTTGTGATATTGTTATTCTGTGATTTATTATTTTGATATCATTCACGGGAACCGAGGTAAATCGACTCAAAATTGACGCTTGTTAGGATAATAATTTCGTCAGAGTGTTTAGGTCAATACGGTATTCGAAAAACTGTATAATCTAATTCTAACAAATACATTCTAATTCCAGTCAATATAAGTGAAAATTCTCTGATACCAAATTCTGATTGTAATGTTTTGTTTAAGTTAGTAATGATGATCTTACTAATAACGATAATCTCTCAAATTCAGCATATCAGTTGAAAGTTTTAGTGTTTTCTGTTTATTACAAAATGATAATCTGATTATTTCAAAATTGACCTAGCAAATCTTTCCAGCACGATCGCACTAGGCGGCTCTCGGTTTGCAGCTGTTACCTCGTCAGCATTCGATGCCATGAATCTATGAAAAAGTTTTGAAAATCTTCATGATTTCTCATTCTTACCCGAGAACCAGTAAATTAACACAAGCAGAAAATACAGCAAGTCCGACCAATATGAACAGGATAGTAGCGAAAACGTAAAGTGGCTTTTCTTGAAGTGCATTGGTTTGTTGTAATGGTACGAGATCACCAAACCCGATTGTTGAAACTGAACAACATTAACCCAGATCTTACATGTTGTGTTTTGAAGACTTACAAGTTATCATGCAAAAGTAATAGGCGTCAAATATTGACCATTTTTCTATGGTGTGAAACATATAGGTACCTGAAATCCCAATGTAGAATTTTCTGTAGTTTGATCTACAGTATCGGTCAATAACATATATGAACTCGTATTTTTCTGTTGATTTTGACCATTTTCAGGGGTCTGAAGCTGAGCTTTCAAGTTTCCAATCACCTTAAAGCTCTAAAATGTTCAAACTGATAGAAAACTTGACATTCGAGCTCCAGACTCCTGAAAATAATCAAAATAGCTTGAAGTCAATAGAAAAAAATACGCTAGACATCTTATAGAGTGGAACTGTACCTACCAGATACTATAACCAGAAATCCAATTGTAAATGAAACCATGAGCAGATGTGTAGGGGTCACCTGCAACTTTCAGTATTTTATCGGCTTGTGTTAGCCAAAATATTACCTCCTGTAGACACGTGTACCCTTGTTGATGTAAATTATCCCGAAACTGAATATTTGAATGTTTGAAGTCTTTTTTCCGTGTTTCAGCGACTCACCTTGTGTAAGCTATAAGCAATAAAAGTGTTGACACGCTCACCGATACTTTGGAACATAACCAACCCCATTGGAATCCCGAAAAGAGCAAAAATCATACAGAACAATTTTCCAGCAAGGGTGGATGGTGCAGAGTGACCGTAACCTGAAAATTGAGATATTAATTTAATTGGTTATGAAATAGGACACTCGTACCAACGGTAGTAATGACTACTGTTGCAAAATAAAATGCGCCAGCAAACTGCCACTGATATCCTGCTTGTTGTGGTATGCTTTTGATAGCAATAGCTTCAAATAAATGCATGTCCCTGGAAATTTTTATTGATAGAAACCAGAAAATATGAAAATACCGTTCACTGAAGTTGTACTTGTTTTTTAACCGTTCTGTAACCCGTTCGATTTCATCTCGGACCCGATTATCATCTTCACCTTCAGAAATCGAATTGAAATTGTATTTCTTAAGAAGTTTAACAAGAAAAACTTACTCTCTAATTTATCAAATATCATTGCCCCAAATAGAAGATATGTGAAAGTGGATAAAATGAGAAGCAGTGCTCTCGCAGATTTCCCGTCGATTTGATTCATTCCTTGCAAACTATCTACTCGATCCTGTACCAATAGAGATCTATAAGAATCAAACTACAGATAAAAAAGAGTAATGAGAAGAAAATAGACAACATAGGTCTTGTCTATGCCTATCTCAGAAAAGAGGACCGCCCAAAAAAACTGCCAAATTCGGTTATATTTCTTGCTGTCACCCACTAATGAACTTTATGTGTGGAGAGAAGAGGGTCCGAGAAGTGAGGGAATTCACTTCTTCTGCGTTTTTTTGAGTAGGCACAAAAAGAAAAAGATACAAGTTGAAGGGGGGAGAAGAGTTTGAGAAGGAAAGTTACGAGTTAAGAAGTTCGTCAAAAGACCCAGAAAATTTGGCTGAGCGGATGCGATGCCGTTTCCGTTGACACCCGCCTATTTTTTTCTCTCTTTGGTTCTTTTCTGTCATCTTGTGTTGTTCTGGTGATCTGTGTAGTTTCATTGTTGACCCAAAAGGCACACATGTGGGTCGTTCAGAAGATCACGGAAATATTGTGAATTTGCTTATTCGAACTCTGAAATGAAGAAGAAATATTTTCCATAACCGTATTGTTTTAATAGAAGCCCACCCTACACCTGAACTTTGAGCTTAATTAAATCGGTTCCTATGTGAGATATCGAAAATCCCTCAACTGATAATATATTCTTGATAATATGATAAATATTGCAGCTGAAACGTTTTTGGTATACTTTGAAGGAACCGAGATAGTTGAGCTCAGACTGCATGTCTAAGGTGGGCTTCTATTTGAGCAAATACGGTAAAATGTATTTTAAAAAAACTATTTCAGAGTACTGTAGATATGAAAGTTGATATGAGAAACATTTTGTGCAGTATTGACTTTATTGTTTTTTTTTTTGGAAAAGACTTGAAATCTCAAAAAAAACTGTTTTCGTGGGTTTGTAGAGTCTGACTAATCTACGGTATTTTTTCAAATAGAAGCATTGAAAGGGTTAATGTTGAGCTCTATATCTAGATTCCTGGAAAAATTCTCAAAAAACTGTCAACTGATAAAATATTGGTGGTGGCATGATAAATAATTCCTTATTTGGCAACATTTCGATATTTTATACAAAAATCGAGATAATGGAGCTCAAAATAGACAGTTTGAGTGAGCTACTTTTCAAAAGAAATACGGTAACTTGACTCAGGGATGTTCGGAATAGTATTTCTGGATTTTATCATAATTTCCAAAAATTCTGAGTTTCAATATTTCGGATTTTTGGAATATTCAGATTTCAAAAATTTCAGTCTTTCAGAATATTTCTATTTCGAAAATTTCGGGATTTCGAAATTTCACTTTCCCAAAAACCCAAAAAGTTGGTAATAATAAATAAACTGTTCGTAGAAAACGCAAATGAATGATAAAAGGGATTCCGTGCAATTCACATAAAAAATTTTTGTCATGCGCCTTCAACGTACCGTAGTCTAAAAAATATCCTTAATTACTGTACCCGTTATGTAATCCTGTTCATTTTTGACCTTAGTTTTTCAATTGAATCAGAATCCTGTAGTTTTATAGCTTCCCCAGATTAGCATCATGCTTCCAGACACCACAATTCTTGCCAACTTTTGTCTCACACACTTTTCGAGAGACAAGACTGATATGAGCTTCTGAAAAAACACCCAAATTCTAGCCACAAACGTGTATCATAAGTATGAGACACCTCTATTTTCCTCTTTCCTCTTATTCCCACTTTTTTTCTGCCACAAAACAGTTGTCGTTCGGATCTGTCTCTCTTTAGAGTAGGAAAAAGCGAGTCATGTCTTGATTACGTCAATCCGTCCGTGTTATCATCAATTTTACAAGACATGTCCCGGATTGCGCCTAAAGTATTTTTCAGAGCAGCGTCCCATGCTTCTCGTGTGTGTGCGGGGTGATAGATTGCAAAAAGCAATGTCAAAGTGGGAGAAGGTGATCCGGATGGAGAGGGAACAGTTGTGTTTTACACTTTTGCTGGCGGGTGATCCGCGGACAGGGTAATGTGACAATCCAATTGGTTTATTCACACAAATTGGTATTCGGACCACCCTGGGAATGAAATAAGGTTTCTGGGCGAAAAATGGCCAAGAACAAAAAAATTAGAGCAGTTAAAATGAGAGATTTCATTGAGGAACAATAGCGAAAAATACAAAAAATTGGTGATGGAATGTTGTTGAATTTTCAACAGTTTTCTATTAGGAGCATCCTGGGGAAACGGATGAAAAAATTTTTTCATACTTGCAAAATCAGGGCCCGGTTTCTCCAAATTTGAAAAATGTTTGAAATTTCAGAAATATTTTCAATTTTTTTGTGAAAGAACTATTTTTATGGACATTCTTTTCTTGTCAGAAAAATCGTAAAATTTTTTTGTTGACCCCAAAATTTTTTTTTTGAAAATCCGGGCTCTGAAAATTCTGAAAAAAAAAATATTTTTTTTTACTTTTACTGTAGTTTTTTTCCAGGCTTTCCTTTCAAAACCTCCTGAGAAAAAGTACAAACCAATTGTTCTCCTGTGTCCACCATCCAATCTCAATTACATAACCCTATCATCATTTCGAGAGCAACATTCAATACATATCTACAATCTCCTCTACCCTCCTCTCAATTCTCATTTCCACACTATATATCTGTGTAGTACAATTGCTGCGGGTACTGATGAGATACATGGAGATCAACAGACATAGAGAAAAAATTGTCGCGGGGAGAGGCTCAAGTGGTGATGACTCTCTCTATCTTCTGCGGGCTCCCGTGTGGTGGAGATGATTTCTGCCTGATGCGCGTCGTCTCGTTCTCTTCACCCTTATCGCCTTGTCATGTATACTTCTCTCGGTTTCGATTGTTAGATCTTTTGTTAACTAACTCAATATCACTTTTTTGAGAAGATATTGTTGTCACTTTTGTAAATATCCAGTGCAACAACTAACTCTTCTTTCTTTTTTTGAAGTATTTCATATATTCTTCAATTTAGAAGATTAGATTTTGAAATACTCGATTTCATCGTCATCTAAAGATTTTCCTATCGAACTTTCAAGAAAGTGCATCAGTCAGTTTTCCACTAAATTTCCATCTCTTCTCGTCGTCCCATTGGTCCAAACGAGCAACGAAAGAGCAATAAAAACGTTTGTGCTCACATGAACACCTGGAGGGGTCCTTTTTCACTTGGATGAAGAAAGAAATAGGCGGGGATAGAGATGAAATCGTCAAATTTTATTGTCCATGAAGTCAAGATGAATTCAGATATTTGAGCCTATGAAAAATGAAAACCTACCTTCTTTTTTTCCCCAGGAAGAAAAGGTTTGAGTTCGAAATGTTCGACTGGCTTTATGAAATATTCGTTTTACAAAGGAACCATTATCCAAATTCTCATGAAAGGTTTAGGATAGTTTAATATTAGCGTCTCTTGACATTTTGAGAATTTCAGAATCCGCTCGGCTGTCCATTTTTCTACGATTTTCCAGATTTATTTGAGAATTGAAAAAAAATATTTTTGAAGTGTCTGAAATATGGAATATCATGGAATTCTAACACAACAAATTCCATGTTCTGAAACGTCCTGGAATTTGGATCGTACTTGGAAATGGCTGTTTTATACTGAAACTGACATAACTCGGCTAAAACAGGTCAGCGGATAGGCTATTCTAAACTTATCCTGAAATTTTTTTTAAATTGGTTTCAGAAAATGTTGGGATTCTCTTGTTAGAACTCTTGCCAAACCATTTCATTTTTTGAGCTTAAAATTATTCTAATATTCATGAATTTCTGTGTAAAAGAAACAAAAGAAGCGTAAATGGGACTTGTCACCAACCACTCAATTCCGAAACTTTTGAGGAGAATGACAGAGGCACTATGATGCCATGTCCAGAATAGACACAGACTTCTTGTGTATATGTTGATTGAATATTATGCTTGAGCATTTTGTTTCAAAGTGTTCCGAGACTATTCTTCTTTTTTGCCTGGATTTTTGAACTGCAAATGTTAAAATACTATTTGATTAGCAAAATTTGAAAAAGTGAAACACATAAATTGAATTTTAATTCCGGATCAGCCGAAAGATGTTCGCTCAAGTTTGACGCTTGTCAACAAGCACACAAAAATTTGCATTTCGTTTCTTCATCCCCAGCTTTTCGTCTTGAGAACTCTACTTTTTCTTTGAGCTTGCAGGAAACGAAAATATTTCAATTGAATAAATTTTGATAAAGAAGTTTGAAACGAGTGCAATTATCCTTATACTGATATTCCCAATGGGACTTGCATGAACCCAGTGTTCCGCACTCTGGAGTTTTGGTTTTAGAGATGAAGAGATAAAAATGTTGCCAATTTTATTGCTTCTGCTTTTATTTCCTTTTCCTTCCTTTTTATTCTTCTTTTAGTCTATTTTTTTCATTCTCTTTTCAAAGTTTTAAATTCTCGGTTCATATAGAATTTTCATTTAGTATTTCAAAAACCATGATCTTCAAAACATTGTTCCATTCTGAAATTTAATTAGAGCACCTACAGTATTGCTCATAAGATTCACCACATTGTGTTTTTGCAGTTGATTGTGGGTCATCTCGACTTTATTCAGAGGTCTAGAGCTCGACTGTCAAATTTTCTATAATTTTGAAAATTTTGATATTTTCTGGCTTTTGAAAAAACGGCCCCGAAAAATGTTATTTTTTGACCAAAATTCCAAATTACACGCTTTTTCCAATCCATAAAATCATTATTTTCGTCTCAACACCCCGCTTTTGGAAGAATCGAGAGTGGCATAGATAAAATTAAATTTCTGACGTTTTTTTTTCTACTTTTCTAAAAAATGTAGCCTCGAAATTTTCCAATCATCTTCTTCCAAGGTTCTCCCCAAATTCCTAAAAAAATCAGTGTAGTCCTTCCCTAATCCAATTTTTCTCAATTTTCCATCTCCATCTAAAAAAAGGGCAACTCGTTTCAAATGAAACAAAGTTGTTTGAAGGACGTACCTACCAGTAAGTAAGTTCATTGAACTCGGAAGCTTTAACCACATCCGAAACCTGCAGGGTCTCAAAGGTTTCATTTTTCCCGACCCCTATCAGTTTCAGGTTCTGTTAACACCTAGCTTCCCCCGTAAACAACAAAAACTTGTCTTAGGTTTCACGAGAAAATTGAAAAAAGCGAAAAAATATTCTAGACGTCAACTTCAAAAGCTTTCGTGACCCCATTCGTCTCTCTTCCAAAACGTCCCGTACCCTTTATGCAATTAGCTAGTCTTCGATGTTCTTTTTTTTCCAATTTCCTCTTTTTTCTCTTCCTTCATTTTTCTCCTTATGACCCCTAACAAATCTCCAGAACCCGTATGTTTATTGTCTCATAGTATTTTCTAGTGTATACATTCCATTCCAAAAACTCAAAACCTCGAAGTGCTACAAGAAGAATAGGTTAACCTCTGCGCTCTCCCTCTTTCCATCTTCACTTACTTCCAAAAATTTGATTACAATGGCTATTGAAAAGCGACGAAAACGCGAAGAGTTGTAGAAGAAGTCAGTTTGGGTCCCTCCTACACTTTTTTTTCCTTTTTTGCCTAAACCTAAACTTTGTCAACTTTTGTCATGTTGCCATTTCTCATTTTTTTGTAGCCCATTTGCATTTTGATTATATTCAATCTCTCAAACTTCAAGTCGAATAAAAAAAATAGAATAGAGAAAAGAGAAGATCGGTGACGTCATAGTCCACCTGTTTATGTGTGAGAAGAATCATGAGATATATTGCCAATGGGAAAGATGAGAATGGGATACCTTATCCTATTTTTTTTCATTGAAGTGTCGAAGGGTTTTCAGGGTTTCTGGTCCCCCTTGTCTTACAGTAACCCCTTCAATCTTATAAAAGTCAATAGGTTTCGAGAAGATTTTTTGTCCACTCTTCCCTTCTTTTTTCCATTTATGGGTCTAAATGAGCCAATAAATCCTGAGCTCTTGCCTTCCTTCCTAATTTCCGCCCCCGTCTTCTCGAATCTTCCCTGTTTTTTTTCGCATATTCAAATCCTTTCATGAGCCTACAGCTCATTTGTCTTTTTCCCAAATGCATTTGAGTGTTTTCTACCGTACTCCAGCAGTGAAACCCTGAAATTGAGTGAAAGAGGAGAAGGGGTGGAGCCAATTCTGAGCTTTCATTCCGAGAGACTTCTACCGGACTCATTCAAGAAATCTCGACACCTTGTGAACCCAGGTTTTGATGAAAATGTTCGGATAGATCAAGAATAGCTCATCTAGAATCTACTGAAAGGTTGGAATCAGTTTCTGCTAAGTAATATCAGGTTCAGTTCAAAAAATAGGGTTTTGTAGTGCATCAGCGACTTTCGAAAATGACTTTACCACATCTAAGATGTTTCGGATCATGACATGAACCGTGTTACACTTAGAATTAGCTGAGATTTCATAGTTTAAAAATTTTCTCAATTTTTTAAATTTTTTTAAAGATTGGAGAATTGTGGAAAAACGTTTTATTTTTAATGTGTTCCGACGGTTTTCCAGACTTATTCGAAAATTGAAAACAATTCATTTTTGAGAATATGTTCAGAATATACAATTTTTCCAATTCTAATTATAACACAACAATTTTCATTTACTGAAACGTCTTAAAAATTTAAAAAGTTTTTTGGTACTGAAACTAATATAGCTCGGCTGAAACTGATTCTAACATTTTCAGATGTGCCTAAATGAGCTACTCATAATTTATCCTGACACTTTCATCAAATTCCTAATTCACAAAACGTTCCCTAGTTTTTAAAAAAAGTTTTCAAAGAATTGTTATTTTGGAACCTGAGGCTCTTGCACTATTTCAATTTCCCATGACATTTTTGCTCTTCTAGAAACTAAAATTGGTTTTTTGAAATGTGATTCGCCTTTCTCTCTCACATTCATGAGAAAAAATTTGAGGGTACCCTTGGAAACAAGTCACCAAAGGCAAATGGGACACTCATTCATTATGTGTCCCCTTCTCAATGCCTCAATTCAGGAGGACAAAATATGCCTTCTCCTTCTTTTGGGGGACCCACACCGCTCTCGTGGGGATACATTTTATCGCCTACTAACTGCATTGTCAAGTGAGAAAAGAGTGATTCCATGCTTCTCTGGACACCCCTTCCCCCAAGCACTTTTGTTTTATCCCCTGTAACACTTGTCGACATCTTAATCACATTGTAGAAAGAGCCTTCAGGTTTTCCAGAGAGACCCCAAACTTCTCTCTTGGAAGAGGATACATTAGTAGAAACAACCACACATTTTCACCACTACAAAAGCTTATTAGGCTGGAGGGAAGGGAAGAGGTTCGAAAGAAACGTAATGTGGGCGGAGCGTTATTTGATGGGCCTCCCATCAGATTTTAGGCACTTCTTCTGGTGGTAGCAGGGAGAGAGAGAGAGCAGAAAAGGCATTCGGATTTACATAATTCTCAATGTGTTGTCCGTGAATAAGTTCACACATGACTTTTCTCACCCGGAGGCGTTTCTGGAATTGTTTCTATTTAAAGAATCCCATTTTGAAAATTTTGAATTTTTTGAAAAAAAGGTAAAAATCGGCTGTACCGTACTTGCTGTAATAGCCGATACGTGCATTGAAGCTCAATCATTTCGGTTCCTATCAGAGATATCGAAATTCTGTCAACTGATAAAACATTGCTGATACTATGATAAATAATGTATCAGTTACAAATGTTTTGTTACCTTCAAAGGAAACCGAGATAATTGAGCTCAAAAAGCACGGATAGGGATGGCTTATATTAGAGCTTACACGGAAAATGAATTTCGGCTCATCTCAAATCTACCCAATACGTTTGGGCACAGATTGAGACAATTGACAGCGGACAGCAACTTCCTCTTACTGGACCTCTGTTATGACATTACCTCTTTTCCTTTTCTACATCTTCTATTCCCTTTGCTTTTCTTTCTTCTATTTTTCGTTTTGCGGTTTTGTCTTTTTTCGAATTTCTACATTTTTGCAACTTTTAGGTCAATGCACAAAAATGACTAACCAAATATGTATAAATCCTCTCACGCTCTTTCCATAAAAACTCATAAAATCTTGTCTTGTTTTCATTTTTATGATCCATTTTCCTTCACATTATAACGACGCTAATTATTTCTATACTCTCCCATTACGTTACCGTAGTCGTATTTTTATAGACATCGTGAAAAAAGAAAAAAGTGGATGGTCGATGAGTTAGAAAACATAATGAGAATTCAAAAGTGAACGATATGAAGTTGATCTACCTTCTACTGCTTCTATTTCTCCCTAGGATACGGTAAGCCCTTACAGTACCCGTCAAAAGCGTGTTTTGAGTTGATTTATATCATTTTCTGGACTCTGGTGCTCGGTTGTCAAGTGTCAGATCGTTTCAGAATTTTTTGAAAGGTACAAATCTGACCTAGGAATTTGACCTAGTTTGAAAACTGACCTAGTTTGGAATACTTGCATTCACAGCATTTTTAGAAATTTTCTAGTTTTTCAGCTTTTTGCCGATTTCTCGATGACACCTGTTTACCTGTTTTCTGTACTGAAAAGGTGTACTCAATCGCCAAATAATATAAATATTTGGAATTAAAAAAAAATTATATGAAAGCAAAGTTCTAAGTCTGTTTTACTAAAACCTGATCCGAAACTAAAACCTGATTCAACCAAACTAAAACCTTATTCAACCTGAACCGAAATTTGACAATCGAGCTCCAGATCCTTGAAATTGGTCAGAACAACCTGAAAAAACAACATTTCTATTCATCCGTAAGACTGAAAACTCTAAAAACCCAACAAATTTTCAGATCCTATGATGTTCGATCGGTTAGCACATCTTGGGGAATGGTGAGAGGCGAGGTAGTGAGCCCTGAAGGAGAAGATCTTCCCCCTGTTGCTCAATATCTAGGCATCCCATATGGTGTTGCTCCAACTGGACAGGTTAGTCTTTTTTGTTTTTCTGGAGTATGTCTGCCAAGAAAAACGAACAAAAACGTTGATATATTTGATATGTCCCACGAATTCCCATGGGAAAAAATGTTGGCAATGATTGGTGATGTTTTGACAAGCTTTTCAAGATGTTGCCGACAAAACTTTTTGAGCCACAACATATCAAAAAATTGTACTTTTTCAGTATCGCTTCAACATGGCCATATCTGCCGCCAAATGGACACACTTGCCCAAGGATGCTCGGAAAGTGTCTCCAGTTTGCATTCAAACCGACATGCCAGAACTTAGTGAAACCAAGTAGGGGAAACCATGGCTTTAAAAAGCCGTTCTTCGCATTTTCAGACGTTTCAGAGCATTCAAACATACCTCTGCACAACGATTTGACTTCAATCATCGATTACTGCCAAATTTGAAGAAGCAATCTGAAGACTGTCTCTATATGAATATCTATGTCCCAGAAAGGCTAGAAAGTTCTAGAGACAACTATCTCCCAGTCATGGTTGTAGTCCATGGAGACGAGTATGGATGGGGAACGGGAAATGCATTCAACGGGACCACTCTGGCAGCATACGGTCATATTATTGTAGTCACTTTGAACTATAGATTGGGTGTTTTCGGTGGGTAGAAACAGATGGGGATTATATTAATAAATGAGGAAGTTTAGGGTTTTTGGGTCGGTGTGAATCATCGTCTTGTTCTGGTAATAGTGGAATTTCCGATTTGGTCTCTGCATTGACAATGTTGAATGTTATCTTGCCGTCGTTTGGAGGGACTCAAAATCGGTCACTTTGGCTGGTAAGTAGGAACAACAAGCATTTGTTGGTTCAGTGTTTTTAGGTATAATTTTTCTGATACAACAAAACCTAAAATTCTAAAAATTCTAAAAATTGAAACAATTCAAAATTTGAAACTCTTTGAATTTCAGATTGTGTTTTTATCCTTGAAAAAAGTTTTACAATTTATTTTGAAACCTATACAGTAGCCTGAAAATAGTTCCGGTGAGGAAAAGTCCCGAATTTTTTTCCTCATTTGAGAAAACCTAAAAAATAGTTTTTATCAAAAACCTACCTCAAAAATTAACAAAACTCATTTATTTCCAGGTTGGGGCTCAGGCGCATCCCTTGTCTCACTTCTTATGGCCTCCCCGCTTACCCAACCAGGCCGCAGACTATTCCGACGTGCAATCCTCTTGGATGGAAGTGCTTTATCGCCTTGGGCAATCTCCCAAAACCCACAACAGTATTTTATGCAACTCGCCGAGGAACTGGCGGTAAGCGGATTACGATTTTCCCCATTTTCCCATACAATTTGAATATTGTTTACCTCTTGTTGCATAAAAATACAACTCAAAATAATTCCAGTGCGCTCCAAAAAACCGATCCTCGTCGTTCAATGAAAACGTGGACACAATCCTCCGGTGCATGCAAGTGCACTCGTCTGAGAATATCACAAAAGCCGTTCTCAAAATCGATGTTCCCACTTTTTTGTCGGGATTTGCGCCGATTGTTGATGGACAGGTGGGCAGAGGTGTTTCAAGTGCACGCACTAATGATCAGCTAATTAATTACATGTCACAAAATGACACATTTGGGTCTAATTGGACAGAGATTTGTGAAGTGGGAGGGGGGAGAAAAGGACACAAATGTTCTTAGAAAAGCGTTTTGAGTTCAAAGCCTATTGGGAAGCAAATAAAATATACAAAGTATAACATTTCAGTTTCTTTTAGACCATAATGATAATTTTCGAGAATCTGGAGCTCGGCTGTCAAGTTTTTGATCATTTTGAAATTTTCAGAGGGTGTGAAACAGACACATGTCTCTCGGCAAATATCTGGCAAATTAGAAATTTTCAAGAAATTATACAAATGCAAGGTTTTCAATCTAGGTCCGTTTTACACATTTCCGAATTCTCAAAATTATGAGAAACTTGAGAGCTGAGCTCCAAACCGCTGAAAATAGCGAAAAATGATCAAAAATCCACGGGAATTATGTTTTTGTATCTCTGAATTTGCCGTTCGTGTGTCTGATTATATGTAAAAATATTTAACAAGGGAACATCAACACCTCACAAACCGAGATTTTGATGAAAATTTCAAGATATGTTCCAAAACGCCTATCTAGACATTTCTAAAAATTTTAGACTCCGCTCGCCCGTTTCAGCCGAGTTATATCAGTTTCAGTATCAAAAATCGCCTTTTCAGTGCAAAAGCAGCGTTTTCAAAGACGATTTTCTCCACTTCTAGGAGGTTCCAGAAGTTGATAATTTTTGTTTTAGACTTAGGATTTAATGGGATTCGACATGGCAAACTTTGTCTCAAGAAACGTTTTTTTCAATTTTCGATAAAATCTGGAAAATCGCGAAAAAATTCAAAAATAAAAAAATTTTTTGAGGAAATGCTTGAAATATAAAATTTTATCAAAGTCTAAATATAACACAACAAATTTCGTTTTCTGAAACGCCGTAGAATTTGAGAAAATCGTTTTTGAAAACGCTGCTTTTGCACTGAAACGACGATTTTTGGTACTGAAACTTAATATAANCTCGGCTGAAACTGGCCGGCGGATTCTAAAATTTTCAGAGATGTCTAGCTATTTTTATCTTATTTTAAAATTTTCATCCAAATCTGGGTTTGTAAGGTGTTGAGGTTTCCTTGTGAAAGTGATTATCTGACAAACATTTTATTTCATTAGGTTCCTAGCAGTCATTTAAAAAGTTCTCGGCATTTTCAGCTAATACCTAACAATCCTCAAGTATCTTTCTCCACCCAATATGGTTCATTATTCCGCGAAATTGATCTACTGGTCGGAATCAGTTCCAACCCTTCGCATCACATGATTTCTAATGAAGACCTGAAAGTTGGAATATCCAAAGAGAAACGGATGAGAATCTTCCGATCTTTGGTCCGAAACTTGTACGATTTCCATCGGGAAGAAATCTTGGCATCAATCATAAATGAGTATACCGATTGGGAAAATCCAAGAGTATGTCTCTAATTTCATAATGTTAAAATATTTTTTCGATTTCTAGGATCACCCAAAATCCATCCGCAATGGAGTCCTCAGCGCTTTGAGTGACGTACTTTACACCGCGCCTATCATCGAAACACTTCGGAGTCATAGTCCGGATGAAGTTCGCAAGGAGGCAAACACATTCATGTGAGTCGTAAAAAAAGAACCCAGATTTTCAACAAGTGTCTTTTCCTCGTTTTCAGGTTCGCATTCGCCCACGAAACGCGTTCATGGAGTCAGGAGCAGCCGAATAGTGGAATCAGGGGATCGCTTTCCGGTGATATCGTTCCATATGTTTTTGGGTATCCATTGGCTCAAGGGGATAGTGAGGAACGGTTGTATTCTGGATTTAATAGTGACGATAAAGGAATCTCGAAAGTTATGATGCATTATGTATCGAATTTTGTGAAATCTGGCGATCCATCAAAACCGAATCCAATGTCGAAAAATTTTCCAATGGGAGACGTTTTCCACTCAACCGCTTGGCCACAATTTGATCAACCAAATCGTGAAGCTTATTTGGAAATTAGTGAGTTTCCGATATGAAATACATATTTTTAGTTGATTTCCAGCCATTTCACCACTTTTAGGAGTTTGGAACTCGGCTGTCCAGTTTCCGATCACTTCTAAAATTTTGAGGGGTGTAAACCAGAGATAAGTTGAAAAATTGCATTCACAGGATTTTTTGAAAATTCTCAGTTTTTCAGTTATTTACCAAATTCTGAAAGACACCCGCTTTTAGTACGAAATCGGGTAAAAAATCTTTCAAAAATCAACAAATATCTGAAAAACTAGGAAATTTCAAAAAATTCTGTGAATACATAGTTTTCAGTCTAGGTCTCTTTCACACTCTACAAAGTTTTCAAAGTGATTGAAAGCACTGTCGAGCATAATTGGAAAAACCGTTTTTGTATATCTTATTGACCTGCACTGTTTCTAATTTATTCTTTCAGCTGATCGTCCACGTGTTAAGAACTACTACCGAAATGCTCAAGTTGGATTCTGGAACAATTTCATTCCACAATTACACAGAAAAGGAAAGGAAACGGAGCCAGTTGGAGAAGAGCATCATTTGCTACAGGACCACTTTAGGAAAGATAGCTATTTCGGAAAAACACGACATTTCTCAACATTTGCTAATATGCCGTTCCCACCGCCACCAATGCCACCATCACCACCACCAGAGCTGACAACAAAGCCAAAAACCAGTGAATGTAAATTGTATTCAACCTTAATATCTCTAACTCCGATTTATTTTAGCTCCAACCACACTACAAACTACAACTGAAGTTGAGCGGGTCCAAGCTGGCGGTTACGGAAGAGCACTGGCACTGGTGATTCTCGTTGGAGTGGCTTTCCTGATTATCAACCTGTGCATATTATTGGCAATTCGTCGCGAGGTATGCATTTTTGCTATCGCGTACTATTATTTTTGAGTTTCGATGCCTTGAAATCTATCCGTTGGTGGTGGTTATCAACCATTTTTAAAGTTATCGAGATTTTATCAAGTTCATTTTCATTTTTTTTTTGTTACAAATGATTGTTATTCTTCCTCTATTCAGTGGGTGGGAAAGAAAAGGACCAAGAAGAATTTCCAACTCCAGTACCAAACGTATAATTCGACTCACGGAGGACCAGGAGGAGCGGAACAATATAACAGTCTGAATTCGCCGGTATGAATCTATCGCTATTTCCCCTTAGAAATTCTAGTCCGTAACAAAAAATATTAATACATTTTCTGATTCATACTAGCCGAAACAATCCCTTATGTGCATGAAGGCATGAAGCTAAAACCCTAATACTAATTTGGTTACCAGTTATCCCTAATGCCACCGCCTCCACCACCAATCAATGGAATTCACGACGATATATTCGACCATCGGATTCCCCATCTGCGGAATGGTTCAACGATACATGGAACGCTTCCAAGACATTCATTTCAGGAACAGGCACGTGTATAACGCATATTTCCCCCCTTACCCTTACCCGTTTTACAAAGTTATGATCTCATTTTCGCTTTTTCCGAACAGCTTTGGAAATTGTGAAGAATGGTTTTGTTAACAGAAAGTTAGGTGTGATAGGCAAACAGCATGTTTTCAGAAAAGAAAATTTAAAAGGTGCCGTAGTTACTCTGAAGAAATGCTTCCGTGTACTTGAACTTTGACCTCTATTATCTCAATTTCTATAAGAGATATCAAATTTTTAGTCAGCTAAAAAATTGCTTTTAAAAAACACTTTTAAAACTATAGTTTTCAAGTTATTGATATATCATGCAAGTTTTGAAATGATTAAGCTCAAAGTTCAAATAAAGTGAGTGGAGATCATCAACCAGTTGGGAGTGTTGGGTTCCCCACGGATGTACATTGAAGAATTTGCGATACCTAATAATGACATATTTTTGAAAATAGATATGATATAATGATTTCGAAAATTCGAATAATCTTTTCCAAATTTATTTGTTCTCAAAAAATCTATTACAAATTCAAAATTCGGCAGAATAACGTGTGATAGAAAAGTCCGTAACTTTACGTTTTGCGCAAATTTATCTCGGCTGCTGTTGAATATATTGAAAAGTTTTCAACTTATGAATTGTTCATCATAATATAATAAAAACTTAATCAGTTGACAATTTTTTTGTATAGCCAACAGAAACCGAGATAAAGTGGCTCGAACGTAAAAGTGCGTAGTCCCTTCCGTCATAGATGTTATAAATAGATTCTTAAAAACACATTTAGCCTTATTCTAGTTCTGAATTTCAAAAAATTACAAATCTCACTATTCAGTGAAAAACAAAAAAACACTCTATAGTAACTGATTGCTTTATTCTAACAAAACCAGTTTTCTCACTTTTCAAGGCTTCTTTTCTAATTCAGTAACCTTGGTATGATCAACCTACCTCAATATTGCATTTTGCGATTTTTTGCTATTCCATAACTTTCAAATAAATGTTCTTGTCCCTTGTCCTTTCAGTTCAGTCCAAACAGTACAAAACGTGTGTTCTTTTAGGAACCATTACTAGCTGGATCCCACAAAAACTCAAATTCGATGCGACCGCCGGGAATATCGCCGACGTGTCCACGTCACGGCCGTGCCGCACTTGCCATGCAAAACAGCCGGTAAGCCGATGAGGTTACGGTAGATTGACTAATACTGACATCTTCAAGAGGTAACAGTTTGACTGCTGCACAAGCTCCGACACTGGAAGAGATACAGGTCTAACACAATAACTTCATACACCGTCAAAAATCATCAAATGAATTTTCATCATCAGATTTCTAACTTTTATCCAATTTTCATTCTTTTTTTTTCAAAATCCCAGCTCACGATCTCCCATTTCTTTCGTTTTGTTTTTTTGCTCTGTCTTGAAATGTACACATCCATTTTTGCGGTGTTCTGTACATATTTTTTTCTCAATCTCGTCTCATGAAAATCTGTATGGATCTTTGGAATTTCTTTCTTTTCTATCTCTTTTTTCCTTTTTAAATAAATTGCGATTTGCATAGAAAATTTTATAAATTTGGAGTTATTATTTACACCAAATTAAAAAAAACTAACAGAATAAATTTTGATAGGTAAACAGGAACTTGAAAATATATTCAGTTTCTTTGGTTTAAATTATTTTAGAAATTGGCAAATAGCTGAAAAAATAGCAATTTTCACAAATTACTGTGATTTCAAAGTCTTCAATCTAGGTATATTCTACTCTCCAACGTATTCAAAGTGATCGGAAACTTGACAGCCAAGCTCCAGGCTCCTGAAAACGGTCAAAATTGCCAAAAAATCAATTGAAAAATACGGTTTTGTATTTCTTATTGGCCGGTAAAATGGATAAACGTTTTTTGGCAAAGTCTTGGTCCAGCATACAATTCTTCTTGTGTCGTTAACTTCCATGCACCTTTAAAGTTTCCAGATATTTCAGAATATAATGATTTTTGCACTATTTTTCTCAATATATTGCATTTCATCATTGTTTCCTTGATAACAAAAGCAAGATAAAATTGAATAAATTCAATGAAAATTGCTTGAAACAACAAGAAAATTGTCAAAAATTAGTTACAATTAGGCTTCAAATATAATTTCGACAAAACTAAAGATTTTTAGGCGCATGGTATTTACAACAAGCAGCAAAAAAGGAAATTTTGCTGCTGAATTAATATGTTGCCTTCAAATGAATTTTCGGTCGCAAAGTTCATTGCCACCGGACAAGAATAATAACACTAGCTTTGAAAGTGATAAGTCAGAAACCATCACCAATAAGTAAAGTGTGTACCTTTTTTCCACTCAAAAAACATTGAAAATATTAAGAATACAGATCAAACAAACCCATAAACATATGTACATTTAAAAAGTTTACATATGTTGGTGAACAGAAGATTACCGTTTCATGTGTGTTTGTATGTTCAATAGGGCGAGAGAGGAGAAAGTGAGAACAAGGAACAGACTTTTGAAAAAAAAAATTTGGTTTTCAAATATTTTGGTTTTTCACGCCATAAAATTGTTTGTCAAAAACTTAAAAAATGGTTCATGATGCCAAAAACTATCTGTTCAAATAAATCTGTGTTCCGTTTCAACAATTGTTGGCTGTCACATGATTTTTAAACAATTTTTTGTATCCAGCGTTCAAATTTGGAGAGTCAATACTTTAACTATATCAATTCTAATTTTTCGTATCTGTAATTTGCTGAAATTTCGAAAAATCTCTATAATTACTTTTCAAGACCGCGATGTCTGGTTCACTGACTTCCATTATCTAACAAAATTCCGACTGAAAAAAGTGTCCTTCTTTTGAATTTATTTACTTTTCAATTTCCCATCAAGGTAACCCACAAAGAGATAGTTGTTGTTTACTTCTTCTTTTTCTCATTCGTTTCCGACTTCTTCAAATGCCATCATTTCAAATCGAAGTCACCTATCTGTTTCATTTTTCAATTCTTTTTTCCAATTCAGATCTGATATCAAGAAGTAGATGTTGACTTGTTTTATCACAAGACAGTTTCTCTTTTGTACCATATCTTTTTTTCAAAATTTATGAGGACAGAACCATTCGAAAATTAGCTAACTTTGTAAGCAATTACCATACAAAAATACATAAGGTCGCTCTATTCTTTTGCCAATTTTAATACTTCCCGATTCTTGTCCGGTTGCAAGCATAAAGAGCTGGTTATGGATAGCCCTCTGTCCTCCTGTGAACACACTTTTTTGTCCGAAAGAGCACCTATTCATTCAACTCATAATGTTTGCTTGACTCTCGCGTCAAAATTTTTTTTGGCTCAATACAAGACACTTTCATTTCACATACATATACATATATAAAATATAAGAGATAGGTTTTTTTCCGTGATTCTTTTTTTTCTTGCTGTTCAACTTTGATTGTTTCATCTCACCCCGGTCAACCTTCTCTCTTTTTTTTCTTTTTCTGTCGCATACAGGTCGGTTGATAAGTCTATTGTTTTGTTCTGTTTTTCAATGTTTGTTCTCCCTGACGACGCTCGTTTTCACTTTCGTTCTTCGTTCAGATGATAATTTTTTCGGCCTGACCTTCCATAGACAACTTAATTTTAATTTTTTTTTTTCCATTTTTCTAGTATTACAGTGCCGAAAAAGAACAAAATGAAAATGAAGATCAATAGTTTTAAACTTTTGAACAAAATAAATTCGTCACATGCTAGATTTTGATCGTTAACAATTTTTATCTTGCTTTTTATTAATTTTTTCTAAACACTGAAGTGAACCAAATACGGTACCAGTCGTCAAAAAATTCACAAAAATGCGTTTTCCAGTTGATTTTCAGTCATTTTGATCGTGTTCAGGAGCTCGGCTGTCAAGTTTCCGACCACTGTGAAAACTTTGAAGAAAGTAAGAAAGACCTAGTCTGAAAATTTTGCATTCGCAGAATTTTTCGTAAATTCCTAGTTTTCAGCTCTCTGGCAGTTTCTGTATAACAACATTTTTCGGGAATGTACAAAAAGTTCTATAGCTTTTCAATCTTGACCTGTGTTACATCCCTAACAATGTCGAAGTGATTAGAAACTTGACAGTTTATCTCCAGACTCTTGAAAAACTGGTCAAACTGGCCCAAAATCAACTGAAAAATAAATTTTTGTATATTTTATTGACCGGCTCTCGAATAGACACAATCATATTCAGCTAGATTTGTCAAATTAAAATTATCAGTAACTTTATCTCTCTTTTTTCATTCATACTGTATATCCACTAAAAAAATGAGTAAACCAAATAGCCCCTCATGATTTTGTTTTCAGCTCGAAATGCTCAAAAAATCAGTTATACTCTTGTCAGTGATAACTGTATTTGTATCGTGTGTGGAAGAAGATTATACTATAGACAATTATCCAAACCCAAAAAGAGGAGGTTTCAGAGAATGCGGATTGCTCAGTGCTGGTCTTGTTTGCGATCCATATGAGGTAGGAATTTTTCAAACACTGCCAAATTCCTCATTAATTTAACTATTCAGACTCTCAGTCAATCGGAACGATATCGTATCAACAACCAGCTCATCAATTTCGTATCACAAACTGAGAAAAAGGATAGCACTGATTTTTGCACCAAAAAAGGAACTGACGCGATGTTTGTTATCATGAATTCGGTATTAACATTTATTTTAGAAATTTGAAAATTTTCAATTAGAAATTTTCCAGGCAACACAAGGATTCGCTGATGGACTTCGCAGACACTGGAGTAATATCGATTCACAATGCGGACGGTTCGGTATTCTGGTTCTTTCTCTTGATGATCGACGTATTTATGCTTCTTTTGATGAGAGATCGCCAATTAGTGAGTGATTCGATGGTTTGATAAGAAATTAGAAGGAGTTGTTTTATGGTGTGTAGCTAAAGAGAAGTGGGTAACCGCGTATGGCCGTGACCTGAACAGATAATAAGAAACGATGCGCGTTATTTCTGAAAAAACTGCAAAAAAAGATGTTGAAGAAAGATTCAAAGAAACGGAAAAAGAAAAAATAGAGATTTGAATCAAGTTTGAACTTGTGTTAGTTCATTAAATTCGAAATCAAAATTTGATAAAATTTGCAATAAACCAACATTAGATTCATTATTAAGAGAAGAATAATCAAACAATGTATTGATATTAAAAATTATTCAATTTCTAAAGACGTTTTGTTCAAAACCCTTGTAAGCTGGAAGAATATTTCTCAGAAAAACATGTTTCAAAAAGACTGATTGATTTAATTTTTGTCGGATTTTTTTGCAAATTCAATATAATTTTGATGATGTTTTTGGCTACGTTTTCTTTTCTAAATAAAAGAAAACCTTCGGTCGGTTTGCCTATCTCAAAAGTTTCAAAGCCATGACCAACCCATTTAAGAGTACTACGCGAAGGAAAAGTTACAGTGCCGGTCACTAAAATATACAAAAACATACACATTTTTAGTTAATTTGGTCACTTTGTTCATTTCAGAAGTCTACTGTCATTTTTGAAATTTTGGAGTGATCATTTTTTAAATTTTGGAGTGTGAAAGCTGTATTGAAAACTTTGAATTAGCAGAACTTTTCGTATATTACCAGTTTTCAGCTATTGAAAAAATTATTTTTTGGCAATCCAGAGGCCATATTCATGAACATGTTCCTTGGAAAACCATACTTGTAACGGGCCGAGGCCCGGCCCGGCCCGGCGGGCCCGTCATTTCACTAGTCTTGAAATTTTCAAAAAACACATAAGGGGGGGGGGGGCCCTTATGTGATTTTTTTCGACCAAAATGTTTTTTTCGAGTTTTTTTCAATCTTTTTTGAGTAGACAGACAAACAATCCAAAAAACGAAAAAAAAATGTAAAAAATTATATTGAGAGCTCAAAATTTGGCTCAAAAGTACAGAATTTTTGACACTGAGCCGGGCTCGGGCCTTGAAAATTTCCTCAGGCCCGGGCATTGGCGGGCTGGCCCGGAATTTCACAAGGAATTTCACATTTCACAACTGAACGAAAACCAACTGAAAAATATGTTTTTGTATAGCTCTTTGGCCGGTACTAATATAACACAGGAATGTCCCGCCAGCATAAAAAAAAATCACAACTTTTCAGAGATGACTCCTCTTCAAGCCATCATTGCCACAGAAGAACCCAATATTCAGACTGGATCCTACACCAGTGCTGTGACGAACATCCTCAAAGAAGCCGCAGCTTCAATGGTTCCACAAAATGTACCAACAACAAAAGCCCCACAAACGACAACCAAGTCTTCGACGATACAACTTTCAGCAGCCTCCATTCTTATGTTATCAATTTTGAGGTACTTTAACTGAAATTGATAATTCAGAATTATCATTTATAGATTACATATTTGTCTCACACAAAAACCCTTTCCAGTCATTCCTTTGCCTCTTGTCCCTAAATTTTTTCTTCTTCTCGTTTCTCTTTTTTTTTTCGATTCAATGAACAACACGAACTGACTTGATTTGGCCAATTTTGTTTCTTTTTGACACCCTTTCGAGTTCTTGGAAAACAAGACAAGAAAATAAGTGCGCAATGATGTATCCGTGATGATTCAGAGTTTTTTTTCTAGAAAAAAGAACAACAAATTGGTTTTGTCAACTTTCAAAACTTTATGAAGGTTCCGCTATCTAAAAGATGTACAACATGGGTGAGGAGAGATCTGATGATGATGATGGTTGTTGGCACGTTTTGGCATGCACACATGAAACACATCTTGCACGGAAGAATAACAAGTTTTTGAGGGTGGAAGCAGATTAATGGATTTTTTTTCTTTGTTTTAAGAGTGAAGGGTGCTGGGTGGGAAGAAATTTGGGTGGATGACAACGACATGAGAGATTGGGGCGGGCGATTGGTTTCTTCTTGAGAATCATTATGAATTTTTTTTTGTTTGAAGGAAAATGGCTTGTTCGACGACGGTGATGAATGGGGTGGACAAATTGAGAAGATCAAATCGACAATGACATATACAAAAAAGCAAAAAGAGTGAGAAAAGAGATCATTTTGAATAATTATGAAGGAGAGTTGATAACCAAAAGTTGAGCCCTTGTTTTCATTATCCGTACCGTAGCATTGGAAGAGAAGCCAGCGAATCGAGACTCACTGAGCCGGCGCCCTGAAATTATATTTGTTAAGTTCGGGGAATGTCGTTGGGATTACTGTACCTGGTTTCGGTTGACTCTCATGAACCCGACTTCTTCTTGTGGGTAGTACGAATTTTCCTGATTTCTCGCTGCTGAAAAATTTTAATATTTGACGTATTTCAATGATTTCTGATATTTGAAATTTTTAACTTATACCATTCCTTAATAGTGATTTCAATATTTGAAATATCAAAGTTCAAAAACACAAGAGTCATAATTCAGCTGTCAGATTCTTTGCACGACGTCGTGGTCTGCCGTCTAACTCAAAGTTCGGAATCAGAACTAAAAAAATAACTCTGGATCTTTGAATTTCAAGATTCAATTTGCAAAATACAATATTTCTAAAATAAGCAAACTCACATTGAATCAGGAATCGAACATAATCTGACGGCAGTGCCGAGGTCGTGGCGACAAGCACGATGAAGAAGACAAAAAGAGTTCGCAACCAACTGCTCATACTCTACCCTGCAAAAAATGACGAATGATTTGGGAACATTCTGGTCGAACGAGCAGATGTAAATGACAACAAAGGAGACGAGGAGCAAAAAAATGGGTGAAAGTGAGAAGAATTTGATTTTCTATTTGGTCTTATTCCTGGTCTTTGTCCTAGACACGGTCGCCGGGACCAGTCCCGAATTTCCCAGCTTAGGAAGCTTCCAAAAAATTGGGATTTGGTGCAAAGAAGGCTGCGCAAATTTTTCTCAGTTTTTGGGATGACTCGACCAACAACCTCATTCACGAATGACAATGTCTCTCAGAAAAAAAGGAGACTTTCCCCTCCTATCCGTAGCCTTCTGCTCTTTCTTCATTAATGCGTAGGAAGCAACAAAAAGAAGTTGAGGGTGGAAAAGAAAAGTTTAACGCGATTGGGCAAAAAAGAGGGTGATATTGCACTAGTTTGCTGAAATAAATGACAGGTGATGTTCTCCTTCTTGCGTAAGGATGCGGTGGGCCGTGAAAAAAGAGCAGCAGAGACTTTGAGCTCACTATGAATGATCAGAAAACATTATCATATCAGTCACTACGGAAACATTAGATGATAAGGAAGATGTGGAAGTACTTATTTATTAACATGTTTTCGTTGGAGAGGGTGTCAGGGGGATCTGATGATCCAGATCAGTCATCACTTTTTTCTTGAATTTTGAGAACTTTACTAGTTTGAAGAATAAGATATACAAAAACATATTTTTCAGTTGATTTTGACCATTTTCTGAAGTCTAGAGCTCGGCTTTCAAGATTCCAATAATTTTGAACACCTTGGAGGGTGTAAAACAGACCTAGACTAAAAACTTTGCATTCGCAGAACTTTTTGAAAATGTCTAGTGTTTCAGTTATTTGCCGATATCTGAAAGACACCTTTTCTCATGTTTTCAGTAGAAAAAGGGTCGAAAAGGGATGTTTTTCAGATATCAACAAATATTTGAGAGACTTGGAATTTTCAAAAAGTCGGTAAATGCGAAGGTCTGTTTCAGATTTTTTAAATTTTCAAAGTGATCGGAAATTTGACAGGCAAGCTCCAGACCCCTGAAAATGGGCAAAATGACTGAAAATCAACAGAAAAAATTTTTTTTTGTATATTGTATCGACCGGGATACCTTTTTTTGAATTTATTTAAGACGCACGAACAAACTACCGTAGTTTTTAAGCCTATTTGAAACATTACTTTCCTGTTGTCTCAGTTTTTTTACGATTCATGATTTTAACTAATTTTTTTCACAAAAGAAAACATTTGCACGGAAAAAATTATCGCAAAAAATGACTAAAATAAGGCGATAATATAAAAACAGGTTTGAAAACTACGGTAGTTTGCTCGTGCGCCTTTAAACAAAATTAGAAAATATACGCTCTCAATGTCCAATGATTCCGGACTAGAGTAATACTGAAAAATGCATTTTAAATCTTGGAAAACTGGGAAATTAAAATAATCTGGATCACATTGAAAAACATTTCTGATGCGCCAAGAACCAAATTTTATAAAATTAGTGTTAATTTCAGGAGCCCCCTACAAGACAGAAAAAACATGAAACTGAATATTTTAACCGACCAGAAAAATCCAATGAACTCGGAAAGAACTTCCTAATCGTCTAGTCACCGATTATGTTAATGTCTAAATGTAAGCTTCTTTGAGAGTACTTTGGAAACATTTTTGCATATCCTTGAGAAGGTGGAAAAACTTTTTTTTTCAAATGCAATCGGAAGTGAATATGATTTTATGATACCAGATTGCTTTGAAAGTGGCTAGTGGGGTTCAAATTAAGTAGAACCAAAAAGTTCCAGTTTTTCCAGGAAATAGAGGTCGACGAAGTTAGTCTACCTTATTAGCACGTCACTTTTGTGGCGGCCGTTGGCCAGTATTTTTTCATGGGACAAAAACACATTAGATATTAAAATGAGATATTGGGTTTTTTTTCTTTTTTGTTTTTTCCTCTTCTTTTGGTCCCGCCACTACCATCGAACGACTATATTATCTTAAAACAAGAAACAACTACTCAAAATCAAGGAAAATGGTAATGATGAGAAGGAAGTTTGGGATTTACATAAATCAAAATAATTTTGCTGTCTCCTCCTCCTTTTTTCTTGGTCCGCCTTGACGGACAGGGAGAAAGAGAATAACAAGTGTCAATTCTTAAAGTTTCTAGGAATCTAATGATGAGCGTTAATGATGCAAAAAGTGTATTTTTTAAACATTCTTCGAATTGACAAACGCCTACAAACGTCTTGAAAAAGTTTTACAGCAAACAATAACTATCTCAGAAATCATGGAAACAATGGCACCCACGCTAGTGAAGCTGGATCACATCATATTTAGGAAGTGTAGACTTTTTTGTCTTCTATAAAACAACACTTCAACACTTCATCTACTTTCAGATGCATCGTTTTTATGTCCCAGAACTACGAAGACTATGAGGGGACGCTCCTAATGACGATTTATCATGAATCATGATTTAGATTCAAGTCTCAATAATAAATAAAAGAAATAAAAGAAAAATTTTTTGAAAAGGTCAAAGACATTTTTGGAAACAAGAGACAAACTAAACGGGTGGCTTCTGTCAGCATGTGCACTCAGGCGTGGCAAAGGAAATATATTTGAAACTTCGGCTCAAAGACTTTCGCCGAGAAATGTTGAGAAATCGAGCTTTAAAAGGTACGAATGACGTGTCAAACTCTAACGACGACTGAAGTCTTCTGACACATTCAGAAGGATAGTAGCCGCGGTGAAGAAATAGAAGAGAAGAAGGGGAGTCATCTATTGCTCCCGCGCATCCTATTCCGCTTCTATTTAATTTAAAAGTTCCGAAAGGAGGACAAGTGACCGACAATAAAACTGGCTCAATTACACTACCAGTGCCGTCAAGCTCTAGATGTATAGTAGGCGCGTCTAGACTCTGGAATCTTCTACTGGAAAATGGATCTAAAAATGAATCAGGAAAACCTAGTGCGTGGGGACTTTGCTTGCACCTAATTAGTCCTGTTAATGGAAATGGACGGGGCTTTATTGAATAATAAGCTTAATTCATTTATTTTCCTGATTCCTTTTTTTTCAGAAAAACAAAAAATTTCCAGACGTGATTTCATTGAGGAAGCTGATGGCTCTTTTGTTTTGTTTTTCAATATAAATGACATTTGATCTCTGGAAGTTCAACATTTTTTGAAAGGGTGCAGTGAAGAGTGCGAAGAAAGCCGACTAATCGTTTGGTTTTTTTAAGGCAAATATTGTGAAAAAAGTTTTGAAAAAAAATTTCCAAGTCCTGGCACGATTAGCGTACTTTGAAAAGCACCTGTAAAAATCGCATGCTTCAAGCGTAAGCGAAAATTTCAAAAATAGCAAACAGTGAGGTCTAAATCTGGACCATGACCAGGTGGAATATCCTCAACTTTCTGACAAGAGAATGAAAATGATGTTGAAAAAAATATTTCTGGTAAAAATAAGCGAAATGAAACGCGCTGATGCGTAATTTTACCTGCGAAGGTAGAAGTAAAAGGGTGGGATGTCGACGTGTCTGCTGCTGATGTCTTTGACCACTTGATGAAAAACAGAAAACAATAACAGGTGAGTAAGCGGAAAATAGCGTAAAATAACAAAATGTACACATTTCTGGTATTCTACTTTCTTTTATGAATTTTTTGACGTTTTGAATTATTCTTACAAGGAAACTTGAACATCTTGTAAACCCAGATTGTTCAGAAAAATTCAGAATTGGTCAAGAATAGCCTCCCTAGACACCTTCAAACATTTTAGAACCTTCTCGCCAGTTCAAACCAAGTCATATCAGTTTCAGCAACACAAAATCGCGTTTTCAGTGCAAACGAGCAAACGTCAAATCCGATTTTCTCAATTTCTGGGACGTTCAGAACAAGAAATTTGTTGTGTTGTACTGAAAACTGAATGAAAACTTGAATTTCATAATTTCAGACGTTTTCTCAAAAAATGAGAGTCAAATTGTCGAAGTTTTCCAACACTTGGATTTTTTTGAAAATTAAAAAAAGTCTGAAATACGAAATTTTGAATTCTAAGTATAACACAACCAATTTCATGTTCTCAAACGTCCGAGAAATTGATAAAATCATCTTTGAAAATCGCTATTTTGCACTGAAATCGCGATTTTTGATACTGAAACTTATGTAACACGGCTGAAACTGATGAGTGGATTTTTAATTTTTTTTTAAGTGTCTAGACAGCTTATTCTCAGCTTATCCTGTGATTTTGATATTAAACTTGGGTTTACAAGGTGTTGAGGTTCCCTTGTTAGCATGAAATGAGCAGAAAACAGGTGTTCTATGTTTATGAGTCAGCCATAAACAAGGGGCAAGTAACAAAGAATAAACTAATAACGTCCTAGAAAAATACTGTAGATCAAAAACGAGAATCTTGCAACAACACATGTTCAAGATTGCAGATCATGAAACAACACAGAACAAAAAAGAAATGCCCGCAAGAAATGAGAAATCCTGGGAAGGAGGCGTGGGGGGTACATGTCATCTTTTAAGTGTACAATTTTCTAGGCTCACACATACCGCGGCACAGATAATCAGGTTAGAGCTTCGTCATTCTTGCGGTGTCTTGTCTAGGAACCCGACAAAAGGGAAGAAAAATCGGATGAAAGGAGGAGAAAGGAAGGAGGCTGAGATTAGACACATTTTTCGATTAAAGTGAAGAAATTTCAATATTGTATCGTATAGAAATTGCGTTTCTGGAGGCGGATTATAATGACATCAGATGTATAATGTCAAAATTGATGAATCCTGGATTAATTACACATGTTCCAGTCAAAGCGTTGGTTGGAATTTTTTCTGAAAGAGCATAGAAATCGAATCCTATGTCATTGAACAGAATGGAGCATATCAAATTTTCAGCATGAAATAATAATGACGCGAAACAAATTAGTTGCAGCAGAAGTTACGCAAACATGACAAATGTTTTTTGGAAATTGGAAAATGAAGCAGAAGAAAAATCAAATTCACTAGATTATCAAATCATAAGCAACTAAAGAATCAGACATTAGTTTTTGAAACAATCTGAATAATTTTGTGGACTGGTCAATAGAGAGACTAGAAAAAACGACGGTTAATTGATTTTCATTGAAAACAAATACAGTGTAGACTTATAAAAAAGTATTTTGCAGTTGATTTTTGGCAATTTTTACCAGTTTCAGAAGTCTAAAGTTTGGCTGTCAAGTTTTCGATCGGTTTGAAAATTTAGGAGGGTGTAAAATGGTTCTAGAGTGAAAATTTCGCTTTCATAGAATTTTTTCAAAACTCCTAGAATTTCAGCTATTTGCCGATTTCTTAATGACACCTCTTTTTATTTGTTTTTATACTGAACACGTGAAAATAATAAGAGTTTTTCAGAAATCGAGAAGCAAGGAATTTCCAAAAAATGCTATGAATGCAAACTTTTTTATCTTGGTCTTTTTTACACCCTCCAAAGTTTTCAAAGTGATCGAAAACTCGACCACCGAGCTCTAGACGTTTGGGAATGGCCTGAACAATCAGAAATAAACTGAAAACTAGGTTAAAATCCACTGAAAACTAGGCTCCGAAGCAAAAAAAAACAAGTTGGCTACCGTACATCAGCTTTTTTTTGGTTTTAAAATCTTTTAAAAATCAAAAGTTGGCTACAGTAACCCAGCAACTCTATTTTTTCGGTTCTCAAAAAAAAAACGAAATGAGTGGGTTCGAATTTGCGTACATAGACTTCTTACAAATGTACATACTTCAATCAGTATGTACATGTTTGCTCTCTTGACCGCCCTCACTTCCACTTTTTTCTTATCATTGATAAAGAAACGACTACTGATAGGAATTATTTATAGGAGTCCTCGACCAATGTAAGATGATGACCGATTGGTCGCGGGAAAAGTTAATCTGATTACGGGAGATGATATCATAAGACGTATTTTATTCATATGCTAAATTTGAATCGTTAATTTGATGAGGTCAATCGGTGGCAGATGAAAAAAATTCAAAAAAAAATAGTTTTAAATGAAGTATTCTGAGGTATAGATTCACCTTACTAAATTTTTTTCAGCTGCAACATGTGTTCGTGCAAAAAGAATTCAGAATGTCACGTCTCTTTTTTTTTTGTTGAATTTTGAAAGATCCGAGGTCAAGTGGAAATGCCAACCCTTCGAGAATGTTCGAGGGTCCTTGCAAAGTGTTTGAGTTCAATGTTCAACAAAAAATACAATATCGGAAAGGTATAAAATTCAAAACTAAGCTCAAGCTAAGCTTCTTCCTAGTTCAAAGACAAGTTCATCGTGCGTGGGTAGATAACAAAGTTGAGTTATCGTTTTTCTTTCTTAGGTTCTTCCGTTTACTTTATTTCTTTTTAGATTTTCTCTCCTCCTTCACACATATCTATCTGTCTCATCCCGAAAATATCCCAACAAATGATGTGCAAAACGCCGTAAATAGTAACCGACGCGCTATTTTTATCCCGACGACACATTCCTTCTCCGTTTTTTGCTTTTTACTACGTCACGTTTCTCGTTCAACAAGCGATTCTCGTAGACATTTCCGGTCACATTTTTTTTCCACCTTCAACTTTTGAAAATTGACACAAATGGTACCAAATCGGGGTCAGACTTGGTTCTAATTTTTTTTGCTCCCGTTTCGGACGCATTAACCATCCCAAATGTATGATGATGGTGTTGGTTGGTAGTGGTGCACATCCGGTGCAGTGTGTACTTCCGGAACAATGTCACTATTTAGAATACCTGATGAGGAATGACGAAAGCAGGATGAGAGGCAGTGATTTATGGTTAACGAAAAAGGGAATTTTCGAAAACTTAGAACACAAGGAAAGTGGGGGAGTTTTACAAAATGGAGCTTTTAAAAACGAATGAACAATTTCCAGAATCTAGTATATTTACACTAACAATAAGAAAGTAGGGCTTGTAAAAATTGCAGCTAGACTTTTTTCTATAAAAACATCGGACTTTGTTATCGTTCCATTTTTCAGAACGGAATATTATATTATTATTGTCTTTCATTCAATTAAATACATTTCTTTGAACTCATGCTAACTTCAGAGAAAAAATATGTTGATTGTTTTATAACGACAAGGTGCTTAGCTTTTTGAGTAATTTCAATTCCAATTTTAGCTGTTCTTGAATACCGTATTTTCTATAATGGAAGCTTACCCAAATCATCAACTTTGAGTGCAATTATCTCGATTTTTGTAGAAGATGAGAAAAATTTGTCAACTGATAAAATATTGGTGATGTTATAATAAACAATGTATCCGTTGACAAAATTTTGATATTTCTCACACAAATCGAGATATAAGCTCAAATATCACACATAGGATGGAATCTTTTTTTTAATCAACTAAGGTATCTCAGAAATTTACAAATATCGTAAACACTGTGATTGAAGTTATCCCAATATTTGAACTTTGAGCTCAGTTATCTCGATTTCTTTGAAAGATTTAAAAATCATGTCAACTGATAAAATGTTGGTAACATTGCGATTAATAATGTATTAGTTGACAAAATTTTGAAATTTTTATAGGAACTGAGATAGTTGAGCTCAACGTTCGCGTGTAGAATGGGCCTACGGTATCTCAGAAATCATTTGAATGTTTTAACCTCATTTATATTTTGGTTTATCTAGAAAATCGGCCCATAGTAACTAAAGGTTTCAGCAATTACAATAAAACCTGGATTACCTAGATGGCCCCTTCACTAGAAATGCCCTTATCAAAATGTTTTGTTTGAAATTTTGATTTTCTCGTTGTTTTCATTGATAAATACTTGCATTGATTCTAAAATTCAGATAAATTTGTTAAAAGATTGTTTGCTAAAAAACTTGCTCAATTTCTGTTGAATTGATAGATTTTCATGATTTTTCAACGAGAACTCATTGAATTTTGAAAAACAATAGAAAGGACCCCTCTAATTTTAAGGTTCCTTTGATAATAGGGCCCTCCGTAAATATCCTTGAAACCATACAACCGCTATTCTTTCTGGTACAGATCTTACAGTATCTACTTATCGAAAAATAAATTTTTCTACAGCTAGCCGAAGCTTTAAAAAGCCAAAAAAATGCAAATATCTTGCGTTTTCTGAAAACATGCGCCAGTCCTAGAAGTGGATCAGGATACGAAATGAAGAAAAAAAAGGAGAGGATAGGAGGAGAAAATTTGAATCAGAAGGTGAAGACAGGGAGGAGAATGGGAAACCCAAATTAAATCTTTTGGAGTCACAGAAACATGCCATCTTCTCGTCTTTTTTTGGGTTTAAAATTGGATCTTTACAATCGGCGCAAAGCCGCTTTTCGATTAATTTTCTCCATGCAAACCCCAAGATGGAAAAACGACGGAAAAGGATAACATCATCCTAGAGCATCTCTGAGAACTGGAAAATCAAAGGTTTGAGGGATTGAGGTAGAATCTTTCGAACCAAACAAGAGAAAAAGCAACTGGACAGCTGGAGAATAAACAGAGAAAAATGAGGAAATGACAAATTACAGTAATTCTCGTGTTCCCTAAAGACTTCATTGCCCAGACATGAGTGTTGCACATAATGATGGATTGGGGGCAAAACATGAAAACGAAGAAGGAAGCAAAACCTTTGAGAAAGAAAATTTCGAGAAAGCGCAGATTAAGCTAATTTGGTTTTTTTTCATATTATTTCGATTAGAAAAAATCGTGTCATAAGTCTCCCAAGGACAACTACCGTAACCTAGAAGTTTTTTATTTTCAGGTTCAAAAGTCGTTGTTTTTGTTAGTTTTTGAAGCAATTAAATAATAAAAATTTATTCTTGTCTAATGGTAGTGAAATTTGCGGCCGGAATTATTTAAAGGTGCATAGTAGGTACTGAAGCAGAAACAACTTCGGATTTTATGAACAAGTTTGTTCGTTTCTGATACAGTACTTTTGAATAAATTTTCGTCCACCTATTTTGGACGTTTTTAAATTCAGCTGAATATTCATTTGAATCGGCGGAAAATAAACGAAAAAAGCAGAGATCTGAGGGAAAAGGGACGAGAATAAGATACTCCGAAGTACTGTTTTAATGGCCATCTGTGTATTTGTAGAAGCCTTACAAGGGAGGTCGTTTTAGAAAGGCTCTCAGAATTTTCTTATTTTTTGACAGGGGTTAGTTGACGCGCTCCAAAAGCCCCTGTCAAAATCTGTATATGCACTTTTTCCAAAAATGCTGAAAATTTTTGTCTGAAAGTTTCCAATTTCTTAACTATTGTAAATCTCTCTTCTCTCTGTTTTCTTGCCTCCTGGGAGGAAACATGGAAAACTAACGAGACCTCACAGAAACCCATGCCATACAAAAATTGAGAAATTTCGAACAGAAAAGATTTCATTAAAAATTTCATATTGGTTTGCCGAAAAATCAAAAAATCATACAAATAACCATGTGAAACCCAAAATAGGTGCCTAGACATCTCATGGTAAAAAAGCAAAAAATAATTTCAAAACGAAGGAGTCGAACCCAAGACTTTCAGATTATAACACGCGCCCACAACCACTCAGCTACCTCGCTGCTAAAAACAACAGAACGCGTGGGCGTACATGTGAGCGGTGTTCCCAGGAGGCGAGAAAACAGAGAGAAGAGAGATTTACAATGGTTAAGAAATTGGAAACTTTCAGACAAAAATTTTCAGCATTTTTGGAAAAAGTGCATATACAGATTTTGACAGGGGCTTTTTGAGCGGGTCATCTAACCCCTGTCAAAAAATGAGAAAATTCTGAAAGCCTTTCTAAAACGACCTCCCTTGTTAGTTGTTTTTGTTCCAGGACCGACCATGTGCCTTCAAATAAGAATATTTTTAAAATTAAAAGTTTTTGTTTGGAGAAAAATAACAGAAAAACTCGTCGAAAGCAGTGAAAAACGAGAAATTGAATACATTGAATATGATAAATTTTAAATTACGGTGTGGTAGCATAGGTAGCGGCCACCAGCGTTTCTCATCCATTGCTCCGATTTTTTGAAATATAAGAATAACATAATAGAGCTAAATTTAGATTAAAAACACAATTCACCATTTGAACAGGTGAATATATCAATTCATAATGACGGTCACATTATTTTGTTTGAAGAATCAAATCTCGACGATTGCTTCTTGTTGTTATCTATTTGTTTGAAAGTATTATGCGTGCCAAACAAGCATCGTCACACATCGAACTTGCAAATCTTTGATTTGTGAGGTGTGAGAAGGTGGCGAGTCAGAACGAAAGCTCATTGATGAGTTCTAATCATTCGTGAATGGCTGAGAAAAGTTTTTTTCTAGTTGACGTGAATGAGGAAAAGAAAACGTGATGAAACTTGGTTAAAACGGGAATTAAACGAAGCGGAGGTGTTGCGGGTGGACTTGACAGGCGGGAAGCAAAGTCTGAGCTGTTTTCTGAATGGGAGTTCGATAGAATCTAGTTCAACCAAAGAATATCTGAAATTTTCAAGTCTGAAAAACATTTGAACACTCACTTGATTCGGCGGCTTTGTGGTTTATTTTGAAAATGAGAATAAATATAGTGATTGAAAATTATTAGAACTTTTTAGATGAAAAATGGAACAGGGAATTTAAGAAAATTATGAGGTAAATAGAACAATTAATCACGGAATAGACGAGGTAGGATAAATAAGGAAAAGTAAAGATAAATTGAAAATTGAAAGAAAAAATAACTGAAAAAGTGAAAAAAAGAGTTTAGAATTAATTATCGGGGGCTTTGAGATCTTTTTTGACTTGTTCAGTTTCACCGGCACCTTCATCCGACCCGTTTTCTTTTTTGTACAGCATCTCGGTTTCCTCGATGACGTTGGCTGAGAAAAAAATCTTAGTTCATACTATCCCACCATTCAAAACTTACTGTATGTTCCTTTAACCTCGTAGTAGTAGTCAAAACCCTCATGCGCTTTCAAGATGATTTCGTTGAATTTCCAAAGATGGCCCAACTCCAATTTCAAGACCTCTCCTGGGTTACTCTCCTTCATATTCTTTCCTCCATTCTTCAAATCCTCAATATAATATCCAATTTTGTTGTTTCTCATGCAGACAAACTTTTCCGGCTGCATGGAATACTGCAAAAATCTATGTATTGAAAAATCGCGGTTGATGGAACTCACGTTCTTGCCGGACATCAATATAATATGATTGGAAAATTCGAGATCTCTAATGTATATCGCAGATGAGTTTGATGAAATCTGAAAATTATTCTTTGCGAAGTTTGTTTTGAAAATAATAGACTCACCGAATATATAACTTTGCACTGTTGACCACAACCTTCCGGAAAAGCATAACAAACCGACCCGTTATTACAAAGTTGGTTCTGAAAAAGCGATATTTGAATTTAAGTAGAAAATCTCAAAAAATCATGGTTTTATTAGCCTTCCTAACGTATGAAATAAAGACATTCTAAGTAGAAGCTGTCTATGAATATTTTTAGGGTCTGATATACATTCAGTGAAACTTATTGAACTTATTAAAACTCAAGGATTCTCAGTGAATCCTTTTTGAAAGTCCTATTTTCTCATCTCCGTGAAACCAGTGATAGAAGGGCACCATAACGTGCAGAGTTTAGCAATATTTCTCATTTGAACTATTTTTAATGTCTCTGAAAGATATGGAGATAATTGAGCTTAAACGTGACAGTGTGTGGGGCCTTTCCATCACAGGTTTTACGATATTTGTAACACAAGAAATTAGTCTGGATGATCCAAAAAGCCATCAGAAACAGTGTTTTTTTGAATTATGCTTCAACTGCACCGGCTCTGTGGCCCGATTCTCATACTTTTCACATACCGTAAGACCTGTAATTGAATGACCCCTAATTTTCAACTTTTAGCCAATTTATCTCGGCAACTGTCAAAGATATCAAAAGTTGTCAACTGATAAATTATCCGTAATGATGTCACAAACGTTTTGGTAGCTAAAACATTTTTAATATTTTTGTTAGGGGCCAAAAAGCTCAAACTTGACAATGTGTGGCGCCTTTCTATGACGGATTTTACAGTATTTTTCAGAATGTACCAACAACGCAAATGTCGAAATTATGAGAAACGCTTGAATTTAAGTTTTACATAATTTGTTTTAATTACTAGCATCAAACTTAGCTAATAAAACCGTTGTCTATACAATTATTCTTCTGAGTAACTTAATCATCCCTATCAGTTAACCAATATGAACTCACAGTTGGATTGAAAAAAGTTTTCTTCTTCTGCTCGTACATGGACTGAAGCCACGCAACACTCTCATCGACCCTGGCATTCGGATCAGAATTCATATCGACGGTGGGTCTTGGGCCTTGGCTCATCAGCCCTTTTAAGAATTCATCCGGGTCAACGCCCTGTTCCTCATCATCGGAATGGAACGAGATTTGTGTATCGGGGTTGAGATCAGTGCGTTCGTTGAGAAGGGCTCTTAGGTATTCCTCCGAGTAAATCTTAGGCGTTTCCTTCGGTTCGTCAATGTCCCTATCACGTTTAGTGTAGAGAATCGGTTCTTCAGTAGTGGTCGGTTGGGATGGAGCTGATGAGGAGATCGAGACTTGAGATTCCGCAGTCGAGAGTTGAGAGCTTGAGATCGTAGAGTCAGGCTTCACAGCCTCCTCCGATACAACGTGCGGCCAGAATAAAACACAAAGAAACAGAAGGTCAAGGTAGTTCATGACAGCGGCGACACTATAAAGCAAAATTTGGCTAATTTTTAATTCGTTCTCATAAAACACAAGGAGTAACAACAAGTATGAAAGAAGCAGAATACGATTTTTGAAATGGCGTTTTGTCGCTGAAACTGTAACAATGCCTGAAAATCTCAGAGCACAACGATGAAACATCCAGAAAGTAAACAAAACTCTGCGAAGTGTTGCGTTTCCCTGGGATAACAGCTTCTCGTTACGTCACAGATGCACACAACGCGTGTGAGAAAACTTCTCTCTTCCCTTATCTCTCGTTACTTCGGAATAACCACAGATTCTGGTTCCTAGAAAACATTAGTCGTTGAAACCTGGAATAAAGATTCATCCCGTCCTTCTAAATTGGATCTCATTTTTACTTTCTTGTTCTGTCTTTTGTCTCATTCCTTATAAGCACATAAAAACTACATTTGACTTTGTGGACCAATATTGCTTTTTCTCTCTCGTTTTTTTTCTCTTCTCGTGTTGAGGTTCCGGCTCCTACACACACACTTGTCAAAAGATAAAAAAGAAGAAGAAAAAGGGAGTGGGAAAAAAATTCTCGCGTTTCTTTTCGTGCCCTCGCGCGCGATGGATGCCTACTTGCGCCAACTGTTTCAACTAAAAAACGGCGCGACGTGTGGCGCGACGCCGCGACACTAACTCCTCGGATCTTCTCGATGTGGGACTCAGAAGAAAGGAAAGAAATACGCAAAAAAAACTCAACGCTTGTTGGTCAACCAGAAAGAAGAGATAGTAGAGTTCAAAGGGAAAAACTGAAGGAAACATAAAAGCAATCTGAAGAAAAAATCGGAAAAGAGAAAATCATGAGACTGTGGAGAACAAGGATTGATATTGTATTTAGAGGATTCTTAGATTGTGATTTTCAAATTGATGTTTGTGTTTCCAGCTTTCTATCTTTCTCGAATAAAAGATTTTCAGAAAAATAATTTGTTTCCGGCAAAAATGTTCCTTTCAGCGGGATAGGGTTAAAGATGCCTTTGATTCTCAAAATTTCAAAAATTTGAATGATCGGCTTTGTCATTTTGCAACATGTCTTTCCTTTTAATTAAAAAAAAGAAAAACTTTCAATCCAAATTTTTCATTATCAAGACTCTTTTCAATATAAAAGTTGTCACAATTTAACGAAGAAAATTAGAAAAATGAGAGGAGGAAATTGAGGTATCCAGGGAAAAAATGAGGTCACGATAGTGAGGTATAAAAACAATAAAGGAGGTAGAAGTATTTGAAAACAGGGAGTTGGAATTATGCAGGAAAAAATCGTGTACATAAAAATTTGGTTGCTGAAATTGGAAGCTCAAACACTTGAGTACTATTGTAACATAAAAAGCAGGAGAAGATTTCTCAAAAATAGTGGGAGAAAATAAAACAATCAGAAAGAAAAGGACGAACAATTTACTTAAATCGAACTGAAGTGAATATTCGAACAGATTCGAAGAATAAACATGTCAGTGAAAAAAAAACTTATAGCTGCTCGACTTCTTGACCACCAAAAGGATACAGTTCTTGGAAATTGTGTGGTTGCTCCTCTGAAAAAAATAACGAAATGACAGAGTATTATTTATTTTTTGCATTTACCGCCAATAGTTGCTGTCTGCCAAAACAATTTATTTTTCCCTTCCTTCTTTACTACAACAGTTTCAAAGGTCCAAAGAATTCCGCCCTTCTTAGTCAATTGTCTTTCTCCTGAAACTCTGAAGGCTTCGGAAGAGTTCACTTGGATAAGGCCTCCGTCGAGATGGCGGGCGTTCATTCCGAAGGAATTGGTTGGGAAGACTATGAAAATATCTTCGAAGTTATTCAACTGAAACGAAAAAAGTGATTTGATTCGGTTGTTTTTTAAACGCACATCCGCGCCCGCCATCAACTCGACATGTTCCCACGATCTCATGTTTTTCAAAAAAACGGAGGATGTCTTGAATTCGTTGTTTATCTGAATTTCATTTTAGATTACTGACAATTAGTGGATTAGCTCACTCCGTAGAGTATTTGACAATCCGAAGTGCATTGTTGTGGCCAGGAGAAGCATTGGGTTTTTGGTGAGCAGAAGTCCTGTAAATAATTGAATATTAATTATATTAATTGTCCTGCTTGCTAGTTTCAGGTTTTCTTTCACATTCTGACTCTTTTGTATCGAAAATAGTAAACTAACGATGGGATTGAAAGTGATAGATTCCACGGTAGTCGTATTGTTCGTGGAAAGTTGTGAAGTTTGCGAGTTTCCCTTGTTGTCCATCATCGCAAGGAGCTCTGATGTTTCCTGTACTGAGAGATCTATTGGAGCCATGGAACATGTTCCGAAGAACAGCAAAATAACGATGAGATTCATCGCGTGAAAAGAAGACAAGATGAAGATGAATTTGCAGGTGTTTTTCGCTGAAAATCAGATTTCGAGACACCTCAGTAGAACAGAAAAACGGTAGAAAGCAAGTAAAGGTTTGAATCCTGAACACGAATCCGATAGCGTGAGAGGAATGTTGCGTGCGTGGTCAGTGTAACGTTTCCACTCTTCTTCTTCTTTTTCCTCTTTTTTTTCTGCAGAATAACCTTCGGAATCTGACCATTGGTAAACAGAATCTGAAGAAACAAAAAATCCAGGTATCCATGTGCGTGTTCAATGACATCTCTTGTTCTCGTTGTGTTTTTTTTTTGTATAAATACATTTTCCATTGTTGGCAATACATAGTTTTCTTCCACTAAGTCAGATTCCCACATTCTTCATTTTCTATGTGACCTCGCTCACAAGAGTGTATCACAAGGAAGAAGAAGAAGCTTCCATTGGCGCGGGCCCCGAGAAGAAACGAGAGTCCCATACACTTGTGACGGCTGTTCAGAGAGAAGAGGTCCGAGGAGAGACATTTGAAAAAGAAGTGGTCGCCTGTGACCAGTCAGGAGCCACAATCGAAGCGATACAAAAAAACCGGATGAAGAATTTTACACTCTTCTCACACTTGTTTTGAAAACAATAAATACCTAAAAATATGAAGCTCAAGGTGTTGGAAATGGAATATCGCCATAATGAGAGAAGCTTCCAGTCGTAGCTCTCTACAAATTTTCTTATTCTAAAAATTAATACCATGATAGAATAGTACAATAAATGCACTATTATCTTTGATGCTTTTTGACTCTCAAACTATGTTTTTTAATAAAAATTTCAGGAACTGATAGAGCTAAAATTTTCAAGCACTATGTCAAATAATGAGTATTTCTCAATTTGTAATTTTCGAGAGAACTTCTGATATTTAAAAAGTCCTCAGTGAATTGGCAGAAAATTTCAATACTTATAGTTTGAGACATCCTGTACACGTTGACAAAACAATCTAAGTCCCATTCTCAACAGGAAGCTAGAAAACATCGTTTGAAAATGGGAGTTTTAAGTTTTCTATTGAGCAGAATCTGAAAAATAGGCGACTTGTGTTAAAGACTGATACATCTTCTTCTCCTTTTGTCTCATAAAGTCCTGAAATCTTTTATATTCTTGTTTAAGTTTTGAATTCTGGGTAAGCAACAAGTGTTTATTGTATGTCGGTCTCGTCCATAGGAAGACAAGCAGCAAAAAAAGAGCACAATGAGTCATGAAAATGAAATTATTTTCTGAAAAAAAAGCAGAAAAAGCAGGATTCTGACATCCAGTGCTGGCATTTCAGTTAGGTAGAACGACCGAGTTATGAGAAGATTACTCATTCTTTACTTCTGAGGAACAAGTCATGGAATGGTCCATAATTGGCGCCTGGAAAAATATGTTCTTTGGAATAATGGTTTATTTCATTTACCACTGTGTAGATCGATGCGATACTCGAGTATCCTGTCCTTGCCAATAAGGAGAATTGGACGATTGTGAAATGAACGTTCGAAAGACCACCAGTTTTGGTGCTTTGGCTCTTGTCTCCGATTAGTATGGCTTTCAGGAGTACTTCCATAGCCGATGTAACCAATGGGTCGATCATTGCTGATTTGACCATCTTCATATCCCATCCAACAATAACCACTGAACTCGAAGCACGAGACTATTGTGTGAAAGGGATTTGGAATCTGCCTCCGTTCGCCTTCTATATATTTTTTTGTGCTTTTGATGCTCACGACTCCTCCTTGCCGTACATATACGGTGGAATTCTCGAACTCCTCGGACACCTTCAATACTTGCTGAAATATGAAAGTCTAGTTTAACTTACGGCGAATATGACATCGCAGTTTGTGGTACAGTCTTTCGGCGCTACGTAGCAGATGGAGTCTCCATCACAGGTTTCCTGAAAAAATACAAATTTGTTTATGTGAATTTGTATTTATCAAAATTCAAAAGCTTTTTTAAAATTTAATTTAACAAAGTGTTTCTCACCGAGACATCGTGGATTGAATCATTTTGTGGGGTAGAAGTGGTCGTTCGGATTGGCCCATACTCCGAGGGTACATCGAAAAAGGGTACATCACTCTTATAGGGTACATTGACTCAGAGGGTACATTGACTGATAGGGTACATCTGTGGAGGAGTCTGATAGGGTACATTTAAGCAACTCTCATAGGGTACATCGACGAAATACTCAAAGGGTACATCGAAAAAATCTGAAAGGGTACATTGGTCTGATTTCGCACAGTTTTCGAATGTTCGTAACTTAATGAGACGGACAAGTTTTATAACGAAGTTTCGGTCATTCATCGGATTATAAGCAACTTACTGATGCTCGGCGAGGTTTTGCAACGTGCTCCTCCTCAATCTTGAATAGTACGCGCTCATTTCTCGATCACTCAGGAACGCTATTTCAAAACAATTTTAGTAATTTACCCGCATTCTGAAAGCTTGAGCAGCGAGCTACACTTTTTTTTCTAGCCCAGGAAGATAAATAACTTCAAACAGATACAATGAAAGATACAATGTTCGTCCCTAAGTGATCGAGGAATGAGCGCTTACTATTCAAGATTGAGGAGGAGCACGTTGCAAAACCTCGCCGAGCATCAGTAAGTTGCTTATAATCCGATGAATGACCGAAACTTCGTTATAAAACTTGTCCGTCTCATTAAGTTACGAATATTCGAAAACTGTGCGAAATCAGACCAATGTACCCTTTCAGATTTTTTCGATGTACCCTTTGAGTATTTCGTCGATGTACCCTATGAGAGTTGCTTAAATGTACCCTATCAGACTCCTCCACAGATGTACCCTATCAGTCAATGTACCCTCTGAGTCAATGTACCCTATAAGAGTGATGTACCCTCAATGTACCCCTTTTTGATGTACCCCCGGAGTATGGGCCGTTCGGATTGGCGTGGTGGTCTCCGATGGTTCCGTTGAGCTTGCTTCGTGCTTTTCCTCCGTTTTGTGCTCTTCCTTTTCTTCGACGATTGTGTTTTGAGGACGGTCAGACAAAGACAAATATCCGGAAGTGGGGTTTGGATTGGCGTAGTGGTCTCCGATGGTTCGGTTGAGCTCGGGAGAGGCTGAGTCGTGGTGTACGTCTCCGATGGTTGTCTCTGGAGGTCTTCCACTGCTTTCTGCACTTCTTCTTTTTCTTGTTCTTCCTGTTTCTCAACGATCGAAGTTTGCGTTGATTCGAGGAGTTCTGCAATAGAAAATTTAAGTATTCGCTTACTCAAAACAGAATTAGTTGATACCTGAAAGTTTGGTTTCCAGCAAAGCATTGAAATCCGAATCGAGAAGTGTTGAGCCGGATCCTTCCTCTTCAGTCGAATTGGTTTTTTCAGGACGGTCAGAGGGAGACAAATTCTCGGATGTGGGGCTTGGGATTAGCTGTTGCGTGGTGTGCGAATCCGATTCCGATCGTTCCATGTCACCTTCTTCGACGATTGGAGACTTATCATCGGCAGAACTAGAGCTTCGGTCTTGCATCTTCGGGGTTAAGGAGGACCAGAATTTTCCGATGGATTCGAAAACGTTTGACGATGGTGGTGTTGAGATAGGTGGAATAGTTTCCTTCGTAGTTTCGGAAGGAATCACGGAATTTACAAATGCTTTCAAAGATTTCCAGAGGGTTGTGGACGTTGGTTTTGAGCTAGGTGGGATGTTCTCTTTCGTAGATTTGGGAGGCAAGTATAGCTGCGGAATGACTGAGGACTCTTCTTCTTCCGAGCTGGGCGAGGTTTCTTGATCTTGATTTTTAGTCTCGGAAGGAAACACAAACTTCCAAATTGTTCCGAAGGAGTTCAAAAGGTTTGTTTTTGGTGCTGAGCTTGGTCGGATGGGCTGATTTCTGCTTCCGCAAGGAAACACAGAAGACCAGAGTGTTCCCATGGAATTCAGAATCGATGAGAAATGTGTTGATGAGCTTGGTGGGATGGACTGTTTCTTAGGTACGGAAGGGCTGAACAAACTAGGCAAGTTCAAGAGGGTTGAAAATAGTTCTGAGCCGGGTGGTCTTTGGATGTCCGGCAAATCGATAGAGTGCAGACAGTTCTGCAGCGAAGAGAAGAGCAGAAGTATCCCAAGCCGCATGTTTCTGTAAAACAACAATTTTAGAAACTGGGAATATCTAACAATTTGGAGAAAAGTATGTCAAAGAAATAAAGAGATTTTAACAAGTTTTAGTGCCAATATTCCGACCAGCTCACCGTTTTGTGGCTGGAGGGATAGAATGGCAAAGCTTGGTGGGGACCAGATATGCTCTTTTTGTTTGGTAGTCTCCGCCTACTTGGTATGCTCCACCTTTTTTATATTCTTTTTCTTTTTCGTGTTCTCGTTTCCTATGGACTCCACCCCCAGAACGCACCCATCAATCAATCAACCAATGACAAAAAATAGAGTGTTAAGTGCACATTTATATTAATGGCTTCTAGGAACGTCAGCTTGGGCATCACGATTTCTGAGAGTTTATTTTCGGAATGTATACTGTTACATCTGTATCACAACCTTCTGTGTTTTTTTTGCGTGATCACCAGACATGAGATATTACAACAAAATGAAGATATTAAAACAAAATGAACTCTGGTTCTGGAGAGTGTGAAAGAAAAAGACACTGGATTCGAGAAACACTCGGAAAACATGAAAATCTCTATGAAATGATAAGCAAGAAGTCATCGCAATTATAAAAAAAATTTATTTGAAAATGAATCGTAATTTTTCAAGATACCGATAGCGTTCTTATACTTCAAGGCATCAGATTCACAATGAGAAAAAATTCGACTTGCTTCTGGATTCGGAGCGTCATACAAATCGAAGACGCCTAAAAATTTGAAGTCAGAAACCTTTACAAGGGAACCACAACACCTCGTCAATTCAGATTTTTATGAAAATTTCAGGATATGTCAAGAATAGCCTATCTAGTCAAGAATAGCCTAGACACAACTGAAAATTTAGAATCGGCTCGGCAGTTACTGTCGAGATGTTTCAGTCCAAAATTTTATCACTGAATTCAGTTGATTTCATGCTTTACCACACTTTCTATCACCGAATTCCCTACAAGAGAAGCTAAAAAAGAACCTAACATCTAACCACCTTCCGACTCAGTGGAAAATGTCGACGGCGTGGTATCGGAGATGTGGCTTGCGCCAGTAGTGGCTTGGCGTTTTCGTTTTTCACTTTTTTCCTGATTTTGAGACGTTATTGGATCCTTCTGGCATTTTGTTTCAAGTTTTTATAGATTCTAGAGAGTAGAGACAAAATTTAGAAAAAAAAATTTTTTACAAGTCTTCAGAAAACTTTTGAAGTCCTCAATCACTTGAACGTAGTACTTTTAAAATGCTGTATTTGGCCTGTACGGACCATGATTAAATAAGGAAAAGTATATTCGTGAAAAAGGTTTCCTGACCAAAATTTCGAAAATCAGGTTTTTCAAAGAAATTTTTTCAAAACACAAAAATTCAATAAAATCCTCCACCCAAGTGGTGGGCAAAATTCACAAAATTTTTCAGAAAAATTTTTTGAAAAAATATCTGGAATATAAAATTTCATTCATTGCTGAGTATAACACAAAAAATTTTAAGCTCTGGAATTTCCTGGGAGTGGAGAAATTCGTCGTTGAAAATCGATATTTTTTAAACTGAAAATGCGATTTTTGGTGCTGAAACTGATATAACTCGGCTGAAACTGGCGAGCGGATTCAAAAATTTTAGTGGTGTCTAGATAGGCTTTCCATGCCCTATTGTGAAATTTTCATAAAAATCTGAATTGACGAGGTGTGGTGGTTCCCTTGTAAAGGTTTCTGACTTCAAATTTTTAGTGGGGTACAATAATGGAGATATGACACAGTTTTTTTTTGCATTTACCTCTAATGAAAGCAGCTATTTTGGCAAAATAGCTGCATTTTGCTTTTTAAATTGAATTTTGTAAAGCAGTTCGTTCATTCATGGTCGCGACAGCCTAATAGAGAAATTCGTTACAAAAAGCGGATTCTTCTGTTTGTCAAGAAAAATATTAAATAATAGTCAAAATAAAACTCTCATTTCCATGAGACCAGTTACTTTCTTTGAACGCCAAGATATTATATGCTTACGAGTTTTGTTGTATTAGAAAATTTTACAAATCCTCTCTCAAAGTCTTCTTCGGATCTTGTTTTTCCATTAATCAACTTCAGTTTTCAGTTTTGGAACTTTTCTCGTTTTCTTCATTTTCCGTAGAACTTCCACTCCACTGTTTGACCAAAAATTTGATCTTCTGTAAAAACGTATACATTTTCCAGAACACCAAAAAGTACGGATGTATTTTGGAACATGCACTATTGCATGCATGGCGAAAAAAAGGCTGACATATTGAAGGGCAGATCTTTTTTGGTTCGAAACAAAGTTTTCTTTCCTGAACACCAAAAAAAGGATGCATTTTTGAACACGCATTCTCACATTCATGGTAAAATTAATCTTCTTTATTTTGGAACAAAGTTTTCTCTTTGTGCACTTCGAATGTTCCAAAATGAACAAAAAAGGAAAAAAATGAGGAGGAACAAACTTTTTTTTTGAAAATTCTGAGTAACTAGATAGAAAATGGGCACCAACGGAGATAGATCGTGAAAAACAGTTTGGGAATGGTATTCTAATTTCTGCAGAAGGATTCATTCAACAACTCCATGAAAGTGTTTCAAAGGTGAATGATGAGTTTCCGACATGGAAAATCTCGGCCACAGAAGAGCTGATTTGCCAGCTTGTTGTGATTTAAACGTTTTTTTTTTAATTGGAATATCGACTTCTTGCTCGGTAAGTTCCTTTACATTCAACGGATTCAATTCTTTAAAAGTTCTAACTTGAACTTTAACTTGAAGTTCTCCGAGACATTAACAGAATGTGTTTCATTTTTCTCAGTTTATTACTATGAAAATCAATATGTCTTTGTTTTCAAAATATAGGCTAGATGCGCCTCTCTCGCCCAAATCAATCTGACTGCAAAAACAATTAAATCCGGAGCTAAGACGCTATTCAATTTTTCGTATACCCATTCTGTGATTAATCTTCTCCGGTTTTATTTTTCTCTTTTCTCAATTCTCGCTTTTTCGTTTGTGAAACCATATTTCATATATTTCTAATCTCATTTCTCATCAAACGAGTATCGATTTCTCTTTTCTGCAACTGAACTCTGCTCCTCAAAGGGCACCTTCCCAGACAATAGCCGGCAAAATATGTGCCAATTATAATGTGTTCCGTTGATTGAGTTGCGCGCAAAACAAGTGAAATATGAGGAGAGAGACGAGAGAGTATACATTTTGCAACATATTCAGATTCTCAGTCTCGCGTAATTGCTAACACAGCCCGTTGTGTTGCTATGATACAATGTGACACCGCCTTCCGGAGCGCTACATGTAAAACGAACAAGCCGCTTTCGATTTCCTAAAATTCAGCGAGTCTCTCTCCTTCTTTTCCAGTTTGGTTTGAAGGCGACAGCGAGAAGAGCCATTAACTTCTTCTACCCCATTTCATATTTTCTCGTTTTCCCTCTCAAAAGTTTTTCTCTCAGAAGAAGTTCTCATCTTATTTTCCATGACCTTTTTTCTTGTTTTTCGTATATGCCCAATCCTATCTTTTCTTCTCTTGCTTAAGCGTCTATCAGACAACCAAAACCACTTCTTCGAAAAATTGGATGAGATGAGTGTCACGTGATTTTTAAAAGAATTTGTCATTCAAAATACATATCCCTGAAGCCCATTAAGGTTTTACTTCAACAGTTTTACTTCGAAGTAATGACTTCCCATTAGTTTTGGTTTCAAGTTGGATTCCTATTTTTAGTATAAAAGTGTCTGCCCGTCTTCTCCACAACCAGTTTCTTGGTTTGCGACACCTGCTCTCTTCTTCCAGCGTTAAACTTTTTCCCCGCCGCTTGTTCGCATGTTCCCCCCCCCTTCCTACACACTCTCTGCTTCCTGGGTTGTGTTTTTTTGTTGCCTCTTGCTTCTCTCGCCTCTCCCAGCTCTGACGGTGTTCTGTTTTGAATGCGCTCTATTGCTAATTCAAATTCTCGCGCTTATCATAGGGGTTGCGAACCCACGTATGCATTCCAGACCATCTATCCGCTGCTCGGCATGGCTTCGACATCCAATAAGAACGTTCAAGAAGGTGGAGTAGGTAAGTTTTTCTTAATTCTAAAGAGAAATGATGAAGTTTCTTTTAGAAAAACCTCCGTTCCGGAAAAATTGTCAATGCTGCATGTTGAACTTCGAGTCGCTTCGTATCACATTCATGACTGCTGCGTCGAAGGCCAAGAATGGAGGAACACCAGGTGAGCAACACAATCGTATGATGTTCCTATTGAGATATTCCACTTCAGAGCTCACCGAGCCGATCTCTGTCTTCTCGCGACCGGAGAAAATGCCGTGTGAGGATTGCGAGCACGTCAAGAAGAATTTCACACAAATCGGAGACTCGGCGGTAAGAATTAGATTCGGATTTTGGCAGCGATTGTGGCGGCTTAGAGTACCAGGAAAAGGCAAATGAGCTCCAGTAACGGGGCGTAGAGGGAACGTAAGATTAGCCGGTTTAGGCAAATTGAAAGCGTGAGGAATGGAACTAGAAACAGCAACGCCCATTCGTATGTAAATGGCAAAAACCTTTTTAATTTGTCAAACCTCACTGAATGCTCCAGCTCCGATCTCCGAAGCCCATCTTTTTAAACAGAATTTTGAATATAATTCTGCCGTATGGGCTCTAATGCCGCGTCCAAGCTCTCCAATCTTGGATTTCTAGGCCCAGAAAGCAGTCCAATGTGACGCTCAGATTTCCGAAATTTCCAATTTGCACAGTTGAAACCAGTGCGATAGTACATCCCTATCGTGTCAAGACCCACAAGAAGTATTATAACTTTACGAGGATTTGAATACAAGTTCTTTTTTCAAACAAAATTTTGCAAGTGTACTGTTTTATTGGTTTCATTGAAACCTGGGCACAGAAATCCCAGATTTTGGAACTTCGGACGCAGCATTATAGAAGACAGTCCTATACGCAAAATTTGAGCTCAATTAACTCGGTTCTTTCAGAATATACTAAAAGTATGTCAACTGATAAATTATTTACCATAAAATCAGCAGTATTTTTTTAGTTGGCAGATTTTTGATATCTTTTATAGCAACCGAGATAACCGAGTTCAAAGTGAATGTGTGGGCGCCAAGTAGGTGAATACTGTAGTTGGTGATGAGTATCCCGGGATGGTGCACTCCCAACCAAGCCTAAACAATCATAAATTTCCTGTTTGTGATGTGATTGTAGTAATCGGAGAAATGCACCCCGACTATAGGCTCAATATTGTTTCTTTAGAAGATCAGCAGCCTTTCTAGAGTCAGAATCTTCTTGGAACAATCATAATTTGACGTCAAACATTCTACTAACGTCATATTCCTTGATTCTTTCTCATTTTCAAAAGAAATATTTCGAAACCACGAGGAAATTTTCACTGATTGCCATGAGTTGAATCTCTTGGGATTTTCTAATTGTTTGTGAGAAAGGGTGCTGTTGCCCTGTTTCCCTAGCAACCATCAGCCTGATATCGTAGTCGCCGCCTCTGAAGTCACTCATTATACCAATGAAGTGTATAGTCAAAGTGGGCACTTTCGATTTTCTCATTTTCTCGCATACAAAATTTCATTCTTAGCTTTTAAATCTTACTTGTACCTCTGTTAGATCTAACTATACAGAATCACGCGCTTCTGAGTAAGCCTACCACATACAAATAAGATTCTGCGAGTCCGGCTCAACTATTGTAGTTGCTCCCTAGGCCCCCGCTTTCAATATTATTTTTCATGAAATTTAAACTACATTTTTACTCCTTACCAACCACAAACTCCGCCTATTTTCAGTACACCATCAAGAAGAATAGCGCCGGAATCATTCACCTGACCTGCATTCCGTACTCGGCTCTTTTCATTCTTCGAGGAACTGCTGTTTTGGCTCATTTCCTTCCACCCAACCTCCAAGCCAACATTAAGAATCCCATCTGATGGTGAAAAAGGCTGTGATTGGCTTTCAAGCTTTTTGAATGTTTCTTTTAAACACGCAATCATAATTGTCTCAGTTCATAATAAAATCTGTTTCCAAACAATTTTAATGTTACCACTTGTCCACGTCTTTGCTCCAAAATTGTTTTTGGGATGTTTCTGTGAATGGTATGTTGCCTGATGCTTCGCATGGAACCGCTTCACTGTCTGGGAATGTAAAAGACCGGTCAAAAAGTAAATTTTGACTATTTTCAGGAGCCTTGAGTTCAGGTGTCAAGTGTCGGATCATTTTGAAAATTTTGGAGGATGTATAGCAGACCTAGAATAAAAACTTTACACTAACAGAATTTTTGGAAAGTTGCTAGTTCTTCAGCTATTTTTCGATTTCTAAAAGACACCTTTTTTGGCCTGTTTTGTACCAAAAACGTGAACACAAGACGGTGTCTCTCGGAAATTGGCAAATATCTGAAAAACTAGGAATTTTCCCAAAAAATCTGTAAATGCAAAGTTTTCAATCTAGGTCAGTTTTACACCCTCCATGAGTTTCAAAGTGGTCCGACACTTGACAGCCGAGCTCCATACTCCTGAAAATGGTTGAAATCATTAGATAAACACGCTTTTATATAACTTACATTAGTGACGAGTACTGTATTTCAGTTAATCCAGAAAAATGAAAATTTGCCATAATTCAAATGTCTAGAATAGGGTACAAAAAGCGAAACTACTTCAAATATATACTCTCAATAAACAAAATGCAACCTCTTTTTCGACCTTTAATCTCTATTTTTAATCCGCTAAACGCTGTATAATGGAAGAATAATTATATTTGGACTACACACATTAATTTTTCGAGACGCGGAACCAATAAAATCATTTCTCCTTTTAAAAAACCATTGTTATCAACGAAGAAAAGTTCGTTTTAACTTTTTCCCACTGATAATTTTCTGTTGCCTCCTTCCCAATTGAAGACTTTTCTTTTGTGAGTTGGCAAAAAGTTATCTATTATGTAGCACAATAGAGTAGATTTCTCTAGTTGATTGCTTGCTTTTCTCTCCGATCATTGTTCACTATATGGGAATATTGAAGAACTTAACAGCTTGATTTCTCCTGCTCTCCTATGCCTAGGTTCTCTTAATGTTCTTCTCATTCTCAAACTTCTATTTTCTTGAGAAAACTGTTCAAATTGCCTAAAACCTTCATTAATAAAAATAACTTTTAATAGAATGCATTAATATTGTTTTTCGTGTTTGGTATACGGTACTTCAACCGTAATTTCTATCTCATTATCTTCTCTTGCCATTTCTTGACCTTTAAATAACACGAATCACCCAGGATGCTGAGCACGTTGAGAGAGATGAGCCAATTCCACGGGAAGACTCTTCCCTGGTGGCGTCAGATTCGTCTTTGGTACCTGTGGTGTACGGACAAAAGTCAACGCGTTCGATTCTACTCAAAGAAGGAAATGCGTCGTCTCAATGCAATCATCAGTAAGTAATAGCTAAGAAATACTAACAGTACCGGTCCATAAGATAGACAAAAACGCATTTTTCAGTTTTTTGGCCCTCTTTAATTTAGAAAAAGTGGAAAAAACAGGTGTCATTTGAAGAGCGACAAGAAGCTGAAAAAGTGATTTTCAGAAAATTCTGAGAAAGCAAAATTTTCAAGCTGGGTCTGTTTTGAGCCCTCCAAAAGTTTCAAAGTGATCCGACACTTGACAGCCGAGCTCCAGACTGCTGAAAATGGTCAAAAAAGCCAAAAACTAACTGAAATAATACATTTTTGTATGACTTAGTGACTGGTTTTGTATCTCATTTACACGATTTCAGAGGAGAAATACGAAAAACTACCACGAGCTCATGAGCTAGATAACTTTCCTTCTCCAATGTTTCTTGAAAGTAGGTGCTCAATCTTTGAAATCTAAACCATTAATTTATTTTAGGTTGGGGTCTTAGCGCGTCTTTCCAACAGAGATTCGAGTCAATCAATATTTACGAAGTAAGCGAGGAAATCAAGTTGATTGCCGTGAGTTGCATAATTATCAATAGAAAATAATTTCGAATTTTCTAGGCTGAGGCAGCACTTCGGGACTGCCAGAATGACCTTATTTCATTTGGAGTCAAGGCAACCTACGACTTGCTATCCGGCGAGGAGCGAGACTGGCAGTGTAATATCTAGGAATAAAATAACTGTTTTTGAATTCAATCTTTTTAGACATTTGCTACTTCTGCGGCACTAATGAACGTCATGCTTCCGGCTTCTGCAGCCAGCTCACACGAGTTGAGCACTTCGATCGCCTCATCGCCTCTACTGCAGCGGACTATGAAATCAGCCTTAAGGCCTACCACGAGTTAGATGTCAAACTCGAGCTTCAAGTGTTGAAGGAAAAACAGAAGAAAGCGATGAAGGTTCTGGAGAAGCGTCAACGCAAAGCAAAAGGGCACCATCGAGACGCGCTTGTTGATGAGATTAAACTTCTCGCTCAAAAACAAATGGAGGAATACGACGCTTTGCAAATGAAACTGGAGACAAAAATGACGCAAGAAATGCAAAGAATGTCGGCGTGTTTCGCTAAGACCATCCAGCAGGATCGTAAGAGATATGTCAAGATGGACGAGCAGACCGGAGGAAGAAAGGACGTCAAATATCGCCATGATTTGAAACTCGACCCAATATTGTCCCATGCTGCTCTATCCACTATCAAACAGTGGTTAAGCGTTCTCGAGCAATAGCCGTTTGTTGTTAAATCAATTTTCGAAACATATGATTTTATATGAAAGCATTTTATCGATTTAACGCAAAACCAAAAGATAAAGACGTGGAAAAAACATGAGATCTCACGCATCAAAAGCGTAATGTTGTGAAGAAGATAGTGAATTATGGTCAGATATTCAGAATTAAGAGATTACAGTTTCGAACATTGAAGAGGAGAAAAATCGATAGATGGCTGTTGAAATACGTTGATTAGAAGATTCCTGGCGAGTCTGGCATGTTACAGAAGACCTCCGCTCTATTCCATATTTTCATTGGAGGATACGACGGCGGCAGGAGCTGCGGCACGAGCGGGGGCTCCATTACTTGGTTTCTTTCTGCGACAGAATTTGCGATGATTTTGCCAATGGGTCTGCTGACAATTCACGCTGCAGTACGCGGTGTTCCAGCAGCAATGATACATCGCCTGAAATGTTAGAAAGTCATTTTTCGTTGAAAAAAAGTTGAATTTGATCGTTTTTCATTGGTTGCTGACAGTAATGACCGTATTTTATGTCTAAAGATGCTGGAAGTTGCTTACTATCGAATAATTCTTTACGATAATTCTTTTCTTTTCGGGAAGATCGGTCCCACAGCAGGTCCGCTCCCATCATCGGGCCGCCGGTCCCAACAAATTCCAAAAATGATCCAAAGTTCCGCCAAAGGTACTAGTCCTCTTTTGAACTGACAATTGTTGAAAGAAAAAGTAAAGTAGGGACCGTTGTCTGAATATTATCGGCTGCGGTTGTCGTCTTTTGGGCGCTAATTTGCCAGATTCCGCTAGGGATTCTCTCAGAAGGTGCCCAAACAGCGCTCAACAGGTGGCAAAAGCAAGAGTAAAAGCTGGCTGGCTTCTCCTTGGGTTTGCCTAAAATTTTTTTCGCCCAAAGGGGGTCCGAAGCTCGCTCAAAAAATGGCGGAGCTCTAACTTTGCCCAAAAAGCGCTCATGTTTGCCGAAAAGACATAAATGTTAATAATTTTGCCCAAAAGACGACAATCGCAGCTGTGTTGGAAGTATTGTACAAATGTTGGGACCTTGAGTAGGACATTGGAATCTCGTTGGGATCGGCAATTCAATTATGGGACCAACGGTCCTACCTTGAGACCGGTCTTCCCGGAAAGTGCCAAGCTTTTTCTTTCCATTTCGGATAACGTCAACAATTTTCGTTTTCAAACAAAATGCTCACTTCTTTATCACAGTTCCAGCACCACTGCTTCTTCTTGGCAGACGCCAGTTCCTTTTTCTGCTTCTCAACTAGCTTTGCAATCTCCTGCTGCAGTATCTCTTCGTGCTTCTGTTCCAAATCAACTTTTGTTGCTTCGAGTTCCTGCTTGAATTGGGTCATCAAGTCTTGACGAACTTTGTCCATATCCGAACGAAACTCTTCATGTAGCTGAAATAAAATTGTTTGATTAGTGAGCAGCAGCATCGAGTATACCATTTTAGTGAGATCTTCGAGACACTTTTGGCGGGATTGGTGGTATTCAGTGAGCCAATGCCGTTGAAGATCTACTACCATCCGTCGCATCTTATCGTCGGCGAACAATTCATTGAGCTGAAAATTGTAAATTTATCGAGGTTTGGATTTTGTTTATAGCGGAACTTGATTTTTGTGAATTCAATAGTTGTCCTAAGCGTCATGTTGCTGTTGAACACTTTGTTTCGAAGAAAATTTGAGCATTTTAAGCATTACAGGCAAAAGTTGGACGTCAACTTGGCAAATTGTTCAGAGGAACAAAAGCCTGGCAAGACTAGGGAAAGGTTTTGAAAAAAGAATAGATCCGCATACTTTCTTTTTTTTCAGAAACTTTCAGCACGAGTCTTTTCACCTAAAATTTTTCACCTAATAAACACCTCGACCCCCACGGTGGGGTCATGGCAGCTCAATGTTATGGAAAATCGCTCGAAGTTCTCTGATTACCTATTTTATTGATAACTAGCCGTATGAATTATATTATTATTGAGAACTAGCCAATTAAAAAAAAATTAAAAGGCAGAAAACTCACCGAGATGTCGTTATACTCCAATTTATATGCGGGATCATTAGCGTTGCCGTTGGACATCTTTGCTGGTCACTGAAAATTGATAAATTATGATAAAATAAATGAGAAAACGCGAAAAAAAAGAAAATCGCAAAATATTGATACAGAATAAGCGGTATCGGTTTTTTTGCCTTCTATTTGATGGCCGAAGACAGATGCAGAACGACGGGGTGCCCCGTCGAGTAGTACGGGGGTTCACCAAAGAACAAGATACTGCATGAAAACAAGAGACGGAGAGAACGGATAAGAGAGGACTATGAGACGGGGGGGGGGACCTCAGAAATCGATTGAAGCATTATTAATCAAGGCCTTAGGTTTGTGTGCGCAGGTTGTGTGGGAGAAATGGACACAATAGCGTTCATGTCAGTTTTTAGGCAGCCGTTTATTGAATGCGACGCATGGCAAAGGATACATACTGTCAATCAAAGAAATTGAAGGCTAGCAGTTTGATCAGAGTCAATCAAAAATTAAGAAAGGTCTTCATTTTTGAAGGAAATCGGCCAGGATTTCATTCCAATAGTTTTGAACTCATTTCACACTTGGAGTGTTCTCCAGGAAATGAGTTTACACACTTGATTTCACAATTGTACCCCTAAAAGGTTACAAGCATCATTTTGAAAAAATATCTGAAATTCAGAATTTTTCAAGAAATATCCGATCACTTGGATTATGACGTCACCAGTTAGCTGAGAGAAGTTCATTTGCCTGAAAAACCCTGAAAAACATATTGGCTTCATGGAAGCCCTTTTTAATCTCTGGCTTATGAAGAATCCATAGAAATCTGATAATCTAACAGCTCACATGATCGATGATATTTCTTTATTTAGTTTATATCCTCAATAATGTGAGATGTCAGATAAATGCAGGATTTTAAAAAGATAATAATCAATATTTAGAAGAATATCCAAAATATGGTGATGCAGTTCCTTTTTAAGTCAAGAATTGTGCAGTTTTCTAAGTTTGACTTCCAACGGGGCAGGTGAGGCGGGGGCGTAATATCAAAACTATTCGGAACAACCAAAGTGTACACTTTTGCAGTTTCTAGAAGGCTGAATGCTTCGAATCAATAGATAAAGTTGAGAAAGGAGAAATGCGTGGAAGAACAAAAAGTTATGTTTGCTGTGAAATAATGAAAAATCATACTAACGTGGATAAAGCCAAGTGAAGTGGAAAACATAAAAGCCATCGGAGCAAATCAAACTAATTAAAAGCAAAAGGGATACTGTAGGATTTCACGCCTAGAAATTACCCTCATTAGTATCTCATTAGCAACAACCGGAAACTTGAAGAAACACAAAACCTTTGGTCAACTTCTTATGACTCATCTCGTATCATGTTCTCATTTCATGAGATGATAAGAAGGAAACCATTCCAACATTCTCTTCAAGAAAACAGGTCACCAAACAATATTCATTTAGAGAAGTACGAATTACTCATTCTTTCTGTACAGTATTGATGAACTTCCTCGAACTTGTTTTCATTTCAAATGTTCAACCAATATTTTTTCCTTTGCTTACTTAGAATAAAAAATACTGTAAAAATAGAAAAAGGAAAGAAAAAACATTTCATAATAATTGCCATGTTTAATCTACTCTTGTAGATTGCCCCTTTTTTCTTTCTTTCCCCTAAAGCAATTTCTTCTCCCCACCCGTTTCTCTGTGCTCTCTTCCTTTCCTATTGTATTTCTGTCTGCTGTTGCAAACACACACTCCTCACTTGCCTGACCTTCGCCAGAGACGCACACACACGCAAACACATACATTTGTCTCTCACAAAGGTTCCTCATTCCTTTTCTTTTTCTCTCAGTACGACACTCCGAAATTCCGCTTGCGCGCGCTGTTTAGCGTAAATCGTCACAAGTCATGTGCTTTAACAACATATTTTTGTGCTTCAATAACAACAATACATGCAATTTATTTAGTTTACTTCTAAGTTTTTGATTCCAGAATGGGTACCAATCAATCAAAACGACATCCACGCTTCCTGACATGTACATGGGACGATTTTCTAGCCGATATGAAAGAAATCAACAGAAAGTGAGTTGTTTAGCCTGAATATGTCCAGTTTTAGACTGAAATGAGCACTTAAATCGCTTTTTCTCGCTTGAAATAAGCTGTAAAAGGGCTGCTTAACGGCGAATTAGATCCGTGAAGCGCTGGAATTTCTATTTTTGCGGTCCTAGTTCAAACAGTCGAGTTGTGCTTGTTTCAAATTGAAACCATGGTTTCTACCATTTGCAAAGGAAGCACGTGCCTCACTTATCATACGTGACGTTGCATTGCTCACGCTTAAAAACAGGACGTTCCACCCAAAATTTCATCACACTCGTGTTTCAGTTATCGCAGCCTCCTTGTGGAAAACGACGAGTACTTGGCATTCGCTCTTCGATCATTGGACTTCGAGCGAGGATCGTTTGAAAATTGGAAGTCTGAGATCAAAATTCTGTGCTGCAAGGTAAGCTAAAAGGTTGTATTGGTTAATACGAATAATGATTTTCCAGATCAATGTAGCTTCGAAGATGGTGGTGTCATATAAGGAGCTGACGTTTCGGGAGTTCCTGTCGACGTACGATCTGCACAAACTGATGATCACCACCAAGGAAAGCAGAAAAAGAAGTGTGGACCCAATGTCGACGAGTCAGTTTATTCTGACACAAACGTGAGTTTTTTTTTCTGAAAGTTGTGGAAAAAGCTGGATAGATTCAATAATTTTCATCGGAGGCAATGTAGACCTAAAGCTTGCATTCTGACATGCTCTGGAATACAACTAGGCTGTTGATTTGTAGCTACAGGCTAAATGTTTGAGGGGTTTCTGCTTTTGGCCGAAACTTGCCCAGAAACGGTTCTACAGCTGGCCACGGCTAGTCGGAAATTGAAAATTGAAATACCGCTGGGTCGGAACTTTTTCATAAGCTTGTCGGAGTTCGGTCGGCTTCGGTAGAGGTCCTATCGGGAATCTGACTATCCTTCAACCAGAAATTGCTGACGACTCCCACGAAGTCCTTGCCACGTCCATACGAATCGGATATACGGCAACGTCTGTCTGGAAAATGGCTAGATTCCAATGGCTACAATAAAACCCTTCAAACTTCAATAAGCTAATGAAAAACGCCAAACTTAGCAATTCTAACTTCGAACTTCCGACCTTAAGCTAAGTCTGGCGTGCTTGAAGCTGTTTCAGTGCGACTTTCATTCAAAACCTGATCAACATCCGTTAAACGAACCGACCTCCACTTCAGGCCGAAGGGTAGCTCTACATACATGTCCACTGCAGCTAAACAAAGCTAAAAGTGGGGGCGAGCTCAATCGACAAAAAACCGCTTTTGTGAATAGAAGCCAGATCTGATCGCTTGATCTCCTGCTGAGCAAAAATTCCATAAACATGTGGGATCGCTGTGACGGTTTCTCTTGATAAAAAGTTGTAGCGTTCCCTTCTAGGCAGAAATTAAAAAGGTTTCAGCTTTTGGACAGATGTTGGCCAGCTTCTGGTCAGATCTTATCCAAAAACGGCTGTATAACCGACTGGTCATAGTCAAACTTTAGTCAGAAGTTGAAATTTGAAATATTTCTAAGGCGGAACCTTGTCATTTGTTTGTCTGAGTTTGGTCGGCTTTAGTAACGATCTTGTTTGGAATCTAACCTAACTCCAATCAAAAGTGTCCGGCGACATTAGAGATCTTGAGCAAAACCGTGCGCAATGTGTATGATTTCTAAATTTCCTTCGATTCCAGATCCGACGTCGAGGGTAACTGTGTCATTTGCATGGAAAACATCAATGATGTGAGTTTTTTCTTTTTCTTAATCTTGACTCCAATTTTTGTTTCCAGTTGTTGCTTCCCTGCCTTCATGCATTTTGCATCCGTTGTATTGCCAATGAGATGGAGTATCGCCACGATTTCTCTTGCCCTATTTGCAAGACCAAAATCAAGAATCCTATTGATGACTCTTGGGAAGTTCCCGATGCTCCCAATCAGTCAGAGGTGAATGCCTATCTGAAGGAGGTGGCTCGAGACCTCTAGTCACCCAACAATACCGTTTCTTCACCTCTCCCTACAAAATCGCTCATTCCCACTGCTTTTCCCCTCTCGGTTTGTGAATCTTATGTTAATAATTTATGTCATCCCTCCCCTCCCGAAAAAAGTTCAAAATCATAATAGTTTGCCTTGTTTTTCTCTTGTTTTTTAACGTATTGTTTTTTGTTGACGCATAGTTTGTAACGTATCGTGTAAGTAGTATTTCTGCTGACGAAATTTTTTTCGTGTGGACTGTGCAAATCACTTCCTTTTCTGAGACTTCAGTTTGGGTTTTTTTCTTTTTTCTGAAGTGCAAATCTAGAAACTTTTTTGTACCGTCGCACCACTCAGGTCCAAATTCCAAAAATTGATTCAAGTTATTGTTTTTCCACCTACTTTCTTTTTGATTTGTTAAAACTTTAATTGTATTATAACTTGATTTGTATATAAATAAATGTTCATATGTGAACGCATACCAAGAGATAAATATACTGTACCTGCCCGATCGTGGTGGGAAATTTATGTCAAAAGTTTATTTTTGATCAATTCTGTTTAGAAGGAACTATCAACAATTACTCAAGGATAGATCACTAGCCGACAGGATCCTTGTCACAATCACAGAATTACTACCAGTCACTACCAGTCCTCTAGTGGCGTCAGCTGTGGAATGAATTTGCCCAGGAAGTTCTGGTCCAGTGAAGTTGTTAAAACTGAGCAAAAAGAAGACGAAAAATGTTAAAATTACAATTTTATACATACTTTGAATGCAAAACGGCAGATATAATCATCAAAAATGAGCAATTTCTCTTCAAATTTATACATTTCCTCAATCCTTGAGTCTTCTCTCCAGCACCGCCTCAAACTTCCTTGGCAACACAAAATTGTGTTGTGACTTGTCTAAATCCGGCATTTTTCCAGCTGGCAATACATTATAACGGTTGAAAATATTCGCGAAAAACAAGAAAAGTTCCATTCGAGCAAGCCCTTCTCCCAAACATTGTCGTTTTCCAATAGAGAATGGAATGAATTCATCGACTTTTTTCAATTTTCCATTCTCCAAAAATCGATCGGGATTTACACGGAAGGGCTCGGGGAAAGTCTGGAAAACTCCGAATTTCAAGAGAAGTAAATGATCAGGATAAGTTCAGAGCTAGTCATACTCAAGTCAGTGAAGCCGACCGAAAAATAGGAAAACAATCTCTTACCTGTTCATCTAACATAACGGTACTGATCTGTGCAATGACTCCAGTTCCTTTTTCAATGTTATATCCATCAATTACAGTATCTCTTGTAGTAATATGCAACAAATTCAAAGGAATGATATTTGCACATCGTTGAGTCTCATTCATAAACGCTGTGAGATACGGTAGCTGATTTTTGTCAGCAGTGGTTATCAAACGATCACTTCCAATCACTCGATCTAATTCGTCGTGGATTTTTTCACGGATTTTTGCGTCGTGAAGGTAGTAGGAAATGCCCCAGGTTAGTGTAGAAGTCGTTGTTAAGAGACCGGCAATCCATAAATCGAAGCACATTGCACAGAGCTGTTTTCGGCTGGAAAAATGTATAATGTTGGATCAAACTCAATAGAAAAACATATGATAGAACTTGTGGTTATTTTGAAACCCAAATATAATGATTTTCAAATCTCGGATTTTCCATAAAACCTACCTAAAAGTTTCCTTGTCACCATCCTCTTCTCTTTTTCTCTGCTCTTTCAAATATGCCTCCACAAAATCAAAATTCTCATCTGACTCAAAATCAATTTCCATCATATGCTCATCAATTTGACTGTAGAAAAAGTCATCCAGCATAGTTCTGCGCTCCTTCACTTTTTCTCCCAAAGTTGGGCTTGGAAGGATTTTTGAGGTCCATGGAACCAAGAATTGGATGAAATATCGGAATTCCGATACAACGTCTCTCATTCCATCGATTAAAGACTTTAAATGAGCAAATTCGTCTCTTCGAGCCTGAAATTCGTTATTACTCAGATAATTCTTTCTAAAGAAATTATTACCGTCTCAAATCTCTTGTTGAACAAAGACAAATTAATGACATTCCCGACACTTCTGTCTATAAGAGCTGGAAAATCGAATTTAGCTCCTCCATGAGCGTCAATGTCCTTGTAGAGCTCTTGAACTTCCATTAGAATCTGAAAAAAGAATTTAAAATATTTTCCAGCTTACCCCAGAAACCTCACCTTCTCCTGCATCAAATCCTTGCCCAGTCCTAAATCTCTCAACTGCGTCAACGTGAATCTTCTATGTACACTCCACATCTCACCATTGGTATCCAGTACTCCATAGTTTTGGCCCAATCTCTCTTTATCAATAGCTCCCAATTGTTTATCCACGTAGGTTTCTCCATCTTTCACAAATGTTTCTTTCAGTTTGTCATAGGAGCAGATAATGATAAATGGCTTCTTGCCTGAATTGGAATAATTAAAATTGAGCGAGAATAGTGAAAAATTATTTTTTTTTGTTATTTTTTCGCGAAACTCACCCATCCAAAACGTGAAAACCGATCCATATTTCTTCTTCCATTTTGCAAAAGCCTCATATCCTGGTTTCAGTTTGTTAAGTTCCAACAGATTCCCCAAGAATGGCAAAGGAGTCGGTCCCGGCGGCAGATTCCGTCTTTTCCAGTGTAATTCATAGAAAATATAGAGAAAAACAAATGATAAAATCAAAATCAAAATCATTTTCTACTCATCCAGGTAGTTCTAATTCGCCTTTTAACTCAAACATCTTGTAGAGCGAGAAAAGAAACACAGAGAAAAACACAAAAAGGACTGGGCAAAAAATCTATGATTTGTGTCTTTTTATCTTGTTTAAAGGTAAAAGACAACAAATTTTTTCAAGGTGTGGTCTCTGCCGATTGTCAATATTATTTTACTTGATTTCACAGTACAAAAAATAAGACACACTTTACATGACTAACACATATTCATTATTCGCAAATAATTGAGACCAAAGCTTTTGCAATAGAATAAAATTTCAAATGAAATCAAGTTTTCTCGTAAACTGATTTTTTTTTCAGTTTTTCAGCTTTTGTGAATTGAAAGTATGAATAAAGTTTGAGTCATTTAAAGCTGTCCCCACAAAATTTCACCTTTTCATAACTTGATTTTTTTTTCTTTTTTTTTAAAATTTCCTATATTTCAATCCGGGTCGCCTATGTCCTCACATTTCCAATCTGCAAACTTTGTATACAATGCGGCAGTTATAGTGATACCTTCATCTAAATTTTCTCATTCTCTATTTTTTCGAAAGACCATTAAACACATATCGTCCCCGTTTTCACTGAAAATTTAGGTTCTGGGACGTCCATAGCTAGCTCCTCTTTGTCAATCAACTCACCCTTATAGAGTAACTTACCCACTTCTCATCTACGGTATTTAGATCATCCAACCAGTTGAACGTGCGAAGAAATGATAGGTGAAACATACATATTTCTACATGGAAAAACATTGTAGTCCTGAAACACAAGGGATACGAATCAACCCCGTTTTTGACTTTGCCAAGAGACTTTGATTCGTTCACAAAACTTGGTTGACTGAAGAACAATGCCTGTGACATTTTACAAATGATTTGAAATGGATCCACCTCACCGCCTTTCAGCAATTGATGAAGATCCGACTCACTAGGCCGTTGTTCAGGTTTCAAACGGAACACCCATGAGCGGAATTTTTCAAATTGAAAGCAAATCGTAGGCGATGACGAGACATGTTTCTTATACAGTGGCGAGAAGTGGTGAGGAGAATTTTTTCGAACATTCATAACTTTGTTCAAAATCGTTCATTTTACTTGAAATTTTTCAAGAAAATAGCCGTAAAATCCATAAATATAAAATTCGTTTTTTTGAAAATTTCTCATCTTCAGAACTTTCAGAGCAGTTTCAGATGTAACAGTGGTTCGTGAACCCAAAAAAACTTTTTTCAGAATTCTTTCTGACTTCGATTTTAGATGTCAAATGATTCTCAAAGTTCAAATATGCACCAAAAAAGTTTTGAAAACAAATTTGGAAGTCGGGGTCTCGAGTTATGATGCTCAGAGCACAAAAAGTATGTGTCGGCATTTTTGCTGTAACTGAGCTGAAAATGTATTTTTGATGGTCAAAATTTCACAAATGATGTGTTTTAAGTAGGAAAAAAAATTTCATTTTTTTCACCTATAGCGAAAATTTCTAAAATCTAAAAATAAGAAAAATTTTTTTTACAATTGAAAAACATATGTTATAAAACTCATAAACAACAAAACATGTTCGAAAAAATTCTCCCCACCACTTATCGCCACTGTATACATCCACAACTTTCTTGCGAATATCAGGTGTTTGAAGATCAAATAAAACTAAAAATGTAATCATGCTGCGAATATGCAGTCGGATAAGGACCAAAAGAATCGTCATTTCTCCAACACGACCTAATAGAAACTGAACACAGCTCTCCAACAAAAAATCTGGCCCGGTACACTAATTTGAGAACCAGAAACCGGAGTTCAAAAAGAACCTTGCCATAATGAAAGAAACTTTCAAACCACCTTAATATATCTTGTTGACCGCCACTTTATGTATATTTCAAAATAGTAAGTTATGGATAAAATATTTTATTGAGAAAAAAGATGTTCAAATTATTACTTTCCAGCCAACTTCACCAGTGCCAAGTAACCAAATGGAATACATCTGAATTATACTAAATAAAATCAATAAACAGAAGCAAATGTACCGGCAATCATGTATCGGAGAATTGATGGCAATTGCGAAATCCCGACAGCCTCCTTTACACAGCCCGAACAAGTCGTGGCATTGAAGTCGAATCAAGTCCCAGCCACATCCCGAAGCCTAAACATTCTAAATTGAAGCAAGAGATTCAATTATGAAGCACCACCTGGAAATTCTCTTTATCATTGATGAGACTCAAATAAGTCGCGTGTTCCAGTGTCGAACCTCCTCTTGACAAATTTGGAAGTTCTGAAAAAAGAACTGGATTAGCCCAAAACCACCAGTAAGATTTTCGAGATTCGAACAGATATTCACCTCCTTGCTGCCGTTCTTTTTGGTTCTCACTCTCTTCCTTATCAGTTTTCAAAGAGATTAAAGAATTTGCGGTCTCACGTTTCGGTATAAGAACCGCACTGGGTAGAAGTGGACTATTATGTGGAGTGGTTATAAATGATTGTTGTTGTTGCTGCTGCTGTTGATTTGCATTTTGCAGTTGTTGAAGTTGAAGTTGTTGTTGTTGTAAATAAGGAAATGATGGGTAATAAGAGCTGATATCATTATTATTATCAGTGGTTGGGATATTTATTGCCGCGAAACCTAGAAATGGACACTTACTATTTCATTATTTTTGTTAACACTACCTGCAAATTGCCATGGAGTTTCAGCATCGAAAAATTGGCTCACCAAAGGTTGAAAACAAAGCTGTAGAAGGAAATAACAAACCAACATGAAAAAGAACATTTCTAAGTTTGGTCATTCCGAAGACACTCAGCTCAAGTGGGTTATAATGAGTCTCTCTGAATCATTGTGACCTTCTTTTGAAGATTGACGAATTCTTTTTTTTTCCTGGGAAGTCTAGTAGTGGTCATTTGAAATGTTCTATATTTATTGGCAAGACAAAAATAAAATAAGTCGATCGCCATGAAATGAAAAAGTAAATTAGCGTCGAGTTCCGTCCTCGAAGAAGATTCCTCCGTCGATGGCGCAGTACTTGGGGCAGATTCCCTTCTCTCCTTCGCTTCCGGCCTTTCCAGCTGGTCCTGGTGGTCCTGGGTTTCCATCGGCTCCTGGAGCTCCGGCTGATCCTGGTGGTCCCTTTGGTCCGGCCTCTCCTGGTGCGGCAGTTGGGCTTGCTCCGTCTGGTCCTGGTGGTCCAGGTGGTCCTGGTGGTCCGGCTGGTCCTGGTCCGGCTGGCTCTGGATAGGTGCTCTCTCCACCTGCTCCGTCTGGTCCTGGTGTTCCGGCTCCTCCATCGGCTCCTGGGTTTCCTGGTGGTCCTGGTGGTCCTGGAGGTCCTGGTGGTGATGGGGCTGCTGGTGCTCCGGCCTCTCCTGCTGGTCCGGCTTCTCCGGCTGGTCCATCTGGTCCTGGTGGTCCGGGTGGTCCGGCTGGGCATGGTTGGCATGGTGGTGGATTCTTTGCTTCGCATGGAACGGCGGCTCCCTTTCCTGGTGCTCCTGGTGATCCTGGGGCTCCGGGCTTTCCTGGTTTACCAGGCTTTCCTGGGTTTCCTGCAACTCCTGGTGGTCCAGGGTTGCAGCATCCGGAACATCCACCTCCAGCAGCAGCTCCAGCGTCAGCTCCACCTCCAGATGAGTATCCAGCCTGTCTTGCCGTTCTGTTCAATGTAATTTCGTGAACATTGTTGATCTCCGACCACATGTCTTGTACTGAGCTCTGAAATTCACACATGGTTTCAGAAAAATTTTATTGGCGATTCTTACCTTGCAGTAGAGAGACTCTCTATGCAATTGAGTCTTAGTGTTTTGGACATAAGAAAAGATCAGTGGAAGGACCAAACACAATGAGACAGCTGCGGTGATTGAGAAACCAACTGCCGAGTAGGCAATCAGACGGTACGCTTTCAGGCGGATATCAGTTGGAGAATCCATTGTGGTTCTAGAATGCCAAAGCACGCTAGTTGAATGACTTTCTTGGAATTTCATGACGCTTTTATACAAAAACTTTGTTTTCTTACTACTATCGCATTTGCGAATTCGGTGGTAGCAAACTGGTAGTTCAATCTAGATAGCAAGATGGTACAGAAAGATATTTATGGTATTTTCTAGATTCAGTTATATCACAGAAAAATGAATAGAAATGTATATATGTACTAACTTTTTTCTTAACGTCGTCGTGTTCCATCTTCAAAAAATATTCCGCCATCTATCGCACAATACTTCGGACAGATTCCTTTTTCCCCCAGCCCTCCTGAGCTTCCTGGCTGTCCTGGTGGTCCTGGATTTCCATCGCTTCCTGGTTGTCCTGCCGGTCCTGGTGGTCCTTTTGGTCCTGGCGGCCCGGATCCTCCAGACGATTGTCCATCTGATCCAGGTGGGCCCATTGGTCCCGGTGGACCCATAGGTCCCGGTGCTGCTGACCCACTTGGCATACTCGAAGCAGGTTCTCCTGGTCCACCAGGTGATCCTGGAGCTCCTTGTTGCCCTGGAATCCCAGGAGGTCCTGCTGGGCCAGGTAAACCAGGCAAGGGAGCTGATGGCGGTGCCGGCGGTCCCATTTGTCCTGGAGGCCCCGGTGGTCCGCCGGGTCCAATCGGTCCTGGAGGTCCTGCTGGACATGGTTGGCATGGTGGCGGGGTAGTTGATTCACAAGGAGGCGACGCGGAAGCTCCAGAAGATCCAGGTTGTCCAGGCGCTCCAGGTTTTCCGTGATTTCCATTTTTACCAGGTCGTCCTGGTGGTCCGGGTGGTCCGGGGTTGCAGCAACCTGTGCATCCTTTATTGACGGGTCTTGGCGCGTTGCTAAACACGTTCACGTTTGGTCTAAGTGTAGCATATCCACCGGGATTCCCGCTATTTCTCGTAGGTGTCCAATATCCTCCACTATTGGTCATTGCCGTTCGGTATCCACCGCCACTGCCTCCTTGTTGAGCAACCGCATAGGCACCTCGAACTGTCCGATTGTGAGGTTCCTCGGCAGTTTCTGTGATATCCAACCAAATATCATGCATTGATGTCTGAAATCTATGACTTTTATACATAATCTGGATCGAATACTCACTTTACAATACACAGTCTCTTTGGTAATCAGAATTTTGGCATTTTGAGCGTAAGAATAAAGCAATGGGACTGTGATGCATACTGAAACTGCGGCAATGACCGAATATCCCACAGCAGAGTATGCTACAAATCGGAGAGTTTGTAGTTTGAGGTCAATGTGGGACTCCATGGTTTATGGGAATACTGACTTCATCAATGGTTTTTATAGGTAGTTTTTCTTCGGAGATTACCATAAACAAACCGAACCGATAATGCGTTTTGTTCAACTAATTAATCAATGGTTACGGTTCATTAAAACCGTCACACTTCGACGTAAAAATGTTAATTGTTTATAACTTTGAGAATTAAAAAAAGAAGAAATTTCCATAAAAAGTAATGCCGAAATGATGGATAGGGGAGTGTGAAAAAAAACCAAAAAAAAAAGGAAATAAGATTTGAGATCTGTTGGTAAAATGATTTTTGAGACAAAACGATTTTGAGAGGATTTAAAATTAAATGTAGAGAAGAGGACCGGTTAAATATGTTGAAACAAAAAAATGGGGATGATATTTGAAAAATTACGACACACGCTATAAGAAAAAGGTTATCGGGAAGTTTGTGGAACGTTTTAAGAAGAAAAGAGCGGTTTGGCAGTAGACAACGTAGAGGTGAAATTGAAATGGAACGAGAAGATCATTATTATAGGAGATATAATAAATTAGGTAGCTAGCTACAGTAATTTAGACTTTTAGCATTTTTCCGTGGACACGGAGACGGTAGAGACAGGTGAATTGGGCGCCGTAGTTGCTGGTTACTTCCAATTCGACAAATTTAACTGGGAAGTCAGGCTTGTGCTGGAAAACTTGGTGTTTTTATTGATTTTTTGGTCACTTTTGTAGAATATTTGTATATTCTTTTTTTTAATCAAGCTCTGTTCATATTGTTAAAATCTGTATTAGGAATGACGGTCTTTCTATTGTTCCAAGATACCTTCGGTAATTTTTGCAATTTACCTTGTAAATTTATATTTTTAGAGAAAAGGCAAAATCGAGTGAAAAAAGTGTGTTTCAAAAATTTTCTCATACTTTGTGGAATTTGTGAAATATTTTTCACTGAAAATAGTTGGAAAAGTATAATTTCAAACAATACACTTTGAAGGGGGCCTTCTATTACAGAAACCTGTCTATTTATAAAATTTCTTCCCGGAGAGCCCTTCTATTAGAGGGACCCACCTATTGGAGGGGCTCTCCTAATACATTCACGGTATATTGCCTGAATTTTCGATAGTTCGAATCAAAATATTTGCTACTAAATTGAATAGATTAGCCTTCATATTCTGAACAGGCGTTTCTAGTTTGTTCAAGGAATTTAAATGATTTCCTTGCTCACCTTGGCCATGAAGAACTGAAGTGGTGGTCCGTCAAGATCATAGGTGTAGTCCCCAATCAACACTCGTGTGCTCAAATCATCAATCTGCTTGTACGCCCAAACGAGAACACCCTTCGGAGCACTGGACCGATTTCCTTCTGGAGCAACTTCTTTTCCAATGTGTTCGTAGCTAATACTGGATACATCAATGAAATGCGACAGCTCTACTGCAATGTAACCACGACCATCTTTGAAGCACCAGCATTCACCAGGGAAAAGCGATTTTGAGTTTCTCTGAAAAAAGAATCATCGAATTTTCCGAAGAATTTAGCTTCCTCTTACCTGAATCACAACTCTTGGTGAGTAGTGATGATAGTAGATTGGGATATCCCAAAATTTCTCCAAACGAGTGTAACTCTTGTAGGTTTCACTGCATCTGGTAGAGATGACAGCGCCACCAGAACTTTCCAAAGCGTAATCAACTTGCCCTGTCTTGTCAGTGTCATACTCGTAGATCAACTGACGGATAATAGCTTCCAGCTGATGATTGTCATACCTAACGTCGTTGTTTACTATCTTCAGCTGCTCAATAATTGTCTGATAGTTCTGCTCGAACTTCGCACTGAGGTCTTGATGAAACTGGGCGGTCAATTCGTCTCGAAGCTAAAAATGGGGGAAATACTTTATTTGAAATGGAATTTATGTACAAAAACAATCGAAAAGCGAGATCCAATACAATGATCGGTTAGTTTACCTTCTCAGTCACCTCCTTAATGATAGCTTCCTTGTCTACGGTCTCAACAACGTTAGTCTGATGAATAATAACTGGTGGTGGAGTAGTGACTACGGTTGGGATTGGAATGGGTTCTGGTGCGGGGGCGGGAATTATTTTGAGCTCTTCTTCTTCGTCCTCAACCTCGGTTTTCTTTTTGAGAATCTCCGGGGGCTGCTGTTCCTGCACTCTGTCAATATCCGGAGTAGGTGTGATGGCTTGTGGGATTGGAATCACTTGAACTGGATCCTCCGGCGCGTATTGACTGATCTTGATCCATCCGCGAGTGATCAAACCAACTGGATAGGTCACCAAGAAAGTAGCCAAGTCGAAGATGCTAGTCACTCCAAGCACCACCATGTCATAAATCCATCTCAAAGCAAGCCAGATTGGTCGTAGGAGCTCTTGGTAGTTTCCGCTAAAGAAGCCAGCAACTGGAGCGTAGATGTAGTTGTCTAAAAGAAGTTGAGTTAGTTAATAGAGAAAAGAAGTTGGAGTTTCTTACAGAAAAAGTCGGAGATTCCATATACGACAGTTTTCACTCCTGAGATGATGGCGGTTTGGGTGTTGGTGGAGATGTTTAGGAGACCAGAGAAGAAGTAGGCAAAGAAGTCGTAGATTCCGGAGAACGCATTGGAGAAGAAATCGTTGGTGTATTGTCCTGAAAATCCATAAATTGGGCGCTACCTCAAAATATAATGTGAGCAAAATAGAACTGTACCAAAATAGATCGAGACGCAAAATAGAACTGCGTGAAAAAGAACTTCTCTGAAATAGAACTGCTCTTACATAGAACCGCGTGAAATAGAACTGTTCTGTAATAGAACTGTTCTGGAATAGAACTGCTCTGGAATAGAACTGCTCTGGAATAGAACTGCTCTGGAATAGAACTGCTCTGGAATAAAACTGCTCTGGAATAGAACTGCTCTGGAATAGAACTGCTAAAGAGGAAAATAGAACTGTGATTGCTGCAAGCGACAGATCGTGTTTTTTTCATGTTTTTTTATACGTTTTCACTATTAATTTGAACATTGGCCGCTCCCTTCATGCACTTGTTACAAAGTATCATGGCTTATCTCCACTGAAAATGTGTGATCTAATAGAACGTCCAAATTCGAGGATAATCATACGTCAAAAGACGCCGCCAAGATTGCTCTGAACCATACCTTTCGAGTGAGAATACTCCACGAACTCCCTATGCCCCTTTTTCTGATCTAAATCTTTTAAAGATGGGGGACATGAAAAAAAAATAATGTTCTCGAAATGCCGTTTAAATATGCCCCCCGAGGAGTTGAACTTGCGGAAGCGAGGATTGAGGGTGCGGCGCCGCTACCGACTGAGCCACGCGTGCAGAGAGAAAGCGGCCGCCCGATTGCATACATAAAGGCGAGGACGACAGCTGTACGCAGAGTGACATTAAGCGTTGTTCACCGTCACGGTATGCATACCCTAATTCCAAAAAACCTCCGAAAAATCTCCTGTCCCCCCACCTTTAAGATCTTTTGTTTACGCTAAGAGTTGATTATGATACGTATTCTTCTTTTCTTTAATCTATGTCTACTTTCTTTGTAATATATTTTTTATCTCCGTTTTTAAAAGTTCCATTTTCCTTCATAACAGTTCTATTCGAGACCAGTTCTGTTTCAGAACAGTTCTATTCCAGAACATTTCTATTTCACGCGGTTCTATGTAAGAGCAGTTCTATTTCAGAACAGTTCAATTATAGAGCAGTTCTTTTTCACGCAGTTCTATTTTGGCACAGTTCTATTTTGCTCTTCTATTTTCTATTTCGAGGTAGCGCCATAAAAGGAAATTTATAAATTTGCTTTTATCCGTCTCTATACTTGTCGGTGAGCCGATTCTGGGCCAGCACAATCCGGCTGATAAATTGTTTGCTTCAAAATCGAAATTGTGAGCAGCACAGCATACCAAATGATAGAACTCGAAAAGCTCTACAATTTTCGATAAGAATCAATCCGTTTCAAAAAAGGTATTATAGTCCGGATGGAATTTTTTTTGCCGGGCGAACGATTTATGCCCAACCCGATTGTTAAAAGTCGGTCTGCACTGATTCAACCTTGTTGAAGGCTGTAGAGCTCGCCGAGTTATATCGTCTGGTAAGCTTTTGGCCCACGATTCCAATTTTGAGTTATCAGCGAGATATCAGCTAGACTAGGCTGGCCTGGATCTTTTTTTTCAACAAATATGTTCGTCTCTAAAGAAAATATAGAATTTATTTTGTTATGCGATATTCAAAAACTAGCAAATTTACTGGTTTTTTCTTCGTACAGAGCGGAGATCAGCAATTTTGCTGCAGCTGTGACAATAAAAAAAGCTGCGGTTTTTTAGGCCAGTCCTTGTAATGGAATTTCTGAGATTAGCGGCAATTGCCTAGAAAACTTGAGCTTTCATGATTACCACAAAAATCACTGATTTTGCATTGCTCAGCATAATGGAAAAAAACCAGCGAATTGCTGATTAGCTCTTCTCCGAATAAGCGTAGGAGACATAACTGTTTAGACTTACCAAATTTCTCTGCGTAGGTGAAAGTCCCATTAAGAACACTATTGCCAACATTGGCAAACGACTCTTTGAATCCATAGCTCAAGAAGTATCCAACATCATACGACTTCTCACTGACATAGTCTCTGAAGGACTGGAAATTATCAGCCACTGTACCACATCCGCTGGCAATCAATCCCCATGCATATTTCGGAGCAGTCACTGTCCTTCCAAGAACAGGCTTTATAAAAGAGTAGGTGTTGAATGCTGTAAAACAATTCAGTTAATGATGGAAGGTCGTTTTCCGTGTGTTTACCAAGATCATAGACATATTCCTTAGTCATCCATGTGTAGTGCTTGACATTGTTGACGGCTCCCATCCAGAAGGGTACTGTTGGGAGTCCACCATCCGTGGATTTTGCTTCATTGGCCTCTTGGATGAATCCTTCCTTACGGATTGCAGTGTTCTCTGAGTGCAGGAATCCAAAAAGGAAGATGGCAAGGAGCAGAACCCAGAGAGTCCATAACATTGGCCACAATGTTCCCTTGTTTCTCTTCTCGATGAATGCATCGGAGAGTCCGCTAAAGAGTCCGCCAATGTAAGAAGTGGTCTCAAGGAAAGCTCCTTTGAACATCTCAAAGACTATCTCATGGGCTTCCCCAATGTAAATGAAAATGTCTTTGATGAGAATGAAGAGAGCTGAAAAAGCATTTGAGATCCGTGTTGTCCAAGGAACAGCAATGAAAGAGGCGTTGTTGTCATCAGTAGGGGCGGGTTCGTTGACATCCCTGGAAATTGATTGGTCATAATCGTTAGGGATATACTTATACTTACCTAACATGAATGGCTTCCATGGCTTCCGGCTGATAATCGGTCCATTTCATGTAGGCACTCTTTCCATAGTCGTAGATTGTGTACCAAATGTGTCTAGCAGCAATGAAGGGGAGGAAGACGAAGTATCCGATGTAGTAAAGAACATTGTGGATGACTCCCTTTTCGTTGGTATCTACGATGTAGTCAGTCCTTGGCATCAGTGGGGTAGAAGTGGCCGCGACATCTCCAATATCGAAAGTTGGTTCCGGGGTGTTAAGATGGTTTTTAGCTCTGCTGCGAAGACCAAATGAAGCCAGTGAAGTGTCAACTTCGAGATCCGGGGTATCAAACGCGGCTCTTTGGATTCCAGAACGAGTTGCTGCTGCTGCACGGGTGCTGCGGAATCTTGGAGTAACCGAACGTGTCCTGACTGTTCTTGTAGTGACAACGGTTGGCGTAGCAGGAGCCTCGGAAGAGCTTTCGTCGTTTGCAAACACCTTTGTGATAACTCGTGTGATGTTAGTTGTCTTAGTAGCCGCAACGGGCGTGGCACGACGAGCCGGTGAACGAGAAAGGCCAGCAAATGTGCGGCTTTTTTCGAGTCCTTGGGATCTGGTAACCATTCGGCTAGCTCTTTCGTTCTCCAGCTGATCCTTGATGGATGTGTAGTCGTACTGGGAAACGCTGTTCCCGCGAGACTTCCACAGTCTTACTGGAGTATGAATCACGTAGACGATGGTTTCGAAGAAACCGCGGATGAAGCGAGCGAGTTTCACATTGAATGGGTCTTGACGGTTGCGGATGAGAGCAGTTCGACGGCGATTGTCCTGCCAGCTGGCATAGCGGTTTCTGGCTGGAATAGAGGTATTTAATTTGCGGTTGAATTATTTAGGCAAAATGGAGTAGTCAGAAGAAAATGAAGGTTCAGTAATTCAAGTCGGAAGAAACTGAAGGTTCAGTAACTCAAAAAAAAACTGAGAAGTTCCGAGAGCACACTTGTAAACCGGGCCTATGCCTTTATGGACCCTGCCAGACGTTCTTTTAGATTCAAAACTTTTAGACCAACTGGCTCAGATATGATAGAACTCGACGAGTACTACACAACGGTACGACTGAAACGTCTCTGTAAACAAATTTACAGACGAAACAAACAGAAAAAAAACTTTTCCGGTCCGTTCGGCAAGACCGGTCTCGGTCACTTAATTGCTTGTGACTTTTTTCATAGACAAGATGACGTTTTCCAAATAATATCATTTTGTAGTGCTCTTCAAGTTCTATCATATCTCATTACATTGATTCAAAAATATTGGTTATAAAAGAAACTCTGGATGGGCTCGCAAAGGTCCAGTTTTCAAGCATTGGGACAAAGAGTTTTTGGCAAGCTGCTTTAGGAAAAGAATGTGCTAAAATTGTTTCTGCACGTTCGGATTGTACTGAACAACCCTCCGTCTTAAGTCAGAATTTCCAACTTACCAAGTCTAATCAAATAGAGAATGTAGTCCCAAATCGTATAAGTAGAAATCTTGACGACTTGGTAAATCGCTTCTAGGATGTAAGTGATGACGTGAAGAACCAGATAGAGCGGGAATCTCAGAAGATAGAGCAGTTGGCGACTGAGGCTAGCCGCAGACCAGTGCTCCTGCTCAGCCAACGTTCCAGATGACATTCCACCGGTGAGGTTCGGAACTTCCCAGTGATCCGGAAGCGACGGATCGTAGATCTTGCTGTAGGCGTAGGTGTAGTTGGTTGCGTAGGGCCTGAAATAAGGATTTATGATGAAAGGGCAGTAGTATGGGTTGGCAAGATGATGTGAATCTTAAAACATCAGAGGGAAATAAGAGAAAAAGAACGCCAAGCTATGTCCGCCAAACGACAAATCTTCTTTGGACTCTTTTTTGTTCTACTCAGATTTCTCTCCCTCCGCTCAGCCATTTGATACATTCGGCGTTCTAGGTTGTTCCTATACCACAGAAATGCGGTAGGAAAGTCTCTCTGCATATTTGTCGAAAGCTTCTATAGTGTCAAGTACAAGCAATCGAGTCAGCAGTCTGTACACACCCTCAATTGTTTTCGGACAACAGATGTCTGAGAAACCTAGCTCAGATGCAAGGCGGGAAATTCAAAATTCAAAGAGGACAAAACCTACAAATCGCCGGTGAGCGCATCCAATTCCTCATCGGTGAGCCGTGGCGATCTGGCATTTCGAACCGGTGGAGTCAGCAGAAGCTTTCTGCGGACCTTGGCAAAAATGTTGGGCGAGTTGCGCCCCGAGCGAGTCGACGCGAATTCTGACTTCCATTCATGATCGTAGATGTCGTCGGGCATGATTGCCTGGAAGTTATCTTTTGAGGGAACCGAGGGAATCCAAGATAGACGAAAAGAAAAATGTATCGAACCAAGATGTGAAGCTTCAAAAATAAAATAAAAAGTGTTGCTTTCTCCTTTCTTTTGTTTGTTTTCGATTTGTGCATGATTCATACACAAAAAATCTGTACGTTTTACTACAGGAGCAAACAATTTTTGAAAAGTAAAGACAAAAGAGTGAGAAACTTTAGAAGGTAAGAGTTTACGTTTCCCAGTTGAAGGGTTCTAAAGGATTACCTCTTGTTGTGTTTGTCTAAAGATTTGGGGGTGAGAAAAATGAAAATAGACGAGGCGACGAATTTCGAAAAGATAATTGGGAGATTTTGAAACTTTTCGAAAACAAAACACCACACAAACAAAATAAAAACCGTGTTGTTTGTGTGCTTTCCTTTCTTTAACCTGTCTCTTCTACTCTCACACTATGTCGAAATCGATACTAGGGAGGGCAATGGGTGGGGAAAAGACGTAGGGCACACACAACGCAACACAGTGCGCGTCGTCGATTTAACTGCTGTGTTCGTCGGTCACCACCCGCCAACCGTCCAAATCGCACCATGTCTTGGTGCAGGTGCCGGGCTGGGGTCGTCGATTGGGCACGAGAGAGCGCGCGGATGGAAGAGAGCGCAGAGAAACTGGGTGATGAACGACCGGGGGTAGCGAGAGAGCGTGTGAGTCGTGGAGGGTCAAGTGCCACAACCACATCACCTCTAAACAAGTAAACAGGCACATTAGGCAACACGCAACAAATTTAGGAGGATAGAGAGCGAGGCGAGTACTGTGAGGAAGAAGAAGAGGACTGTGTGGATATTGGGAGAGAGTAACCTTGATAGAGTGTGTGAAGGGATTATGTTATCGGGGCTAATGGCACTCAGGAGGAAAAAGAGAAGAAGAAATTTGTTGCATTGTGGACAATGTGAAAGTAGTCAACAAATATTCTGTTTAATGTTAATTCCCTGTTAAACCTGTAATAGGAGGCTCCACGTTCAAGCTCAATTATCTCAGTTCGTAAGTATATATCAAGACGTTGTCAACTGATAAAACATTCACTATTATATGATACATAATTTATTAGTTGACTAATTTTTGCAATCTTTGACAGGAAACGAGAAAAACTGGCTCAAAGTTAGATATTAAGGTACCGTCGATGCTCTAATGGAATCCCACCTTATACGTGAACTTTAAGCTCAATTATCTCGGTTCCTTCAAAATGTATTGAAATTTTATAAACTTTTTAATTATTTGCCATAATATCATCAATATTTAATTAGTTGACAGATTTTTTATATCTCTCATAGGGACCGAGATAATTAATCTCAGAGTAGACCTGTATGGTTGGCTATAAGCCCATCTTACACGTTCCCTTTAAGCTCAAGTTTCTCAATCCTTATGCCAGATATCAAAAAGTAGCCAACTAATAAATTGTTTGCCATTATTTCACCAATATTTTAGTAGTTGACAGATTTTTGATATTTATCATAGGAACCGAGATAATTGAGCTTAAAGTGAACCTATAGGGTTGGCTTTAAAGCAAATACGGTACCTGTGACTACCAACTAAAAACACCTCTCAACCCAGAGGAACCTATTCCAAAACAACAACAAAAATCATAAGAAGAATCTAGAGTGTTTATATTGATAGCTCCTGGTTTTTGATGTATTCGTGTTTTCCATAAGCGACAAAGAACAACTAATCTCTGAGCGCAACTATTTTATTTTTTTTTCAATTGTAGAGGAAAGAATCAGAGAAAACGTATAACCATTCCATCTTTCTGGTAAAAATGGACCGGATACAACTACCAAGGAGTCTAAATCTACGAGAAGGAAAAAGGAATTTAGATCAGTGTCAATCAAACTTTTGATGATGGGCACTCAAGTGTAAATAAGTGTGTTGTCGTCGTTAAAAAGAAATATAATGCGATGATTCTACAAAAATATATTTATTTGAAAAACGGAAAAATGGAGGGAAAAGTTCTTTGGAGTTTGAAAAATAGAAACTAGAGCTCATCATCATCCTCTAATTCAGCTTCTTTAATGTCGGCTTCAATTTCTTGTTGACGTTTCCACTGCTCTATTTTGTCTGCAACACATTCTTTTTTTTTAACTCCTCAAGAAAATTTGATAATCTAGTAGAAGGTCCTCCGAACTTTAAGGCCGAAGATCTCATTTCTTGTTCATGATATCAAAAAAAAAAGTAAACTGAAAAAATGCTTATTACAACATCGAAAATATTTGGTCAGTTTGAAACTTTTTGATATCTTTCACATAAACCGAGATACATTGGTTTCAAGTTAACAGTTGAGAGGTTACTGTAAACTCACAAGTATGCGCACAGCAGAAATCCATGCCACATCTCGAATGCACACACGAATACGGTTTCTGGCATTTGATACCACCCATCGCATCGCAAGTCTGCGGGGTATCATCTGCTTTTCTTAACACCAACCATCCGCCGGGACAGTAATCTTCTGTAAATATTGCGTTAGGATTAGGAAAAAAGAAATAACCAACCTGCTTTACATACACTAGACACTAGATTAACTAGGCATACCAACAAAATGAAAATGATGGAAAGGATGAATCTCATGTTCAGAAGAGAAGGGAATAAGTGTAACCCATGAGAGAGAAGGATTCTTTCGGATAGAGATAGTCATCTAGAATTTGCAAAATGAGGTCAAGTTGAGATTTGAATCTGAAGGAAAGAAAAAAAATTAAAAAGAACCTGTGGACAAATTGGAACATTTATTCTAAAATAAAAAACTGGCAATAAGAGAAAACAGAACTAAAAAGTTGAGAGACACACTGTCAGCTTTGCTAGTTGTGGTTGCAAGCGTACTAGTTACAGTACTGGAATTTGCCATCACAACAGTCGGTAAAGGCCCCATGGTAATTGGAGGTGTCGTAGTTGGTAAAACGGTTGTAGTGGAAGCCATTGGTGTTGTAGTTACAACTGCAGTCGTACTAGTTTGAGCCGTTGTGGTGTTTGGTGTCCCATCTCGCATTTCGAATGGTAGCATGATGATTGTTTGCAAGGAATAGTGAGATTCAACCGCCATCCAACTTCCAACACCAGTTACGTACGTTGGCATTGCTCCGGGCCATCTGGATTAAGAATATACAGTACCGGATATATTAAAGAAAAAACTGCAGATGATTTTCGGTCATTTTCAGGAGACTGGAGCTCGGCTGCCAATTTTCCAATCACTTAAAAAATTATCGAGGATGTTAAACAAACCTAGATTGAAAACTTCTACAGCATTTTCTGGAAATCTTAGTTTTTCAGCTATTGGCCGATTTCTGAAAGAACCTTTTTTCACATTTTCAGTACAAAAACAGGGTGTCTCTCAGAAGTCGGCAAAAAGCGGAAAAACTGGGGATTTCCAATAAATTCGGTAAATGAAAACTTTTCATTCTAGGTTTGTTTTACACCCTCCAGAGTTTTCAAAGTCATCAAAAACTTGACTGCCGCGCTTCAGGCTTTGAAAACCATGGAAAAAATCAGCTTAAAAACGCGTTTTGTTAATCTTATGGTCCGGTACGGTAATAGGGAGAAAAGACTACAACAGAAAACTTACGTCAAACTGACTGCAGTTGTGTCACCAGTTCCAATTGAAAGATACAACCTATCTGTATCATTATTCCCAAAATGAAGATTTGTCATATTGATCCGATATTCGAAAAGCTGAGAGTTGTTACTGAAGGTGAAATTGAAGCTCCCTCCATCCCATTGTTCTCTATTCCAAATTGTATTAGAAGCAATCAATCCTTCTCTTCCAACAAACGATGTCTGATACCCGGTATAATTTTTTCCACTGTAGAATTGAATAGTAAAATTGGTTTTGTAATAGTAAACTGTGAATTCTCGATTTTCAATGAATTGTGGGAGTTGATTCGAGCTGAATGTCGTTGGTCTGAAATGATCGCGATTGATTTTGAGCCTATTTATCTGTTAACTGCCAAAATGTTTATCATAGCATCGCAAACATTTTGTTAATTGACACGGTTTTGATATCTTGCATATGAGCCGAGAATCATAAGCTCAAACTTTACAGTGTGTGGTCTACAAACTTATACAGGGCTTTACAGGCTTCACAGTAAAACACAATGCAAAACAAATCTCGACTTACTGATAGAAGAGAACTTTATCCAAACTATAGCTCTGTGATGGACTCCGTCCCTGAATTCCAACATATCCATTGCTAGCTACGGATGTGTCAAACATGAGTTTATCAAGATAGTGTTGATCGCATCCTTGACAACCAAATGTGACAGCGGCTTCATTATTAACATAACTAGAAAACTGATAAGACCCCATAGTTTCCGGTGTGGTTAGAATAAATTGGTAGTTGCTGGGAATCTCTGAACTTCTGATGTATGGAGCTTAACCAAATATGCCAAAAATTCTTACGTGACGCATCATTCCCAATGATATAAGCGTCCGAGTCTAATCCAGCATAGAAGTTCACCACCGACACAAACACCACAGTTGTGTAAATTGTGGAATTCTTCAAACTAGCCAAAGTGCCCAAATATTCTCCGTTTGAAAGATTGGGACTATCGTAAATGTAATAGTTAGCAAGATTCTGCATGGAATCTGGACTAGTATTCTGGTCAAGTGTGAAGGCAACCTAAAGATATTTGGAAATTAGAAAATCGGGATTTATGACTCACATTGGAGCAATAATAAATAATATAATGATAAGGGACTAGACCATTGAGCTGGTACCAGTCGCCGCTCATTACGGTGTCACTGGTATAATTAGATACTGAAAATAATTTTGTGAATTTTTAAATAATTTTGAGAATCAAAATTACAATATCTGTAATTGAAGTATGTCATGAATGATGCCTTCGAATTACTCTCCACTTTGACTTGACAAAATCCTTTAGGACAGAAATAGGTGTTCTCAAAAAGAGCTCCAGATGACGTGTAGCTGGAAAACTTGGTTTTTTCGCACCCAAAATTTTCTTGGTTTCTTACACTTGCTGCTCTCCTAAATTATTAGTTATTGTTATTTTATCCGTGTCTCTCATGTAGTAGTCGGTTTTTAATTCAAGGACGTAGCTCCAAGGTACTGTGAACTGGAAACAAAAATGGTATGACGAAATTCGACATTGAATTTTTCTTACATTATAGATGCACACTGTTCCATTTGGTATCTGGACGAGATCTTTGTATTTGTATGGTAATATCCCACTCAATGTTGAGGTGTTGAAGCTTCCAGAGTTACATGCTGAAATTTAAAAATCATTGACTTTAAGTTTTTGTGATCCACTTACGATCATCATCAGCATAACAGTAATGTAGGAATACAAGTAAAACTAGTAAAACAGTTTTTCTGGATAACATTTTGAATTAAATTGAATTTTTCCCAAAAGGTAAATTCTATAGTAGTTTGGTAGCAGAAATTTTTTTGATAACTGCTGGCAAATTAGATAAGAACTAGAGAAAACGTGGTCAGAGCAGTAGTGGAGTGCAACTGCCACTTCTAGACAATAAAAAGTGTGAAGATCATCAAAAACTATTTCGACAACGTGCACAGGTTGATAACAGAGCACTTAAAACCAGACATAAAATGGATTTTTTCTAGGTTGGTTTGCCGAAAATTTTTAAGTTTTATCATGAAAGAAATGTACCGTGACGGTCAGTTGATTCCTGGCAACTTTGACCATTCTCAGGAGTCTGAAGATTGGCTGTCAAGTTTCCGATTACTTGAAAACCTTTGGAGGGCCGAAAACAGGGCTCTAGTATGAAAGTATGAAAAAATTCTGGTCCTTAGAAAAAATTCTGGTCTGTAGAAAAAACTCTGGTCCTTAAATAAAAATTCTGGTCCTTAGAAAAAAATTCTGGTCCTTAAAATGTGTTAATGTAAATGTATACTTTTCATCTGAAAATTTCGTAAAATCCATGAATTTTGTTGTTTTAGTTTGTGTTTAAGAAGTTTTCATGGTAGACATTAAAATTTTGTTATTAGAAAGATAGTAAATGTTGCAAGTATCTAAGTAAAGTGCACCCATGGTCCATTTTCTAAAGGAACATCAGAAAAATTGAAAATATACATATTTCGAGTTCCACCAAATTTGAAAAATGCTAGTTGGTAAGAAATAGACACTGAGAGGACCATCTCTACCAGATTCCGCAGGTTGAGTAACGTTCTAAGTATTGAGTGTTTACTTATATTTTGCCTAATTTTTTGTATTTTGATCCTCCTTTACAGATATAAATTTTTTTATTGGATCTAATCTGTTAACCATGGTTTCAAAACATATTTTTCGGGAAGGCTGTCCTGATGGCTTTACATAAAAGAGAAAAAACATTCACATAGTTTGGACTGAATAGTTTAGTTTTTTTATTCAAAAACATGTAAACGCCTGAAGCTTCTTAAATTAGTGTGAAATCTCATATTCATATTTTCATTATTCTAGATGGTTCCTACGACCTATGAACAGAAGTACCCCATTCTACACCATACATCCCGTAAGAATTATTACTTTTAAACCGATAATGACTATTGCACTACAATTTTGTACGAAAAATCTACATTTTGAAGTTTCGGATTCCGATATATTTTTTCTCTTTTATGGTTAACAGATTAGATCCAATAAAAATTTTATATCTGTACAGGAGGATCAAAATACACACACTTAATACTTGGAACGTTACTCGACCTGCGGAATCTGGTAGAGATGGTCCTCTCAGTGTTTATTTCTTACCAACTAGCATTTTTCAAATTTGGTGGAACTCGAAATATGTACATATATTTTCAATTTTTCTGATGTTCCTATAGAAAATGGACCATGGGTGCACTTTACTTAGATACTTGCAACTTTTACTATCTTTCTAATAACAAAATTTTAATGTCTACCATAAAAACTTCTTAAACACAAACTAAAACAACAAAATTCATGGATTTTACGAGATTTTCAGATGAAAAATATACATTTACATTAACTCATTTCAAGGACCGGAATTTTTTTCTAAGGACCAGAATTTTTATTTAAGGACCAGAATTTTTTAAGGACCAGAATTTTTTTTAAGGGCCAGAATTTCTTTTAAGGACCAGAATTTTTTCTAAGGACCAGAATTTCATACTAGAGCTGAAAACAGACCAAGATGGAAAATTTTGCATTCACAGAATTTTGTGAAAATTCCTAGATTTTCAGCTGTTCGCCGATTTTTAAAATTTGTTTCTCACGTTTTCAGTCCAGAAACGGGCAAAATAGGGTAATCCGCTGAAATTGGCAAATAGCTGAAAAACTAGAAACTTCAGAAAACATCTGTAAGACCTGTTTCACACTCTTGAAAACTTTCAAACTTTCAGGAAGCTTGACAGCCGAAATCCAGACTCCTGAAAATGGCCAAAATGGCTGAAAGTCAACTAAAAAATTGTAGTTCAAAAAGAACTTGGTTTTGGATAGAGCAGCTACAATTTTCGAATTTAAAGTTAAATAATTGATTTTTTCACACTGTTGCAATAAAACATGGATTCCAGAGATTGGAAATTACACTCCGCAAAGGATTCAAAATACGATGAATATTTCAAGTAGAATTTTTCAAAATCTTTCAAATGGAATGCGTTTGTCACCGATTCCAGCGTCTTAAGTTTATCTGCTACATTGCATACCAAATTTTCAGAAGGTTCGAAACTTTCCCTATGGTTCATGATAAATCTTTGATAAGACTTTGAAATAAAAGTTTGTCAAACCTTGTAGTTATAAATTAGTTTGTTGATCGAAACCGTATGAAAAGCTCCCTGAATGTAAACAGAAGTACACAAATGCATTAAGAGTTAATAGAAAATGAAAAAAAGAGGAGTCAATGCAGAAATTATGAATTATTGCTAATATTCCCGTATTCTTTACCACCCTCTGAGTGAAATCTCACTTTTTTCTGAAACATATTTTTTTCAAGAAAGCTGGCATTATTAGGATCTCGTCTGACCTGTTAGAATGAACGATATGTTAATAATGAAAATTTGAATGTTAAGATAATAGAAACGACGCATTTGAAAACACTTTTTCCATATGTCTTTATATTTTAAAATTCACAACTTACCAAAGTTTCATCTTGTTTTTTTCAATTTCTCCAAAGATATCTATTTTTTTTTCTTGCGTGCCCATACCACTACAACTATTTCAATATTCATAACAAACATAGAAATCTGTCTTCCCTCGTGCTCCCTCATCCGCAATTTCCCATGTTTCAAAATTCTGGTATTCAAGAATTGAGAAAAAAAATTTTAGGCAGATAAAAATCTTTGGTATATGAAAAGACTTTTTTTTTTACTTTTCCGCACTCATAAAAAAGTACGTGTTCATCCATATTCTTCTGTCTTTCCGTGCTCCACCACTCCCTCGGTCGTTTTTCTTAGTTTCCCCGATAAGACGTTCTCTAATATACTGCATCGTCTCACCACTTTGTACAATCCATTTAGTGTTTTTGTTGGTAGGGAGAAAATGAAAGGAAGGAAAAAATAAAGAATAAGAACGCTTATTTCGAATGCAAAATTTTCTTATGCTTCATCGTGAAATATTGGTTTGTTTTTGGGGGAAGGGGAAGAAGAATGATGGTGAATAGAGCTGGAACCGTAGTAAATAGAAATAAGATCATTGCCTAGAACCTAATAATACTTTTTTTCTTAAACTTTATTATTATTTGTGACTGTTCGAAAAGCTGTCAGTGGGCGAACGCTTAAAAAATCCTTTTTTTGTATTATGCGCGATGTCATAGCTTCGTTTTGTTGGCGACGGTTTGGTGGCTAGTGACGACTCAATTTTTGGCTCCAGAATAATAAACCACCTAAGAAAAAAAAGAGAGGAAATAACAAAAGAAAGGATAAGCGATTTTTAAGTTATATATTTTTCGTATGATGATCAATAAGCATCCAAAAAATAAGAGTGGTGATCTGATAGAAGCACCCAACCTAACTTTCAACTTCGAGCTTATTTATTTTGGTCCCTGTCAAAAACATTAAACAGTAGTTGACTAATAATTCTTATATTTCAGCAAAAATTTTCACACTTGGCCCCTTTTTGCTATATTTCACAAAAAATTTTTTCACAGAAAAGCTACTTGCCAGTATTCTGAAAGACGCCTGTTTTTTTTATTTTCAGCGGAAAACGGGGCAAAAAAGATATCTTTCAAAAACGGCAAATTACTGAAAAACTAGGAACTTTCAGAAAATTTTGTGAGCTCAAACTTCTCAATATATGTCTGTTTGACACCTTCCAAAATTTTCGTTTTTGTAAAACTTATTGACCGCTACTGTAAATCGCAATAGATCAATAAGTTATAATGCTCTAAACCAAATTGCCAAGACTTTGAAGTTTTTCATATCTATTAGGTTGGTCCATAAGTTTCTTCCGATTTTGAATGTTTAACTTTGACAATCGATAACTTTTCAGTGGAATGGTTTTTCTTAGCAGTAGTTTTTTTTTGTTGTTGGATATAGTGTCTCACCGGCTTGCTTCACACACTTTGCCCCATTCCTACTTCTTTTCGTTCGCGAGCATGGTTTCCGTCCCTCACCATCTACACTTTCAAAATGTTATTTCATTTTTATTCCTTACTGGTTTTAAAAATCATGATATTCACAAGAAAATAAGAAAAATAGATAAACCATCTCTTACTCTTCCTATCATTAACTATTGGACCGATCGAATCAAAATCAAAATCAATAATTTTGAAGCGCAAGACGAAGCTCGGCCCGAAAGTTCAATTTGGCCCTATTGAAGGACAGAGTTGAAGCCGATTCGTTTCACACCAGTCGTGAAATGTCATAGGCATTGACCGTTAGCCAACTAAGTATTGTGACAGGATTGAAGCCGCTTGGCAACTTCAAGAACTGCGTCGATTCGTACCCAACTTTTTGAATGACTATGCTATGGATCGCCATGTAGACATGGTCATGTTTTGTTTCTTCAACCATTTCTTCATACGTTCAGTTGGGTGGATAATCTAATTACTTTAGATGATAAGTGAGTAGCTGCTCTATCAATGAGCGGAAGGGTCAGTCGATTGACAAAGAAGGGCTAGCTCGGGACATGCTATGTGCTTGATGGTCCGTCAAAGGAATAGAGACACAGAACGTTCAGGGGAAAGTAGCAATATACCTGCCACAATATATGGTTTACAATTAGAGAAATTGATTCTGGCAGTTGAATCGAAACAAGGAGAAAAGGCTAACGGTGTTCCTATCACGACGATGCAAAATCGCACATTACTTGAGCGATCAACCAAAAATTAATTTCGTTTGGATGAACTATTCTTCTGCACCCGTCGTACTATCCGAACTTTGCCCTTTTGGACAAATGGTCATTCGGGGCTCTCAAACGCCATCTTGAAAAAAGACTACAAGTGAAAAGATGACACCAAAAAAGAATTGACCTACTTTTTCAATTACAGCCCTCCTCATTCTGGGCCGATAGAATCAAGCAATTACCAGAGCGTTACCAGACACCTACCGGTGCTCATGAATATTACTTTTATTGATATAACCCTCTCCGCTTTGAGAAAAATCAGATCAAAATTTTTGCCAAAATCGGAAGAAACTTATGGACCAACCTGATAAAAAATAGAGGTCTGATTGTTTTTGATTTAGGATCTCATAATTTTATCATTGTCACTGATTGCAGCACTTATCGTAAAACTTTATAGGCCACCACTCTTCTTTTTCACTTTAAGCTCATTTATCTCATTTTCTATGAAAAATATAAAAAATTTGCTAACAGAAGGATTTTTGATCATAATATCATTGATCTTTTTGTAGTTTCCAGATTTTTGATATCTGTCATGTGAATCGAGATAATTGAGCTCAAAGTGCGCGTATAGGGTGACGTTCTACATCAGTTTTTACGCTAACTTGGTTGTTTCATAAACTCTAAGGTTTCAAGAAATTTTCTACAATTTTCAATGTTACTAAACAAAAGTTCTATTCTCAAAATTTCAAAAATTCGTCAAGCTAGTTATATGATCAATAAGAATATTCAAACACTTACTAAAAGGGCATTCAAAACTAGGTCTCTTACTAAAAATCCACGAACAATAGTCAAATGATTAGGTGTGGAGATTGGCCGAGTCAACGCTCCATCTCTTCTGCCTTTTTCTTGTGCTCCATGGGAAATTACTCCATTTCTTCTTCTTCTTCTTATGCGATATGTGAATGTGGAATACTTTGTATGTAGGGGTGTCTCGTCGCACAATCCTTAGACACCCTCGAAAATCATTTTCACGTTTCTCACTCTTCCATAAATGAGAAATTGTTGTGATTGGCACATTTGCGCAGCACCTTTTCCCTTCTTGAGCAGCGCGCGCGTCTCAAATCTTATCAGATTAAGAGAGGATATTCTCTTTTCCTGCCCACTTTTTATTAATCTCCGCGACCATGTGACACATCCTATGGAGATGAAGATTACTAGATTACACACACTTTACTAAAACTTCCAGTTTCAATAGTGCTCCTCCTTCACATCGTATTAGGATTGTATTTATTCTAATAGCTATTTCATTCTAATGAGTTCAAAAATCAAACTTTCGATCTCCTAAATTGTATTCTTCAAAGATCCTTCTTTTCCTTTCAAAGCCATATGGCAAAAAAGATGAACAGAAATTTGAAGTAGACTAGATTCCTCACACTCTTCACACGTTAGGTCAGAGAGCTCCGAGTCCACTCATCTTACTTTTTCTTCTTCCTCCTCATGCTAAAATAGGTCATATGAATAAAATCTGCTTCGGAAAAAAACAAATTTGTAACTCCTAGAAGAAAACCTCCATGAAAACCTACTAGAAGGAAAACAACAATTTTTCAAATTATTTTCTTTTTTCTCACATTCAGTATCTTGAAAAAAAAAACAAGATTGACACATTTTTGCCTTAATCTCCTTCACAAACATCTAGAGAGCTCTCCTTTTAATTTCAAACGCTCTACGGACTACCAAAAAAACTACCATTTCCTTTTTGTCCCTTCTTCTTCTTTTCAACCAGTGCAAAAGTGAAACCCGAAACGACACACACTAGCAAAACTAACTCTCAGTGGTAGTTTAGTACTGAGAAGCCTTAGTTTCTCTTCTTCTTCCTCAATTAATTGGCTCCAGTTTCAATAACCTTCCCCTTTTATTTTTCCTAGTTTTCATTTTTGCACGGACTAGAAAGTAAAAAGTACACGAAAATTCGTAAGAGAATGTTTGAACCCAAAAAAACCAAGCACTTGATGAGCATGAATACGATAGTGAGTCTGAGGAGTAAGTTTTTTTTGTGAGAAGACTATCCCCAATGAATTCGATCACACAGAAAATTCGTTAAGCTTCAATCTATTTTTAAGTGCATGCACTTTTTTGTCTTACATTTTCTCGAAAATGGACTTTCGATTTTCTATATTTTCTTGTATTTTCTAGAATCTTCGAATGCTCAGCTTGAGAGGATGAGAAGAAAAAAACGAGCATATGAAATTAGTAAGGATAAAGCCTTTGTTTGGGTAATTCGTTCAATATCGCGCCATTTTTCTCACACTCCGTTTTTTTTCTCTGGAAGACAGAAAACTAGTTTTTTGAGTTTTTCAAATTGTGAGTTGGGCAGAGTCCAGGGTGTTTTTCTGGATAATTTTTTTTTTAATTTCTGTAACATACCCTGAAACCTGTAAAAAGACCCCTGTCAAGTTTGAGCCAGTTTTTCGGTTCCTATGCAAGATACCAAAAATGTGTCAGCTGATAAACTGTTAATCATAATATCACAAAATTTTTATCAGTTGACAACTTTTTTATATCTTTGACAGAAACCGAGATACCGTAAAACCTTTATTAGAAGGGCTCCTGAAATAGAAGGGCTTCTCTACTTGAAGTGTCTCTAGAGACCTCATGAAAAATAGAAGTGCTCCCTCTATTTGAAGGGTCCCTCTATTTGAAGTATCCCCTCTAATTAAAGTGCCCCTTTGACTACCTTTTTTGTTTTACAGCTCTTTTTTCTGTTGTTTTGATTGAAGTACTGTCTGATTTTGGAAAATACTGGCACTTGAGAATTTGAATGACGTTGCTCTAATACAGATGTTTTACGGTAAGTTGGTTCAAAGTCCGAAGCTAGGGTGACCTTATATTATAGGTGGTACGGTGTTTTTCACGCTATTTAATCAGAAGGTATAATTCAGGACAATAATGTTCAGATTTTTTTGCATTTTCTGACTCAAAATTCGACTTCCCTGTACTTAACACTCATTTCAGCTGTCTAGGAGCACTTGTTGACATTATCTGAAAATTTTCAAGTCTCCATCTAAAACTTCTGACGACGTCATCCCCTATTTTTCTTAAAATCTTGTTGTCCGAGAGCCTCCCGGTAACTATAGCACCAAATCCTTTCCTTTTTCTTCAATGACGAACTTCTCGCATTCGATTTTTGTGTCTCCCGGATTTTTTTAGTCGGATGAGCAGACACTGAGGATTTGGCTCTTTTCTGCTCACCTGGCCCGAATGTCTGGCAGTTTTTCTTCCAAGATTATCGATCAGAACAAACCGCCATCTTCTTTTTTGTTCAAAAAGATAAATGTATTGCAAGGATTCTGCCTCCCACCGAGCTAGTATAAGTGATCAGTGCTTTACCACAGATCCTTTTCAAATCGTAGTTTTAATCTTTTAAAGAGTTTCTTAGAAAGTGATTTCCGAGGAACAAAATAATAGTAATAGTCATCTTCCGATGCAAAAAAGAGGGTGAGATTTGAATGAAGACAACAGAGGGAAATTCGAGCTTCCACAATCCTTCTTCGCTAGTCCGCGCGGCGGTTTTGTGTCCGCCTCATTGTTCATTCTTCTTAATTTACCAACTAAATTTTTTTGCCATTGGTGTCTGAGATTTTCTGGAAGCATCTATGACCAGTAGTTGGGCTGTGCGAAAACGGATCATTTATGAAATTGGAAAATAAAAATGCCATTTTTCGATTTCAGGCTTAGAAACAATTCGGGAAAAAATTTTTCGGAATTTTTTTCCGAAAATAATTCTTATCAATTTTCGGAGCTCTAAAGAATTTTTTGCTGACATTTTTCACTTTTTATATACGAAAATTACTTTTTTTGTGACCAATTTCATGCTTTTTTTTTTGTAAAAAAAGTATTATTTTTCAGCGTATTAGTTCTCTTTTTTTCTCACACCAAAATCAAAAACACGCAAAAAAAATAATTCTGGTCAAATATCTCTACTACTTCAAAATTTTGTCGCTTTTCTTCCTCTGGTTCTACCTGACCAATGGTCACAACAATCCATTCTTCACCCTCTCCTGCTGTTCTTTGTCTTCTCTGTTGTTTCCGATATTTTATTCTCATTCTCCCCATTTTTTATTTCAAATCTCCCTTTTTTCCATGTTTCTCTCTACTGAACATATACTAAGGACGACCACCCAAACTTTAGAGAAAGAACAAAAAACCTAGTCCTAGTCATTTTTCATCGTCCAAGATGCGCTGAGGAAATGAAGAAAATAAGGAGGAATACTTCAGAGAGAGAAAGCACAATGAATCATTTCTGCATCCGTTTTCAGGAGGGGAGCTATACTTTTGGGGTGTGTGGACAAGTGAGTGAGGAGGGGTGTAGATTTGAATCCGGATTATATATTTTTGGTGAGCGAGAGATTTCTGACGCACTTGCTGGTAAATACATTCAAGATTGTCTGCCATTTATTTATCAATTTTTAAAAGTTCAAAACATTAAATTCTATGTTTTTAACACCTCCCACATGTTGCGCTTAATCCAAACTAGACATTTAGGATTGAAGTCTTTCGTCGTAATCTCTTCAGATTGATTAGTTGCTACGTCTACCAGTCTTACGCTCTCCTCCATTCCACACTTTCACATTTTTAATTTTGATTTTTCACCCAAGCCAAAAATGATAATCCCAAAATTATTATTTTTGCTTCTTTCCGTTCTTTCCTGAACTATATGAGCCACTTTCAACCGTCAAAAAAATCAAAAAATGTATCTCCTAGATAAAAATACTTCTTTCTGGAAAATTTTTTCTCTATGATGTCCGGATCCGGAAACCATGAAACACACGTAGGTTGATAAATTCTGTTCTATTTTCATTCAGCAATGATAAACGAAAATATCCTTTTGATTGACCCGTTTCCGATTTTCTATGTGGGCATTTGATTCTGATATCCGTCTGTATTTGCAACTTGCTTCGTTTCATTTTTTTTCTCGGAAAAACTTTTTTTTCAGAAAAGAAACAAATCCGGGAATGAAAGCGGAAAGTTGAACTGATGTCTTCATGCGTGCCGTTTTACTCCTCTTATTCAACTTTTTTTCATTATCTAGCCCTTTTATTATTCGATCGTTCGTGCCGTCGTGAGTTTTCGATTTCAATTTTTTTAAAATTAAATACGGCTTCATACAAATCATGGATATTTTAGGTATAAAATACACCGTATCTAATAGAATAGCTTGCTAGATTTGACCTTAATTGTTCGGTTCTTCAGAAAGAAATCGAAAATTGATCACCATGAAAATGCAATTAGCCCTGTATTTTGAATAACTTTTCAGGATTGATCAAAAAATACAACCGAAGTGTTTTAAAATATTTGTTTACAAAAATAATTGAGAGTTCACTTTTTTTCAATGTGAAGCCCAGCAGGTCGGACCGGATTTTCAAAGAATGCCAAAACGTTTTTCATAATATCACAAACATTTTTTTTTAGTTGATACCATTTTACAATTTGTGACTAGCACCGAAAAAAAATCCATCTTATGAGAAACGTTCCATTACAGGGTTCAGTTTCCTATAAATCCTGAAAAATTCTCCTTCAAAATACAAATCAAACCCAGAAAAATGTTTCAACCTCAACTAATATCTAATTTTCAGAAATGCAAAGTGCAACTCCACAGTTGCAGTGAGCTGTTTTGCAGAGCTGTTTGGTATGATATCTGAAGTGTGTCAACAACGTGAAATTTCTTTCCGGTGTGTCCATTACACGGTGAGTTTTCTCCAGGAGGATACATGTTTAGCAGCACGTTTAAATATGCCCAATCCATCATTTCCTTATTTGATTCGACTCTTTCTCGTACTTTGTGCTTATACTGACAACTTTCAGTTCCTGGATGAGTGCTTCGAGGCGAGAGTTGGCAAGTGCGACGCTGGCTCAGTGGCTAGAGTTGGCGCAATTGGTTATAAACAAGCGTTGAGTAGTTGTCACTCATCAAAGAAACAAAAAGCGGAAGGAGTAAGAAATATGTATTTCGACAACTGTTACAAAAGAAAATTTCAGACTCTACCGATTTTGGGTGCGCCAGCTCAAAGTTTTCCGTCTCCAGTGCAGTTGATATCAGCGCTGGGGTATCTGCAAACGCAGTGTTCGCTAAGTCGGAGCAAAAATTGCTCCAGTGATCATGTTCATAATATTATGGCTCAATGTGAAGAGCAAATGAAGCCTCTTGCAGGTTATCCACAATACGATAGGCATCGGTTATTGAGGTGAGGATGTAAATTTGAAAAAGGCCGATCAACGAAAATCTAACATTTTCTGACGAGCTGAGTTTTTACTGTCATTACAAGGGAGCCTCAATTTTCTTAAAAAAGTAGATTTTGACAAAAATTTCAGAATAGGAAACTCCTGAAAGTTTTTGAATTCATTTGTCAGTTTCAGACGAGTTATATCAATTTTCGTACCAAAAAACGCGTTTTCAGTGAAAAAACACCAATTTCAAAGACGTTGTTGTGTTATGTTTATAATTGGTTGGAACTTGATATTTCCGACATTTTCGTATAATTTTGAATAGAAAATTTTGAAATATTGAAAAAAAATGTGAGAAAATGTCAGAAATATGAAACTTCGTTCAATTCCAGGTGAAACGTAACTAATTTCATATTCTGAAACGTCCTAAAAGTTGAAAAAGTGCTGTTTTTACACTAAAAACGCGATTTTGGTACTGAAACTGATATAACTCGTCTAAAACTGACGAGGGGGTCCTAAAATGTCCAGCTATGTCTACACTTTTTAAATTTTAACCTATTCTAGTTTTTAACCAAACGATTTTCTACATATACTCAAATTTTGATCGAAATCTGGGTTAAATTTTGGCTCCCATTAATCCATAAGGGCAGATATTCTGACATCGTTTATCAATACTGAAAATTACAGAATCAAAATGGATACCTCCAAAAAACTATTAATGTACGATGAGACCGACAAAGAACGAGAATGTCTTGTTGTGAGATCCACACTTTCTGAAATGTATTCTCTTCACCATGCTAATTGCTATCATGTGAGTTTATGGAAACGGTCACTGCTTTTTTCTGAACAATCTGGATTCTTAAATCTCGACTGGATTATTGATATTCTTCCAACTACAGTATTCTTTCAGTCCCTTGTCACTCGATGCCTATGCGAACGATTGAGGTTTGATGTTCAGTGCGGAATCAATTGTGATCAACTAGAGCCAACGTCACCGGATCAGGATACGCTGGCATGGGACGAATGGAAGGAAGCACGATTAGTGCATGGAAACGGATCGAATTTCAAACAATTTGCTGCAACTCTTTCAACCCTTTTTGCTCTTTTTTCCTTGGCTCTGCTTCTTTGATATTTATAGATTTATATTCTTGATTTATAATTGTGAAAATGGGTATCAAAAAGTTTAATCAATTAAAGATTATACAGGAATAAACCCTGGTGACCTGAAATTTTATATTCAAAATCACACTTTTTTGTAATTTTAAAACATTTTTTTGAAGTTAGCACCCAAATCTATACCCATGATCTTTTACCAATTGTCTCTCATATCGCATAATTTTTCGTTCTGTCCAACATTCTTTTATTTCATTTGTTAATATCAAAATATCTCTGATCAATAAAGCTTCTGATTTCTTGAACATTATCAATCCAGGCACCCTCGCAAACATTTGACCAGAACCTGTTTTCTGATTTTTTTTTCTTTCAAGGGGCAAAACCTGAGCAAATAGACTCCTCATCACTTAAGCCTCCCAAATCATTGTATACTGTTTTTATATGTCCAACTCACCGTTTTTTTTTCGTGCTCTCCGTGTTTTGTCCATTGCTCTTTTTTCTCTATCTTCAGGTAGTCGCCGAAATAGAAGATTACTCGTGTGTTTCTCTTTCCTTTCCATCTTTTTTGTGTACTCTTGGGAGGTCGGTGGACAGAGAATTCGGATTAAAATCATCAATCCGTTATGCAGGCAGTTTCTGAACAATGAATAGGGCGGGGCTCGGTTATTTCGAAACAATTTTCTCAGCTCCACCTATTTTTGGGGTATGATGGGGCTATAAAGCATTAGGGACAACAATTTCTGGTGATTGTTTTTTGAAAATTTTATTTCGGTTTCAGTCAGTTATTCAACATGATCAGGTTAGCTTTGTTCTTGGAAAACCGAGATTTTTGATAGATGCATTACAGAATACTTGCCAGTTTAGCTCTTCTAGCTCCGTTTGTTCTCCCATTCAACTATAACAATGCGGGAACTGCCGCTTGTGTTGTTACCGTAAGTTTTCAAAATGTTTTGTCCAGCTAAAAAGACAATTGAGAGCAGTATAACAAAATAAAAAATCAAAAGCTCTGATATACTTCAAGAAATTATTTCGGGGTTTTTTGTTAATAAGATATACAGAAATGCATGTTTTGTTGATTTTTGGCAATTTTGATCATTTCCAGGAGTCTGAATCTCGGCTGTCAAGTGTACGAACACTTTGAAAATTTTAGATAATGTAAAACAGACCCAGATTGAAAACCTAGCATTTGCAGAACTTTCTGAAAACTTAGTTTTTCAGCTGTTTTCCGATTCCTGGAAGATCTCTTTTTTAGATTTTTAGTACAAAAACAGGTAAAAACGGATCATACCTCAGAAATAGGCAAATAGCTGAAAGAGTAGGAATTTTCAAAAAAATTCTGTGAATGCAAAGTTTTTAATTTATGTCTGTTTTACGTCCTCCAAAGTTTTCAAGATGATTCGACACTTGACAGACGAGCTCCAGACTTCTGAAAATGCTCAAAATCAACTGAAAAACAAAGCGAAAAAATGTTTCCAGAAAAATCTTCTCTTCTCCCAAGGAAACTTCATCCGACATCTGAAAAAGGACGAAGTCGACGCATTCAAAAAGTACAAAAAAGAGCTTCACATTTTCAATACGGTATTTTTTATTTCTAGATAAGGAAATGCTCTATCTATTCCAGAAAATCAATGAAGCCTTCGATAAAGCTGAAGAAAATGAAGCTAAGAACGCTACAGTACCCCCAATGCCAATCCGACCCACTCTTCCATCCTTCTGTACTGGTGCGGACACCACTATGTATATATTTGGAGCTTGTACTGTTCAGGTATCTTTGGCAATTTTTCAGGCTTTTGGGAAACTTCAAGAGTTTCTTTTTTTAGAATAATAAAGTCTACATTGGTAACGTGATGGCTCGTGAGCTGGAGGAGAAGGAAAAAGGGAAGCTCGCTGATTTCGCCAAGAAACTTGCTGCTGTTACGGTAGGGCCTAATCTTTTTGAATTACACCTTCAAAAATCAATACATTTTACAGCCGGGAACCGCACCACCAACCGATATCTACAAAGGTCTTGAATTCTGCACGGAACTTTGAAGGGGAACTTTTTTAAAAACAATTTGTACATAGGGTCTCGTATTGATACATTTTGTATATGTTGTGGCTGCAATGCGTTGTGATTTCAATGAAATTTGAACTTTTTTTTCTTGGAACCCACTTTTTCTAGAAAATTTTTTTTTTCAAAAAACATGTATTTTACAACAAAAAATATAGAAAATCAAATAAAAGAAAATTGAACTTGTTAGTCTTCCGTTCCCAATCAAGAGCCTATTCAACTGTCCAAGGATAATAGATCATATTACCGAAAAATTGTATTCATCCTGATAAACATCTCGCGCCCCTTGAATTTTTGTTCCCTAAAGCTCCCTCTCTACCATATTATCTATTCAACCATGTTGCAAATAACGTCGGAATTCCGGAAAAATGCCGGAAAAAGAAGAAAAAAAAAAGAACTGGGACATGCTGTAACAGGAAAAGAGCAATTTTTGGAAAACAATCGTTTCACACTTCTAATAACTTCCCCCCCTCCCCCCCCCCAAAAAAAGTTTGCAAGTTTTCACGTTCAATATTTTATCAAGTTTCTGGAAGCCTTGAATTATTGAAGCATAGAATTAATTAATTCTGACAGGAGGTGTTCTAACCTTGTTAATGTTTCAGGACCAGTGATTTTGGACAATGAAAATCAAAATCAAATAAGTAAATTGTAGAACCACTCAAAAAAAAAACAACAAACCAAAGTTAATAATTCGTTGATTCCTATTTCTCTTCCTCCATTTTTTTTGTTATTTTTGTGTTCCAGGACATTCCTTATTACCCGCCACATTATTTACAGAATTCGAGGCGCAACTTAACCCCGAACGGCATTGTTTAGAATTTTTCCTATATAGCCATTTCCAAGACTAACTAGTATGATCTGTGTGACTTTTTTCGCGAAAAAATCTATTTTAGTACCTGTTCACTGGAGCGTAATTACAACTGCGCATTAGTGGATGCGTATCAGCTAAAAATAGCAACAAAAGTTTTCGCTTTTCTGAACATCCTTTTTTCTATCCAGAAGGTTTTTTTATCGATTTTCATAATTTCCCATTTGTCCAACCATTGAACATATTCTAGAGTTATATCATTAGAAATCCCATTCAAGTCTCTAAGCGACTTTGACTGCTGTCCCCTATACATAAATCTAATCCCTAGTTACTGCCAATGTGTTCTTTTTCAGATGTTTTTACGAGTTTTGCTTTTCTCATTCTTCTTTTTCCCAATTTTCCCTATTGATGTTGCCAAGGAACCGTCAGTGGTCCCGTGTTGTTGTTACCAAACTTCATGAAAAACCTGATTTTTTAAAAAATGGAGACTTTTCAGACATCGAAAAAACAAACTCAAAACGCATACGCCACAATTCTAATTAGTTACATTTCTATGAACTAGGCTCGAGAACGAGATAAATAAACTTTATAAGCTTTCAGCCAACTATTATTTACATAGTTTCGGTTGGAGAAAGGTGACTAAACTTACTTCCGTATTTCTTGATTTTGATAAACATTTTGAAACATAGAACAGGGAGTTGAGCAGTGAACCAAATAACAGCGAACGGATTGAGAGACAATAGTTCTTCGAAGTTTTGAAAAATTTTAGTCATACTCAAATTTGAGCAAATTTATTTCTTTTCCTGTCAAAGATTTGAAAAAGTAGTCAACTAATAAATTGTTCATCATAATATCACAAACATTTTGTCAGTTGACACATTTTTGATACAGTGCATGGGAGCCGAGATAAACTAGTTCACACTTGACAATGCGGGGGGCCCTTCTACTACGAGTTTTTTTTAGTTTGAAAAATTTGCCAAATTCGAATAAGTTACAAATTTTTCAAACCTTGTGAAAAGTAACTCAATTTTTTTAGTTGACATATTATTCGTTAAAATTCATCTACGTGAGATATGTTGCTTGGAATGTTCCCTAAAAGTTTTAATTTTGGCAGTTTCTGAACTATGGAAACCCTATTTACACTTCGGAGATGTTAGAAGTTTAACCAAAAATTAATACATATTACACCTAATATGAGTCATTCTCAGATTATTGTAAATGGAGTTTTGAAATTTTGATACGGTATAGAATCTCTAATAGAATCTTATCATATACGTGTACTTTGACCTCAATTATCTTGGTTCCTATAAGAGAAATCAAAATTTTTTCAGCTGATGAAATGTTGGTGATATCACGATAAAGAATTTATTAGTTAACAATTTTTGATATTTTTTGATATCGTCGATTTCTATTAGAGCGAATACGGTAGATACTGTACTAAAATGTCATCTTCGAATCTAAAAGTCATTTGCTCAAAATATCTGAAGAACTTAGTTTTTCTAACCGCTGCTATAATACTTCTGACACAAAAAATTAGAAGGATTACTGTAACAAGGTATACTGCTGAAAAGAGTTCGAAGCAAAACAAACATAGACAAAAAAAATCAAACTTAACTTTTCTGACAAGGATATAGAATTTTCTGATAGAAATGAAGATAGTGTGTGTGTGTGTCTGTTTAATGTGTGTCAATGAGTCTATCCGTCTGTTGAAAAATCTGTTCTCATCCGTTTTTTCTTCTTCTTTTCTTTCCTGCCGGCCGCTTGATCGTCAGCTGCCACCGAAGTTATATTTAACCCAAATAATATCAGTGGAACCTCAATTTATAATGTGCAGTTTTTTCGTTTTGCCTGCTTATCCTCATCTCTCTAGATCTTTCGAACCTGCATCGTACCCTTTAGCCCGAACAAATCCTAATGTTTTCATCTGACTTCATTCCCCCCCCCCCCCCATTGCTTCTCTTATTTTTCTTCGCTTCATCCACATACACAAAGTTGCTAAGTGGCCGCCGAGTGATGACGTCACAAGGTCTCTACCAATTTTCGATTCCTCCTTTTCTTTTGGGTCCCCCCCAAATAAAGAGGGCTCTATTATCTAAGCAATAAAAAGAGTGGGAAACTGGAAGCGTTTGGGGTTTTTGCAACGAAATGAATAGAGAGGTGGCATTACCATTGAATTCTTAGATGCGAATTCTTTTCCGTTTTTTTTGGACAATTTCTCCGAGTCTTTTTTTCTTTACTCTCTTCACAAGTATCACAAATTGCCGGAAGCCCGCAAATTGCACAACACTCTCACTACCTCATCCTAAAGACCTCCCTTTTCTTCTTGCCAAAAGAGCCCTTTTGATTCTGTGCCGAACTTGATAGAGAGTGAAAATGGAAAAGAATGGGAAAAAAAGAAAAAAGAGAGAAGAACTCCTTTTCACTGTGCATTCTAAAAATAATCCCGGAAGAAAAATGAAGTGAGCACGGAGCAACACTTTGCATGGTGCTTTTTTAGGTGTGGCGTGTTGTGATAAACTCTGAACACGATTAATTTTTCATAAATGACCTAGTGAGTGATATCTCGTATCAATTCGTCTCGCATGAATCCGCAACCCACTCAGATCAAAGTATTTTGTAATTCGAAAAAAAATTTATTTGATAGGCAAAACTTTCAAAATGAAACAAAGCCACCGTTAAATGGCTAATTGAGGATTAAATAGGGACTTCCTTGAAAATGATAAGCCAGTGTTCAAAACTGAATATCCATCAAAAATAGTACATTTACAGTTTAATCTTTGCTGCCAGAAATCGAAATCTCAACGTTTAAAATATACACCTTGAGAATTTTTTTCTCATTTTCTTCTTTTCTGTTCCCCAATACTGAGAAAACTATATTGATAGCAATTTCTCTTTTTCCCGAATTGTCACGTTTTCATTCCTTTTACACAGGTTCCCACAGTACCTCATGTGGGAAATTTTCCCACAATTGTCACGTTTTTTCATTGATTAATTTGACTTATCACATTGGCTAGAAACGTGTAGTTTGCGATTCTACTTTTAGATACTGTAGAAAACTTGTGTGATGACGTCCAGGAGCAATTATCTCCGAATTTTGTGCTGTCAACATTTTTTCATGATTTAAGAAACATTAAGGCAACGATCATTGACGTCAAACTGTACAATTTCATGGTATATTCGGCATTTTGTTAGAAAGCAGTGTATAGTATATAATGTAACCGAAATTACAAGTTTTGAAGTTGTTGATCAAGAATTCCAACGATAATTGTTGAAATCTCGTGTTTGGGTATGCATTAAAACACGCCCACATTTTTTCCTTTAAGCGCCGCCCCTAAAATGCTCATTTTTGAAGTCTATAACACTGGTGGCGGGGAGTTTTTGGATTGGAGACAATAAACAAGGTCCTATTTTTCAAAACTGAAGATTTTCGATACTAATTACCGTAATCCTTTGATATAGATCCAGCTAATTTCTACCGTGAAACCTGTGACAAAAGGGCATCCTAGAATTTCGAGCTAACTTATATCGGCTCCTATCGAAATTATAAAAACGTTGTTGACTAATAAATTGTATATCAAAATATCACAAACATTCTATCAATTGGCACATTTTTGATATCATTTACAGCAAACAAGATAATTATCTCAAAGTGCATTTTCAACAGGTCCTGAAGGTTTGTCTTCTATCCAGACAAAAATTTTAAAACATAATGACCAAAGAAATGTTTCTTATTCAAAAATCATGCATTTTCTTCAAAACCCCTTCTTTTCCAGTGTGTGGTCCATTCCTCTCATTTTTGTCCAATTTCCGCGAAATGTCATTTATCTCATTCATTCTCGAATGGCTCTTTCCCAATATCTTTCTAAGACCTTATCCAAATTGGTTGGAAAAAAGAGAACCGTGCGGATGAAGAAGTGGGATGAGATGGGCTTTTACGAAAACGTCACCAAAGTCCCTTCTTATCCTTCCTTTTTCATTTTTTGTTGTCTCTCAATTTTATGATTCTCCATTTCACACAAGGCTCACTTACCCATTCATGAATTCTCACTTTGTACTTTAACTTGAAAACCATTAGTTCTTGAAAACTATTTTGGAGGATAGTGACTCAACGGGTTACGGTGACTGTCACCTGTTTCCTTCCAAGAGGTCCCAAACGGATGTGGCTTCCATTAGCCTTCTACCGTCATCATTGTAACTAGAACCGATGTTGGAGGTCGTACAAAATAACAAATGGAATCTTCTTAAATTTCATTTAGACGCATTTCCTCTAAACTTCCTGAAACTTTCAACCTCCTCGCACGGATCGTCGTCCGGTCTTTGCACATTAGTAACGTATCAAGTTTCTGTAAAAAAAGAATCAGGCAAAAAACCTGCCACTCTTTTCTTTCTGCCCGAGTTCGTCGCTCGGGCGGGCACAGACTTCCGCCCCGGACGACGGCAAAAAAAAAGAGCCGCGGTCCGAAAAATAACTGATGAGCACGGGAAAAAAGGAGAGATACACACACTTACACACAGATAGATACACCGCCAATCTAGCGTCTTGAAGTAATAGAGACCGAGAAAGCAAAGCAACAAAAACCGGTAAAAAAGTTAGGATTTGAGAAGAGAAGAGGGAAAGTGTGAGAAAGAGAATTAGCGTCGTTCCCAAATAATACCTATCATCTTATTCTCGGTTTCCAGTGGAAATTCGCTGTTAGTTTGATGTCTGGATGATTGACCCCATTGTTTAACTGGTTCATTTTCACAACTAGACTCTTTTTATTGTACTTTCTATTTACTTAACTTTGTTTCAAATCTTTGTTGGTTCTAATTTGCCGACAGTCATTTAAAATTAAATGAAATCATTGAATCTCCAGAATTACATCGATAAGATGGACTAGATTCAAATTTCTCTCTATTTGCCGTATTTTCACAAAAATTACGCTTTTCAGTTTGAGCCTAATTATCTCAGTTTCTATAAGAGATACCGAAATTTTTAATGTAATTTTCGTTATGACGTCACTTCATCAATTTACAAAATTCTGAAAACTAGCATTGAAATCAAGATACCGTATCTTCTTTCAAAGAAGCTCAGCATATACGTGCACTTTAAACACAATTATCTTGGTTATTTTAAAGATATCAAAAAGATTTCAACTGATAAATTATTTATCATAAAATCACTAATATTGTATCAGTTGGCAACTTTTTTCATATCTCACATAGGAATTGAGATAATCAAGCTCAAAATGCACGTATCGTTAAAGTGTCTAGTAGTGCAAATACGGTAACTGAACTTGAGCTGCAAGAACAGGGATTGTGCGGACTACTGTAGAAATCTTGTTTTCAAAAACACAGGACTAAAATATTCAAATCATTCCATTGAACTTCAGTTTCCTATCTTTTCTGAAACACGAAAAAGTTCCTTTTGACTTTTAGGATACCGTACTGAGATGAATTACCGCATCTCCTTCAATATATGCTTATTTAATGCGTCTCAATCTTTGAGCTCAATCGTCTCGACTTCTCTGAAAGATATCGAAATTTGGTCAACTGTTAAATTATTTATCATAACATCACCATTAATTCATCAGTTTACAGTTTCTTGATATCTTTCACAGAAATCGAGATAATAAATCTCAAAGTTAATCGCTTGAGTGATTTTTCATTAATGAAGACACGGTAAATCACTAAAAAATGTTATGTAGTTTGCTTCTTTTCAGTTCTACCCATGACTGGAAATCTCATTTCTTCCAAAATCCCTATTTCTACAGTAATCCTGATCCCAAACCTATGAACTGATGTTTCTAGAAATTGTGTGCGATCTCAGTAAGTCAACGTGAGAATTTTCAAATTTCTAGAAATTCTAGTAAACATTCCAAGATAATAACTACCTTATAATGCTGCGGCATTAGCATCTCGTGCTCTAGTTTTCTATCCCAAAACCATGATTTCATCTATCCGGGGAAACACAAACAATGTGTATGACGTTGCCTATCAAAACTTCCCATTCCATGTGATAAAACGATTCTCCGCTCTTCCTCTTACCTCAAGAGCCATTAATTTGGAGCAGCAAAGGTCACCCCTGCCCACGGACCACTTGTCCCCGTCGTTCTTTTTGTGTCATTTCGCTAACAATCTCCATCATTTTTTGTAGATGATTTTCATCCTCACGTCCCCTCTTCTATTTCTCCGCGGCTCATAAAACCTTTCCATTGACGACATTGTTGTGATTCGTTCTTTTTTCCTTTTCTTTCTCCTTCTTCTTCTCATTCCCTTTTTTCTAGACACAATTATCTCGCTGTGGGGGTGACATTGCTCAAACGCATCCGACCATCAATCTATCCATCCATGCCCAATTTTTCATTGTCATGCTCACAAGAGCACAAAAATCTTCCGTCGCAAAATTAGACGAAATTAGAACCAGAAGGCAAGCCCTTCTCAATGACGCTGGCTCTTTTGTGCTCTTCTTTAGTTTCCCATGGTACCAAAGCTTACAAAGCCACACCCACTTGACGACCTTAGAGAGCTCGGTGTGTCCTCGCGAGCTCCGCCCCATATTCGGTAGAATGGCTGCCAGTCGAGTCGGCTTGAATAGACTTTGGTGGGAAAATTGCTCGCCAGTTTTTCAACTTTTACAGTTTTCAAGTTGTTATCTCATCATATCATCTGCCTGGGATTCTTGTTTTTATTTAGGACAATTAGTTATTAGGACAATTAGTTAATTTGAACCTTACAACCAATAATTTAAGAAAATCTAGATTTTTGGAATTGTTGACCATCATCACTTTTTAGGCGACACCAAAGTTCATATTTAACCTATTGAGTCGAGTTACTCCTCCCTTTCTTCATTTTTACTAATCCATCGGTGTTTAGGACGGCTCCTGTCGGTCCTTTCCCTTTTTTCTTCTCTCCTCCTCCTCTGATTTTCCCTAATCCTTGTTCAGAACGACAAAAGTTTCTCTTTCCATTTTTTTTCACTCTCTTTTTTTACCCACAAATCTAAGATTGATATTTAGTGCATTTTGCTGCTTCTGCTTGTGTATGTGTTTTTCGAATAACGTATAGAAGATATATAGAGCGACTCTTCACAACCAGCCACTTGCACACGGCTTATAAAAATCTCAAACACATGTTTTTTGTGCGTCTCCACTTTTCTTCACATCTCTTCCTCCGTTCTTCCGTTCTATTTTGTCCCATGGTTAACGCCGCTCCCTGTAACGTCTTCTGATGATTGGTGCACTTTTTTGCTGGCTTTCAAGATCATGAGTTCCGGATGGATAAGCTCTTTCCAAGCCAGTATGGACATAATTTGAAGGGCTTCTTTTCTCTCTTTCTTCAAAATTTTCAAAATTCGGCTTCCTTATCCTTCCTGAAACTAAAGAATTTTCTAGATTCGACGATGGGTAACACATCGTCGAGTTCATCTCGAATGAGCAAAAAATCAGAATCGATGGAGATCAAAACCAAACCAAAGGCAAGCCCAGCCAATGTAAGTATTTGCCCCCCCCCCCTCCCTTACAGTGTCTTTTCAAAACTATTTTACGGGTTATTTTAGGGAGAATTCAACAAAAGCAAAAGCATGATGGATATGAGCACAAAGAGCTCCAGAATGTCAACATCGACAACGTCAAACACCTCTAGACAGAAGAGTATTACAAGCATCAAGGACAAGGACAGACCGAAAAGCACGCGAGAGGCTAAAGGGTAATTTTTCGCCCTTCTATTGGAGGGAATGATAAGGTGGAATTTTTTTAGATCCGATATTTCCCGAACCAAATCAATGAAAAAGGAATCTCATCCGATCACTTCTCAATGCAGAGAAATCATCTCACAATGTTTTGATAATCCACATTCCGAATTTGCCAATAAGGTATGCTTTAAAGGTTCATCGTGTAGTTTGGTTCACCGAAAAGATTTATTGATCTTTTCACTTCCTTCCGTCTCTTTTCACTTTTCGACATTAAAACTGAGCCCTTTTCTCTTTTTTCGCCTTCCTGTCGTCTCAATTGTCGACAGAAAGAGCTCATCAGAGAACATATACGTGATCTGTGTGCTTTATCATTTTTCTCTCGTTTCATTTTTCGACCCCGGAAGAAATACGGAAGAGAAAGATCAAAACGAGAAGAGAGAAACATGGGAGATTTATAGGAAAATCAAAAAAGGGCAACAGGATAAGAGAAACAGAGATAGAGAGACAGCAAGACTAAAAAAAGTTATACCATAGTTTTGGCATATTTTCAGGTTGTTCAAAGAATCTTCGAGAAACGCGAAGACTACCAAAAGTACATTATGAACTTGGGCAAGGAGCGAAGTGTCATTGTTAATAATCGCTTGAAAATTCTTGTCGAGGATATTGTTGCACATGTCAGTTTTCTTATGATTTCCGTTTTTTGGAGGGCTTTCCGGATCATTTCCGTGACAAGTTCTTGTCACTTTTCTGCTCTCCGGAATGGGGTCAAGACCATTGAGACAAAAAAGTCATTTTGGAACGAATGTGATGTTAGATGGCCAGTGTGAGCCTCTCCGGGGAGCGACTGGCTCTAATAAGTTTTTTGGAGCCCTTTACGCTTCACTCTCATTTTTCATTTGGAAATGGGACGGTGGTCGGGAACCGAGGGATGTTCCGAACGGAAATTCTGAAAAATTCCAAAAAAATTCCGCAAAAATAATTCGGAACAAAATTACGACTAGATTATTTTCAAAGCTTTTTTCGGAATAAAATTCCGATTGGAACATTTCCGAAGTTTTTTTTATCGGAAATTGAGATTTGTGGACTACGGTATTTCAATAGTAATGAAATATTTTTTTGGCGTATTTGTGATGAGAAATAGAATTTATACATTAAAGTTCAAATGTTGCATAATACCAAATATTCCGAAATTCCAAAATTTTGAAAGTCGAACTATTCTGAAATTCCAAATTTTCGAAAATCGGTATGTTCCGAAATTCCGAATTGTTAAAAACCGGCATGTTCCGAAACTCCGAGATTTTGAAACCTTGGAGTATTCCGAAATTCCGAAATTCCGAAATTTTTGAAATCGGAATATACTGAAATTCCGAAATTTCGAGGTTTTGAAAATCGGAATATTCCCAAATTCCAAAACTCCGAAATTTTGAAAATTGGAATATTCCAAAATTCCGAAAATTCGAAAAACACAATATTCCAAAATTTCGAACTTCAGAGAGTTTGTAAATCGCAATATTCCAAAATTCCAAAAAACACTTCAAATCGTATCATACCAAAATTTCAAAAATCCAAAAATTTCAAAGTCGGAATATTTTGAAATTCTGCAATTCCACAATTCTTCGATATAAAATTATACAATCTTCCTCACTAATAAAATTATAAAATCCTCTTCACTACCCCTGATCTTTTTTCATCCTCATAATTCCAGATCCACGACTCAGATTACATTGAGCTCGTTTCCAAGCAATATGGAGAGGAGCATGTCGAGTTGAAGCAGTACGGCTTCAAACCAGACTTTTGGGTTGCTGTCGCTGATGCGATGACTTTGGAAGGTGTAATCTTGGACATGGCTAATCATCAGGTGAGGGGGATGCATAGGGGTAAGAAGGAAAAAATGAATAAAGATTAGAGAGATTAGAGTCAAGTGGTATTGACAGGCTCGATGGATTTGCACTTTCTGCATTTTTCCGTTTGAAAGTTTTTTTCTAGCGAATATAGTGTAAGATTAGGGGTTTGAGGGAATAACTGACTCTAGCTATTTTAGAATTTCCAAACATGTTTTTTTTTCCATTTTCAGCCAGCTGATACTGTCTCCGCATGGTCTTCTCTGGTCACATTGATCTTCTCATCCGTCCGTGATGGATACTATTCAGAGCTCCGACGTCATCGCATGAGCTCTCGACGAACGCTTAAACATCAGAGTACAGTGGATTCACGAGAAGAAAATAACGAGGTATGTTGTTGTGTATTAGGATGGCCAAGATGAGCAAACATAGAGCTGTCGTTGTCAAAACACAAACCAAGCTAAATTTAGGCAAAAGGGCCCAAAGATTTTTAGGCGGATTCTTATAATGGAACTCGAAATAAATGAGGCCAATAGAATAATTTTGTGCTTTGTTTGTATAGCCAATAAGATATAAAAAACGTGTTTTTCCGTTTATTCAGACCATTTCCAGAAGTCAGAAATCGGCAAAAAGCTGAAAAAATAGGGATTTTCCAAAAGTTCTGTGAAGGCAAAGTTTCCATTAGATCTGTTTCACGTTTTCCGATATTGTCAAAATGATCGGAAATTTGACAACCGAGCTCCAGACTTATGAAAATGGCCGGCATCAACTGACAACGACGTTTTTATATACCGTATTCACTCTAATAGAAGCCCCTGGGCTTATATTTTTTTCAACTTCTTCTCAGGATAGGCTTAAAATAGACGTCGGATTCTATTAGAGGAAGTAGTTTGACCGGTACTATAGATGCATTTATTGTAGGTTGACCGGTACTGTAGATGTATTTATTTTCAGGGATCATCATCCTCAAACCAAAACGGAGGAAGCATCGCCACCACCGCTGCTGGCATGCTCGGACAGCGAGATCACTCCAGGAGTACCCCAGTGCACATTTCTGACGAAGGAACTCCACGCAACGTTCTCGCTGGATCTCGACGAGAGACTCTTCGCAGTGTCTCCACCTATTCCACTGATTCTCAACCACATTCCGGAAGACGCAATGGATCGGGTAAGGGTTAAAGTGCAACTATGTGACTAATAGATGATGGATGAAAATGTTTCCAGATGCTGGTCCATCCACTTCTTCCTCAACAAGCAACGTGATTCGCCGCCCGATCTTTGAATAATTTATTATCTCTACTCTCTCACAAAGGGTACAAAAAATTGTTTCTCTTCTCATTTGGTGTAATATTATGACCAAACCCAAAAACACTCCTTCATTTCTTATTTTTGTTCACCTTTCCCTGTTTCCCGATATCTTCTTCTCTGTCTCCATTCGGACTTCAAACTCATTATATTTGGCTTCTCATTTCCGCTCTGATTCTGTAAAAACCCGTTTCTTGTGACCCGTCACGATTCCATTTGCCACCAGGCTCTTTATTTTGTCTCATGAACATGTTTATTTGGAAGTTGTGATTTGGTTAATATGAAGGGAGAGAGAAAAGTAATGAGCAGATCTTTGCTCGTTCAATTTTGAGCATTGTGGAGCAAAGATTTTTGGATTTTGGGAAATTGTGAACACAAGGAAACCATCAATTATGTCACGAGAATTCACGAGAAATTCTAATTTCGCAAAAGAAGGAATCTGGAGTCAATTTTCTATCCTATCCATCTTCCCTCCTTATGCCCATTTCCAGTTCCTTGGAAATTGGGAAACTGGAATCAAGCAAATAAGAATGGAAAGGGACGAAAAAAAACAGAAATGAACCTTCTAAGGGATCAGAAGAACCAAGAAACCGTGTGAAAAATGGATATCCAAAAAGAAAAAATAAAGGGGCGGTTGTGCAATTTATTTGGTATAAAATATGTGAGAATTGGCTCGTGAATGACTCTAAACAAATAAAAAAAATAGAAGGTGAATTCTCGAAAAATTCACGCATCCCACGTATCAATATAAAAAGTTATGAATAGGGGAAATTGGATTTGCAGTTATTATTCTGATGAAAAACGCACTGAAAGTTGATGAGTTCTCATCTTTTTCCCAGCGTGCTCATTATTCAGAAACTTGGAATAACCGTGAAACCTGTAATAGAAAAGCTCCTGACTTTCAACTTTGAGCCAATTTATTTCAGTTCCTGTCAAATATATGAAAAAGGTGTTAACTAATAAAATGTTTATCAACATATCAGAAATGTTTTATCAATTGACACATATTCGATTCCTCTCATAGGAGCCGAGATAATTGAGCTTAAACTACAGGTTTTACGGTAGTTCTATTCGTTTCAATGCGATCTGGAAGTTTTGGAACTGATGTTTTGCAAAACAGGAAAAGCGGAAAACGAAACCATAAAACAGAAGAAAAAAGTAAAGTTTTATCGAGGGATCGTCACAATCATAATATTTTGCAATAAAATAAGAGTATATAAAGGAAGGGTGAAGAAGAGAAGTATCAGATCATCATTCTGAAGAACTTTGAAGAACTTTGCTTTGAAGAATGAAGAACTTTGAAGTTCTCTTCTCCATCTTCATCATAGCTATGACGATGTTTGCGAAAGATCCATTGCTTCCGGACACCTCTTCCGGACACCTCACCAAGGACGAAAGTGGATCGTCTCATGGCAACATGCAGTGGATGGACTCTACTGTCCAACAGGACCAAGAATTGAATCGTATGTTCACACTTTGCAACAGTAGATTAAGCCCATACTTCTATTTCAGACAATCCAAAACCATGGTCCAGCTCAATTGGAGGTTCCATCGCCGGAGGAGATGCGCTTCCAACACCATGGACCAGCTCAGTTGGAGGTCCCATCGCCGGAGGAGATGCGCTTCCAAAACCATGGTCCAGCTCGATCGGATGTCCCATCGCCGGAGGAGATGCGCTTCCAAAAGCATGGTCCAGCTCAATTGGAGGTCCCATCGCCGGAGGAGATGCGCTTCCAAAAGCATGGTCCAGCTCAATCGGAGGTCCCATCGCCGGAGGAGATGCGCTTCCAACACCATGGACCAGCTCCATTGGAGGTCCCATCGCCGGAGGAGATGCGCTTCCAACACCATGGACCAGCTCAATTGGAGGTCCCATCGCCGGAGGAGATGCGCTTCCAACACCATGGACCAGCTCAATTGGAGGTCCCATCGCCGGAGGAGATGCGCTTCCAACACCATGGACCAGCTCAATTGGAGGTCCCATCGCCGGAGGAGATGCGCTTGAGATAATTTTGTAAAACGATTTGTTTAAGATTTAAATAAATCTGTTATTCAGAAAGTTTTGGATGTGTTATTTTACAAAAAGTGGTAATGACATATTTTCTACTTCAAACGGTGAGAAATCCTTCTCTCAGATTGATCTGGCCGCAGCATTTTTTTTTCAGATTGAACTTGATGAGCGTACAAAGATTATCTGGGTGCAATGGTCCACCATTCGGAGTCCAATCAGCTTCAGGATCGTCCCAGCAGGTATTCGATTCGATGATTACTGGTTATTTCTAGGATTCATTCTATTCTACGAATCATTTATCAAGAAGTCCAAGAAGTTGACAAGAAGTTGTAACAAGAAGTTGTTCAAGCTCCGCTGATCATTGGATGCCCCCACCAAGAAGGATGCCAAGTTCCAGTGAACTGCTCAATGCCAACCATCATTTGATCGCGTCGAATAAGTCACTGACAATGGAACTTGTTCACTTCGTCTGCTTTTGGAACTTTCTGGTTTGTGGACATACTCAAACGGAGCTTAGGCAAGTTAAAAGGGGAGTTAGCGCAGATACTGCCTTATGTGGGTTTCTCCAGAAACACCGCTCAACGTCGTGCTCAATCAGCCCAAATGGCTCAAAAAATGCTGATAAATTCCTTGGTCGTCCGCTTCCTTCGATTAACTCCTCGTCTCGCTTGACACAGAAATGGAGGAGAAGTACAACAACCAATATGATGCGCAAAGACGCAATTTCAAAGCCGAAGAAAAGGTTTATGTTAAAGAATATCAAAACATATATACTACCACTTCGTTTACAGGAATTATCAAAAACGCATCGGGCAGACTCTGTATCATGTGATCGTCAAGGTTACTATACGAATTCGACACCCAAACGAACCCCGTCGACGTGACCAGCCAATCCGATTCGATGTTACACTGGGCATGATGTATCCAACTGATGTGACGCCAACTTCCGTTCCAGCTCCTGCCCTTCCCAGCAAAAAAAAGCTTATCTAACAAGATTACCAAGTGGAAGTGGAAGTGAAAGGGCAAAGGAGTTGAGAAAATAAAATGATTGAAAAGTAACAAAACTCGAAAAACTCAAAAAGTTGACGGAACGAGATTGGGAATTCCGGCTGATACTTTAACTGATTTTTTTAGTCTTTTGTTTTTCAAAGTATGAGCATTGTTTGTATTTTTTGCTGAATGAAGTTTTCAGAGCTCAATTAACGATTTTCGTTTTTATCAGCAAGAAAATGCTCAGCTTCTAGATAAAAAACTAAAAAAAAGAGCTTAAAGATTGAAAGCCTAGAATGAAACGCCGACCCAAAATTTTTGGAACATGTTCTAATTGTAATGTTTAGAGCAAAATCTAAAATTTTCGGCCCCAAGACTTAGGATTAGCATTATCACCAAATTGAGTACTGTCAAAGGTTAGAATGTGAGTCAGGACTTTGATGAGGCGTAGGCTCTCTGAACATATTGGAGAACCTTTTCAGAAAATAACGAAACATAGAAAAAATGACACAATTTTTGATGAATATAATTTTTTCCGAGACATATGGTCATTCTGAAGCGTTAGCTTAATCGATTTAGAGACTCATCTCAATATTTTTCTGATTTCTTACCATTTTGTTTGACCATTTTTGTGGTTTTCACTACCTGAAACTGAGATTTTTTTATTAAAACAACGAGTATCGTTAGTTAGAGCTCTGAAAATTTCAATCAGCAAGAAATATAAACAATATTCATACTTTGAAAAACAAAAAAAATACAATAAAGTAATCAGTGAGAGAATCCGCCGGATTTCCGAATCTTGTTCCGTTATTTTCTTATATTTTTCGCGTTTGGCTACTTTTCAATCATTTGATTCTCTAATTGTTATTAATATAGTTTCTTTTTCAGTTGTTCTAAGATTTAATGTACTTTCAGATAGAGCTTTTTGACAAATACTGTTCCTTGTGTCACACTGACATATTTTGAGAAGTAATATTTTGTTAATATTGAGAACAGATGTTAATTCAGAATTTTTCAGATGTGCACCTTACACCTACTGAAAGAGTAACCAATGACCGTCTTTTTGGTTTTCTCAAAATCATATTTTCTTCTTATCACCTCTCAACCGTATCTGGATTTCGTAATTTTCCGTAATGATGCAAAACTGAATTCAAGATGATTGAATAAATCCAGAAGAGCAAGCCAACTATATTCTCTACTAATCTATGTATTCATTGCCTTCTACTAGATACTTCTAATCCGTTTCCACCAAGCTTCTCACGCCACACAATAGGAAAAGGATTGTCCATGATTTTCTACCTATTCATGTCCGAGATCCTCACTTCGAGCTTATCACTTCAACTATTATTTTTCACTTTCACCCTACACTACCCATCGATCCATTCATTTCTGTTATCCCTTGTGAGAGCACGTCTGTTTTCATGGTTGACAGCCCCATTAGCAGTTACTAAAACTTAACATCATCAAACTCTGCTTTTCATTTCTCAAGCGCGTGTTTTTTTCTGTGCCTATCAATGTTCAAAAATTGTATTCTTATTCTGCTAATTGTTTCAAATAATCTGAATGTATTCAACGCTATTCAACTTATTATCTTTGATAATTGGCCTGCGTCTCAAAATGTGTGTCAATCGGCCGTCGATGATGCGAGAGCTAATGCAATGTGCACTACTAAATCTATTCAGTGAGTTTTTTCTTACACTAGCGGTTTTTATCAAAGTTTTTCAAAGATATTATCGAAAATGTTTCATATAATGTTTGAACGATTTAAAAACCCATATTTAAGAACCAGTCAAAATGACCAGAAACCGAACATTTTAAAGTACCGTAAACAATCTAACACGCGGACCGTCCACTTGGACCCTATATGTATATCTCACTTCTTTTGAAAGATATCAAAAAGTTGTCAACTGATAAAATATGTATCACGATATGAGCAACATGTTATTAGTTAGCCACTTTTTGATGACGTTCACAGAAAATGAGATACATTGGCTCGAATTTAACGATTAGGGTGGCGCTCTATTAGAGTGTATACGGTAGATTAGTTTTAATAAACAATTTTAAACCAACGAAACTAAAATGTTTTAACTTATCCAAATTTCTAGAATAAATCGCCAGCAAGGTTGTGCAGGAGATAATAGTGTCAAAGCGGCATCTTATGCTATAAACGCCGTCGCCTCTAAAACCACTGGGGAATATGATTTTGTTTTTGTTGGCCCAACGTGTACAACCGATATTCGTACAATAGGCGATTTCGCGGAAATATGGAAGTCTCCTGTGATTGGATATGAGCCTGTTTTTGAGGAGCGTGGCGTTCAAGAACTGACATCGGTTATTAATGTGGCTCAATTTTCGGTTGGCGGGGTTGCCGAGACGCTTGTTATTCTAATGAGAGAGCTGAACCAAACCGAGGTCTGTCGTTCTTTTTGAAGTGAAATTTACAGATAAAATATTTTCAGATATCTCTTGTGGGATCGGTGAAAGTGATGCCTAACGGACTATCACTCGCCAATGATATTAAGGCATATAATAAGGTAGGCCACTAATTAATAATAAATGCATTATTCTCGGATTAAACAAACTGGGACCAGAAAATTTTCGCGGGTAACGCTCGTGTCGATTTACGAGGCATCGCTCCGAAAACGGATACTGCAGATAACAAATTAATTCATGTGAATTTAGTGGGATTTTCTGAACAAAATTCAGATTTCTTGGTATGAAAATAATCGCTAGCATCTCTAGAATCTGTTTTTCATTGAAAAACCGAACTTAATTGCGAAACTAGCTCGAATGAGGCGAAACTCTGAAACATTACGTTTTTGCCGCACTTTTCCGTAGATCAAAAAATGCGACGATTTCCAAATTCTCAGGTGTTACTTTTTTGAATTCGACAATACCGATCAATAAGATATACATAAACATGTTTTATCACTTAATTTTAAGCTATTTTGGCAGTTTTCAGAAGTGTGGAACATGCCAAGTGTCGGATCACTATGAAAATTTGGGAGGGTGGAAAGCAGACCTAGATTGAAAACGTTGCATTTGCAGAATTTTTAAACCTACTAGCTTCTTTGCTGTGTGCCGATTTCTGGAAGACACCTATTTTTTTCACGTTTTTAGTACAGATACGATTCAAAAAGGGGTGTCTTTCAGAAATCAGCAAATAGCTGAAAAAAATAATTTTCTAAAAATTTTATTGATGCAAAGTTTTCAAACTAAATCTGTTTCACACACTCCAAAGTTATTAAAGTGATTGGATACTTAACAGCCATGATCTAGACTCCTGGAACTGATCAATTTGGCCAAAAGTCCAATAAAACACTTTTTTTGTATATCTTGTTGACCGGTACTGTATGTGATGTTTTATTTCAGATAATGAATAGTTTTTACATCCGAGAATATATTGAAATAGACGAGAACAATGCTGATTGGACGAAAATCGACTACAAACTTAGGCATGGAGCGCGAAGTAAGGTTCCAAAAACGTTTACCTCTAATGATTTATCAATTTTCAGTGATTGTTATATGTGTCGACTTTTATGATATCTATAGTACACTCTATAACTTGGCAGTCCGTAATTTATCCGGATTTCGTTTCATTATTGTGATTATTTTGAATAAACCACCCGATGAAGTACTGAACCAACCAAATGTCAGGAATCTTCTCTATGGAGCCAACACTTTTATAGTGAGGATTCTGAATGGTTATTTGGAATTAAAACGTTTATAACTTTCAGATTTCTCCACGCCAAGAGCAGTTTTCTGATGCATTCAGTAGTATGCAGCGTGTGGTTCCCACACTGTCGGATGTAAGTCATTGATGAAAAATTCTATGTGTTTTGGCATTTGTTGTAATCGAGTTTGAGTTTGTAATTGACTTTGAGTAATTGAGTTTGAGTTGTAATTGAGTAATTGAGTTTAAAAAAGGTTTCTGATTGACAACTATATACCGTAAAACCTCTAATAGAACGACACCCGGATCGTCCACTTTGAGCCTATATATCTCACTTCTTTTG